TAATCGTTAAGTCGAAATGTTATTTTAGGAAATTTAATGGGAAACATATTATAATGTTCAGAAACTAAAAACCTAATCTAAGTATATTGTAATATGTAACGAAACTAATTGTTTCCAATTATTTTAATACAATTTTTAATTTCTTAACGCCATAAAATTACAATCGATTTCGATACGTTATTATACATGTTTAACCTCACTGCAACAACCAAGGGACCTGAACTGGAGATTTGGTGGAGGGCTCAACCCATCCCCAAACCCCCGAAATTCTTTCAAAAGTATCGGTTGCTATTTTCGAGGTAGATACTAATATAATGTCTGTAACGAAAATAATTTAACTGTTTAATTTAACCCTCCCCCCCCCCGAAAATTAAATTCTAACTATACGACCTTGACAACAACACCCGATACCCGAGCCCTATTTATTGAACGACGCACGACCTTGACTATATAATATATAGGTTTCGACATGATGCATTCATGTTTAAAAAATGCTGTTTTTTTTTTGTGAACAGCGTTACGGATTCACGTGAGCTGGGCCACCAAACACATACTGGACACGTTTCACACGTTTAAATTGGAATTGAGAGGCGACGTGGAGCTAAAGGGTAAAGGCGCGGTGGTCACCTACTGGTTGGTCGGATGCACCGAACAGGACCCGAGGCCGCCGACGCCCATCAACACAGACACGTTGGACCTCAGCAACCCGTACCCACTTATATTCCCCGAGTTGAGCAAATAATATATAGTCTCTTCGTATATTCATACTTAACATTATATTATAATACTATAATATAAATAAAAACTCTATTTTATATAATATAAATATCTATTATATAAGAATATATTATAATGAACAGTATATTCGAATAGCGAGGGCGTGCCCGAACAGGGATGGTTTCTGAGGGTTCGACACCCCGCCCCAGAAATGTAAAATATCATATTTTAGGAAAAGACGCTTTATAACATTATAACGTCATAAATGTAATAATTGTTTTTTAGAAGATTCTACGCATTGGAAAATTGCCCTAAGCGATTTCTCTCATCAACCCTTCACCTCCTCCAAAAAAAAAAAATGTTTTCCAGGCACGCCCCTAAAATCAAACCATTGAGTGTAATATATAATGATGATATTGTAAGTTTTAAGTGCCATATTATATTATAATTACACAATACTATATAATATTGAAGTTACCCTAAAATTTTGTTTTAAAATCCGTAATCATTATTACGTGTTTTAGTTATACACAGTATAAATTTAATATAGAGAAATATAATGTAAGCTTTCGATTTAAACGTTTTTTTTTTTTTTATTTATTTGCATACAGGGGCGCACCCAAGATTTTTGCATGAGGAATGGCTTGACTACAAGAAAATTGTGATTCAAATATTTTAAACAAAAATACACTAACCGTTATGATTTGTATATATTAATATAATTAGGTGTCGTTAAACCTAATTTTTGAAAGAACTTAAGTCCTCCTCCCCCCTTGGGTGCACCACTGTTTTACCTTCTTAACCTTTTTTTCCTGTAGAAACACTGCACAAACCAAAATAATTGGAAAATACTCCATTTCAATTGATATTAACATAAACTTATGTCTTATTCAATAAATCAATTTGATAGGTCATACAGGTAAGTTAACTTTCTGCGAAGCGCTAAAACCACTTGATTATGTATAGCTAAACAAATATTCTACAACTCTATAGGTTAGGTTTCTCTTGTTTTTTTAACGAAATTTTGATTGTTTGTTGAATTTGGATGTGCCATTTAGAATTACAAAGTATCTAAAACCAATAAGAATATTGAACATTATAAGAAACTCGGTGAGATTTAAAAATAAATTGAAATATCGACGGCTGATTGTGTTCAATACCTATTTCAATATTATTATAATTTATAAGCAATGCAGGTGACACAATCCATACTACATACTGTATAAACTATAATATATTATAATTTCGATTGCTCGATGTACAATTTAAAACAAATATTATTTGATGTTTTTGAATATTTGAATTTACAAAAAAAATATTGACTATACGGTTTTTTATAAGCACAAACGGAGAAAACTATTCATAAAAAAAGTTTCTCTTTATAGTATTATGCAATTAATGTTTCAATGGACCCCGGCAGTCATGGAACCTCTCTGTCTGCATCCTCCTCAAAGTAAAAAAAAAAATTGGATAAATCATAGATATCGATTATTAACAAAACTGAAAAACGTATATTAATTAAATAATTAACAAAACGATTAAAACGATCGAATTTTTTTAGATTAATTACCAAACACTCATTATTAGGTTATAATTGTTATTTTTATATCGACGTAGATACCATTTTGCAAGACTGATTTACCATGATACCATTATACAGAGTGCATTATACTTGGTTTTATAGAAAATGATCGAATTCTGCAGGTACACAACCTGTATACGTGCATTCTGTTCCAAGTTTTTTACAAGTATGTTTAAATGTAACTTTTCAATATAGAAATTAAAATCTTTTGATAGGTACTGCTATCATTTATATCAAATATATACCTACGATGTATTTAAAATATCTAACGTAGAAGCATATTATTTAAGCGATCGTGCGATACCTTACGAGCGCCTGAAAATGACAGAAACGAACAAACTGTAATAATATTTTTTCGTAACGCACGTGGGAGACGACTAAAAATATTGGCGTTGATAGTTTTTGTTTTGTTAACGAATTGCGACGAGAGATGATCGGTCGGAAACGTCGGAGTAAACTAAGCCTCTAGAAGCGTCGGGAACTGGGTAGCACGAGAGAAAAAAAAAATCTTTTGTGTACCGGTTTAGCCCACCTGTTATTGTAATGGAAGAGGGGGAGAGAAAGGACATAATATATTATTATACTGTGTAGATCATTTTATAGCATACACGTGCATTATTACATTACGTCGGTTTCTCGCCGCCGCATTCCATTCCCATATGGTTAGGTCATGATTATATTTTATAACATTATAGTCACATTATTGGGCTTTAAACTACCAATGAAAATGCCACTTCCGTTTGACCCAAAATTGATTCGCAGATACCTACCGAAAACGATTAATCACTATCGGGATTGCAAAATCAATATGTTAGTATTGTTTTGTCTATGTTGTTTTTACTTCAGATCAAAACCATAAGTCGTCTGAAAATATTCAATAGTTCGCAGTCTAAATATATACATAAAAAAATTTAAAAGAAAGGTAAATAAACTTTTTTTATACCGTTTTAAACATTAAAAATATCATTTCACCTACCGCATTTATGAATAACTAAAAAAGCGCGTACCTACCTACTTAAAGTATTTCTTTTAAATTAGATGCCTTATATCACTGCCAGGCCTTAATTTACGCATGTGCATGCAGTGCACAAGCACAGGGCCCTCAAATTCCGAGAGCCCCTTCCCACTCTATAAAAAAAAAATGAGAGATGAAAGAAAAAAATATATAAAAAAAATAATATAATAAAATAGAAAAAATAAAAAAAAAATTAGTAAGAATAATAAGAATATAAAAAAATAAAATTGTATGATATGAAAAATAAATTCAAAATCTTGTATTATTTTATAACGATTGTGAGAAATTTCATGTCTTATCGATCAATACGCTAATCGGTAATAAACAGGGCTCGTATTTTGTAGCATTTGCAAATTTTTTTTTGAAAAGTACTAGTAATACCTAAGTAAGTTACACATTTATTTTAAATAATCAGAAATTTTTTGTTGTATATTTTGAATTTTTAACGCTATTTTGCTGGTTTGATGTTTTTAACGCTATTGGACGCTTATATCGTCAATTCAAAGAATATAAATGCTTATCTTTTTGTGTATTCTAAAATTTTAAGTGCATATGTAAGCGCTTATATGAATTTTTTTAAGAGCATATTATTGCGATTATAACAACTTTCTTAGAGCTTTAAGTCACGAGCCCTGCTAATAATGCTTATACCATGTGCCAGGTCTCTTATCAGTTTCATAGCGTGAAATTCTGACAGAATTGATCGTTAGTCTATCATCACTCAACGTTTTAAGGACAGTGATTAGATTATCGTATAATTTCGGTAGACTTAATATAGGAGGAAACAAACACACAATGTTTGGTTTGCTTTGTTTCAACCGAGATCTCGAATATGTTTGTCAAAAGTGAAAAAATAAAACACTAGTTTTTGCTTTTCGTCAAATTTGAGTAACAAAAGACGTCTAATTATGAACAATTTACTTTTTATCCCTTTACGTTCGAATGTTTCAGTAATTGCTTCCCAGATTTTTAATGGAGTCTCCTTACAGTCTCCATATTCTAGATTAATGTCAGCTATTCTTTATATAAGTATGGACTTAATTTTTCTCAATATCTTAAGTTTCTTAGCATCATCAGTAACATTTGGTGTATCTTCTTCAGTCCTCACAGACAACACCAAATCTTGTTATTCATGTAAGATTTCCATTCGGTATATCTAGTTACTAAAATTTTCTCCATTGAAGAGTGGAACTTTATATTTTTCTTCTTCAGTGTTAAAATAAGGATCAATTACCGACTGGTAAAAAAAATTGTATAGTGATACAGGTATCATAAAAGTAATTTTTAGCACGCGATGCGTGGTGAATAATACAGAAAAACAAAAAAAGTTTCGATTATCATACGGCGTAAAATAAGAAAAACAACTTAGTAGGTTATGATAATTAATTAAATAAATAAAACACAAATTCACACGTGGTACAATATGTGACGTGGTCCGATTCATCGTACAACAAAACCTGACGGATGTCCAATGCGTCCGGAGCAATCAAGATGCATGTTAATTAAAAAAGCAACCGGGTAACATCTAAACTACACGTCTGGGGCGCCATTCGAGACGACGCGCCGAGCTGAACTGGGCCGTGACCACGTCATTAGGTTAGACGTTTGAAGCTGGGTGTCTGTCCGTTTGGCCCGCTCTTACAGGGTGTGTAGGTATTCGGCCGACCAACGGCACCGCGGTGACTGATGAAACTGGTCCAGGAGCCTCCATTGGTCGCTACTATCGAACGGCCACCGTCGTCCGAAGTACGGGGAGGGATTGCTAGTAACGGTCGGACCACCAGGAAGATTCCGGGTGTGAGACGCTCGAGGACATGCAGGTCAGTCGATGCCGGAGTTAGCGCTCGGGAATTGAGTATCGCTTCTATGCGGTACAACGCCGTCGCGAGTTTCTCGTAGGTAAAGGTGTGCGCACCCACGATCCGGACCGGCAAATGCTTCGCGGGCCGTACTGCTGCTACCCACAGTTTACCGAAATGCGGAGCGCTGGGCGGGTTAAATGGGCCCCGTACAGGATAACGCGGTGGCGGTGATAACGGCCTGTGTCTTGGCGATATTCGCCGGTTGACGGAGCCGCCGGTCGGCACCGATAAAGTTGGTCCCGCAGTCCGAGTAGACGTCGCGATATTCAAATCGGTGTTCAAAAGAGGGGGTACCTATTTGAAAATCAAATTACTTATTTAAGGTATATGGATTAGGGGTGAATAATTAAAAATGTTATTAAAATAAAGCTTAAACGATTCCATAATGATTAGAAAAAACAGAAATCAAATTCACTTAAAATCCTCAGAGATAATTGCTGGTTCATGATAAAAATAATCACCCCGTATACAATTTTAAATTGTACGCAATCCTTGTTAATATTATTGATCCCTGTTATTTTTTTAAAATAAATGTATACCCGCGGTAAGGCCGCTCACGGATGGTAGGTAGCAAGGAACATGAAAACCGACCTTTGGCGTCAGATATCAAGACTGTTGTTTAGTAGGAACAAAAACCGGACTATCGTTAAAGATATGAAAGATATATTGAACACTCTTAGAGTTTTTGATTTAAATGAGTTTGTATACATTCCAACAGAAAAGAGAACCAAATTGAACAACAAAACTCGAAAAGGGAAAATGATTGGATATACACACAACGGGTACCTGACAAAAAAAGAATAGTCACAGCCAGGGACATTGTTTTTGATGAACCAATTGCAATGAATAACCAGACGACTCAGAAGAAGATACGCAAGCAACATCGACCAATGAAGAACAGACAGATGAACAAATGGAAAACCCACAATCAACAAGCAAGGACAGTCAGAAAGTCAGAAAATAGACACACCACAAACATATGAAAGTCAAACGACAAGAATAATTTGATACAGAAGATTTAGGTGAACTCAATTATTACCTCGGAATATATCTGACACAGATAATTTACTAACTTTTAATTCGATAAACCGAGTAAATATACCGAATCTAATTGACAAATGAAAAATGTCGACACCTAATTGAAACCTTTATTGAGCAAAACACGTATAAAACAAATTTTAGATAACCTACATTTTAGGATCAAGTTGAAATGGGTTTGAATTTATTAGAACACAAAATGGATTTCTATTTTGAAAATTATAATAGCAAAAACTTGGAAAGCATTCAATTCAGTTTACATGAATTTAAATAAAACATAATCACATATTAAATGATAAAATTGCTTATAACACAAATACAATATGTATATTACTTTTATTATTAATAATTATCAATTATTATGTATTAAGCAATTATAGCATACTTGATTTTATATATATTTTTCTTAATGTGGGTCGCATACCCAAAAAAGAATAAATGTGTGGGTCGCCTTAATAAAAAGGTTGGGAACCACTGGTGTAAAGTATCTTTTGGCTATACAAATCTAACTATCAATAATTTAATTGAAACATGTGTCTCGTAAAATAGGACATATTTAAGACCCTGTCTTTTACTATTTATATAGTATTTACTATTTTTATACTTATAATTGTTCATTATAAGTTGTACTAGCACGTATGTCGTGTAGGTTAGGTGGGGAGGGGGTAATATGTTCACTCTACAAATTTCTAATGAGAGTAAATTTAATATCCTAATACCGTCTTTGTTTTATATATAATTTAGCATTATAGCAATGTTCAATGGACCATGAAATAAAGAACTGCACATTAAATACGAGTTTAATATTAAAAAAATTACAATTTTGACAACTAAATTTTAATGATGTGATAGAACTTAATATTTATATTCAATTAGGTATTTCATTCAAATGATGAAATAGTTTGTTTTCATATGAGGGCATTTAATTAAATATTATATGAATAGGTCTAATTATATGGGTGTCATATGTTTTCCGGGGTCAAATAGTTAATCTGGTCGTGTCAGCTTTCAACTGTTAGGTACTATTATATGCAGTAAGTATTAGAGGATTCAGGATGTTACGCGAAACCGTTAGAAAGCCAGGAAGTTCACGTCATAAATGGATTGACATCTGTGAGAAGAGATCTGACCAAGATAACCACCACACTAGACATTGACGCGTGCTGCTAAACAAGGAAGAATAAAGAGATATTAATGGTTGAAACACCAGAGAATCTGAATGGTCCTATACAGGATTTCCCATGAATATATCTATTTGTAAATATATTATAATTATTTTACGAAATGGGTATATCATCGTGGGACACTTTATATCGATGAATAAGAAAACCACATACATTTTTTAAATTGTTTTATCCAAAAATCGCGCATTTTATAATAATGTATAATCTATTATTTATAAATAATTAATCTAAAAATATATAAAATAAAATGTCTTATTTAGTTGTTGTATATGATCAATATAAAATCAAATGAAAAAATTATCAAAATTTTGAGCAAAATGCCGATGTTTTTTAGAAATTTTAAACAATCTCCTTCCTTCGAAAATTCTTTTCAACATTTAAACAAGTTAAATACAATTTAATAAAAAATGATGTTTTACTAATATTAAAATGTACCTATTAGTTAATAGGTTATTAGTTAATAATAACAAGTTAGTTAACTTGTTATTGTTTTTTAATTGGACGGACAATATGTTCAATTCCCTTATGGTACTGGTTCATACGTGCTATTGTATCGATATGAATATTTCAATAACATCAATAACCATAAATACAGATGGATTTGGAGCATAAAATTCAGAGTTAAAACCTTGGTGAAATATTTCAGCTCCATTAGTAGTCTTTATATTTGTATTAATTGGATGGAGCCATATTTCCATCAAAAACTGTCCTTCGATATAATTGTCAAAAATGTAATCTCCAAATGCAGTACATGCATCTTGTGGTGGGCATATGGACATTAAATCAACGAATGCATCAGTGGCTTTATGTATTGGTAAAAATAATAATCCAGAAAACAATTTGAACCAATGACTTGTTTCATTTAGATTTTCATTATGTAACCGTCGAAGGTCAGTGAATGGATTTTTTTCCATAAAGTTTGACCAAAATGAAATCTATAACCTTTGACCTTTACTCCAATAAATGTTTCTTGTACAAAATTATGAGCAGCTATCTCAAAATCGAGATGGATAATGTTGATGTTTAAAACTTATCCAAACTCCATACATAAATGTTTAATATTGGCCTACATATTTAAACAACATGGTTCAGATTTCGAAGGCAAAAAACAATGTATCAAAGGAAAAATCAGGATCAAGGAAAAGGAATCAGTTTCAACTAGACCAGTCAAAATTATTCGTACGGGACTTATGAAAAGTATTAACAGTTCGGTTCTTCAGCATAAAGATTTAAATTCTGTTCGAAAAGCTATTTATTGCAAAAAATGAAAAATATATACTGCTCTACCCAAGACCATTATTGAGACTGCTACTGAACTTCGAAATATAAAGAATGATGATGTTTTTAAATATAAAGATCAACAATTTAATCAATAAGATAATCGTTTAATTATGTAAAAGAAAAAATGAAATGCTCATATACGTTTTACAAAAATGTTTTTTTTTAATTTTTATTATTAACTATTTTAGATAGAACCTAGAAATGTTATTTATATAATCGTGTTGCACATTTTTAGTTTTTATATAATATTCTGAGTGTAGCGAAAAAGCTATTCGTTTTACTATAATAAGATGTGGGCATTTTTTATAGATAAATAATTGTCGATACATTGGTTTAATTTTTATTGATTTCTGAGCTCACTTGCAATCTAAAATATGTAAATAAATGTGACTATAACCTTATCGGTTTACTGAGTTCCACTTTTAGGAAGGTTTTTGTCCTGTTTTTTGATAGCAATGATTTATTGTTGCTTAGAATATGGAAAATTAAATTACCTTACACCCCATATATCTTTCAAACTTCGTACATTGATACGAAGCATCCGAGTACGGCCCAGCTTTTTTTTAATCGTTTAATATACCTATAATATAGGTATTATATTATAATAGCCTACAATAACTTATAATTATTGTATAACAGCTTGAGACGTTCCGTGTTCGGTCGGCCTTGTTTGTGAACCGACCCGAGCGCCCAGCTGACTACCCGCCTAGTGGTAAGTTCGCCAACCTAGGACCGAGGACCGAAGACCGGAATCCTAGGATCTTGTGAGGAGGGGAGGAAAAAAACATAGAATTCGAATAAGTAAACACACGGTTTTCTCGGGGGAAAGTATATAATTATTTATTCGATTTATCAATCAAAAGTAAAATTTAAGTTCGTATAACAGAAAAGCCCGGGGCATAAAAACCGTTAATTAAGAAAGAATGTACAATGGGTACGATTTATAACATTAATATATGTATAGATCCAGGCTCGATCTATATATATATATATATATATATATATTCCTTTTTTATATACACACACACACACACACACACGTGGTTGCGAAACCTAGTACTTAAAGGGAAGAGAAAAAAATAACAAAATACCGGGGGGGGGAGGGTTGGCCTATCGCACTTAGGATGTGGAACGCGGGGATTAGCATAATGAGACGGACACACAAATCTAGCCGGTTGATTCCCATAAGTATATCAGAAGGGTTTACTATACGAAAATTCATGCGGAGAAACCTTAATTGAATTACATTAAAAACGAATTAACTAACTGACGAGGTATCGGCCAATTACTAAATTACTTACATATTACCATCGTTCTTCCGAAGATGTCCGCCCAGCGCACCAGATCGGGACTCACGTCATTGATTCGTTCGAGGCACCATCATGAATCGTGCCAAGGTACCCGACCTTTTCTTGGCGGCAAAACTTGGTGTGAATTCGTGTAATACACGGGGATATTTTATCAAGAGAACTGTAGTCAAAGGCCGTCTGGTGACAGAATTCTCGAGGCGGTGTCCACACACGAAGAACGAGCGGAACGAACGGAAAAAGAAAAACTGTGTAACGGAGCGCGGAGACGTTCGAGGCGCGTTGCCGCGGGCCGACGTTTTTGGCGATAAGGGAGAACGTGATATGATTGGCCGTTAACCCGTAGTCGGAATTACAATATTATTGCGAATTGCGACAGATTGCGGATCGCATAGATCTTTGCGCGAGGAGGGGGGAGGGGTGGGAGAATTATTGTTCATGATGACGTAACATATCCGTCGACGCGGGCGTAATCTATTCACCGGTCGACCATATCGATTGTAGTTATGGTTGTCCTTTGATAACGGGAAATGGTCGTTTTTGGACGTTACCGGCTATTACAGCTATTATTATTATTCTGAAACTGTAGGAAAACCAATGAGTTCGCATTAATTGTATAAATAAACGTGACGTCGGATATGTCGCTTATTTATAAAATATTACCCGTAAAACAAACGAGCGTTTTGAACATTTCCTAATCTATTAACCATCGTCAATATTATACACCAATATCTAAATATTTTGTTAGTGAAACTATAGTTATTTACTTTTTATCTAAGGCAACCGAAAACGAATTTCTTTGAAAACAAAAGAGGAGTATACTCTACTGTTGAAACTTTGATGTCCGTAATGCCATTTTCAAGAATTAGGTATTATTGTCACGTCAGGTTCGATTTCGAAATTCTTAGTCCGCCTCTTACTCTTCTGGTAGCGTAGCAAAGTAACATAATTTTAAAAATGATATCCCTTACCCACCCTAAAACAAATTCTTAATCACGCTACCGGCACGAAGCACACGTATTCAAAATTACAAGGAATACCGAAAAAAAAAAATATTGAAATTATACGTTTTACGTATAGTTCGTAAAATATCTCATATTTCGTGGGGGTGAAAGATGATTTTGTCACGAGGATACATCTGCATAATATTTTTGATGCTAACTAGTTATTAATTGATTCAAATAAAGTAAATAAATATATAAATATACAAATAAAAAACGTATGTACAAAAATCAAATAAATAAAACATGTTTCTGAAATAAAATAAAATAAGACTGCCCCTAATTCAAATTTCGCTAAACATGTTTTAGAAAATAACCATAATATAAATGATATGTTATTAATTCAGTTTTAAAGAATTACATATGCACAATTAAAATAAAGAAAATTAATTATAATAATATTTAAAATATTCAAACCGATTTTAAAAATAATATCTCATATCAGTACATTTTGGATAATAAATAATAACCAAATAATTTATATTTCTTAACATATCCATGTCTAATAATAACTAATTTTAAATAATCTCTCTAATTAACATACATTTTTTTTCTATTTATTCCTTTTTTTAATCTTTTATATTCAGTCGCGTTTTACATTTTGCCTGTGATACACCTGATGATGAATTTTTAATTCGAAACTGGTCGTATAATACTCCAGGCGACGCATTGATTAATTAATTCATTTTTTTTATATGAACATTTTTTATTTATATATTTATTTACGAGTATTAGCCATTTTGATAATTTTGTTTTTACTTTATTATTTTATAAATTGATTAGGTCGATTTGTAGTTATCGATAACAAAAAAATTATCAACATTAACACGGTTTAAAATGTAACTCCTGCTTCGAGATGGCAATATATATGTTGTATCATAGCTATTTTTTCCTACTTAACACACGTAACAAGCCACGACCACGGCGCGGGATAACCGGATTGCATTAAATAATATTGTGTTTGAAAAAAAAAAACAGGCGTGCGTGTTTCACAATATTAGTTTTTATTCGTGACCCTGAAGTTAACCGCGAATTCAAAACAATATCGTTTCCAACTTCGTAGACTATAAAACCGATAATAACCAACGGTCGTGATAACTGATAGTGCGTTATCATTAACCGTGTGGATTTTTGGTAAAACTCGTGCCGCATTCAATTCGTAGTTCATTTAAATCATTTTCGTATACATTTTTCGTTTAATTTTATCGAATTTGATGTTATTTATTTACTTAATTTTTTAAACAATCGAACAACAATTACAATGTCAGTAACAGAAACTGTAGTGGTGAACGGTGTCAGTGGACCCGAAGAACAGGTCGAAAATGCAGACGACTTGAACGCCAAGAAAACGGTAAAATATGACAGTGGAGCCGCCGATCTAGAAAAAGTAACCGACTATGCCGAAGAAAAAGAAGTTATATCGACGGACGACATTTCGGGGGTAATTGTTTACACTGTTGTTATATCATACCTTATTATTTTTTTTTTTTGATATTTGATGAATTCAATATTTCTTTGTCTATTTAACAGGCAATGACCATTATCGGTGACAGACGATTAAAAGAAGCGGCAGATAAAATAGCAAAAGAAAGAGAATTACAAAAAGTTTCTATAAAAAAATCCGATGTAGAATTAATTGTGAGTTTATTATTATATATCTACGTAAACATATAGATTTTAAAAATTAATCGTTTACATATTATTATTCTATTGCATAGCCAATAGGAATTGAGTCCTGATATAATATGTTTTTTCAATTTTTAATTTCTTTTTTACAGTTTTAGTCAAAACTGTATTATAATATATTACAAGTTTGGTTATTTGTATTTGTATGCCTACATAAATATTACATATCACTTTCATCAAAATCTAGTGTATTCATATAGAGTATTTAATCACTTTAATTCATAAAAATTATGGTAATAATTAATTTGACATCGAATGTGTAGTAGATATTTAGAAATTATTTTATGTGTTTCATATTGCAAATAACTATATTAATATTACCACTACAATATCAGAAAGAAATTATTGAAACTAAAAATAATTAGAAATTAATTAAGAACCAAAATATCTCAGAATACTCGGAAGACTTAATGTTTGTATCTTGCAAATTAGATATAAACATCAATAATAAAAATGTCATAGACAATTTTTCTGAATTTAGTAGGTAGTACCTACATTTGGTTTGTAATTTATATAAAATATGACTTTAAAAAATAAGAACTAAATATAGTAAAAAATGTATCTTTTTATTGCACTTCCTAAAAAATACGTGATCCAAGGTTAATAGATAACAATATATATGCTTTAAAAAGTAATATTTTTTTTAGGTAGGTAATATTGATACATTTTTATTAATCAATTTACCAAATCTGTATTGAAATTAAAATATTCAAACCACATATCTCACAGTGATTTGTCACTGAAGAAGTTATCCATAAGTTGTTTTGGTAGAAGTAAAATGTAGGTGGATGGCTTGCTATTAAAATATTTGAACCAATATTTTGTAAATTTAATACATGGTAAGCACCACTGAAAGAAATATCATATTTTGTCTAGTTTATATATTAACTAGCTGAACTGATTTCTATCTATTGAAAATCTATTGCTAGATAATAATGTTAATAATTATAATAGTAATTTTATTGTCCATGGCAACCAAATTATCATCTGTATTACCAAAGTAACCTAAAAATGAATAAACGAATAAACAAAAATTAATAAATAAATTTACATAAACAATTAGATATTCGTATCAACAATACCTAAACACATCTATATAATTCACTGGATTTAGATTGGAACTTTGAAGACTATCCTATCTTTTAAAATGGATCAAGTTACACACATTGAGCATTATATTATCAAAATCGGTTGAGTAATTACAGAGTGCATTGCATCTAAACTCATTGTACACATTATTTTTACGTACATAAGATGCGTCAACTGTGTTTCCTAAATTTATAAGAAATAGTTTTTAAACAAAAAAAATTAAAATATGATAAATTATTTAATTTAATGATTGGGTATTAATACTATGATAATATATTTAAGTAGGTACCATATCTTTAATCATAATAATACATTGGATTAATATTATGGTGATAATACATTAACATTAACTAGTTTAATGACCATTAATCTTAGTATTAATTTATGAAAGTGACAAAGGTTTGTGAACTATCTATGTATTGTCATGTGATGAATGTGCTATTGGCATTCTGCTAAGTTAACTGGCACTAAAAATAGAACAATCAATTCTGTTATTAAAAATAAATAAAATAAGAATTAACTAAGGTCGATTTACTTTTAAATTATATTTTTAATTTGTAGCAACTGGGTCAACATTACTCATTTCAATTTTTCAATAAGAGGTTTGGATACAGCAAATTTAAAATAACATATAAATTCAAATTAGATGTAATTAAATAGATATCTATAGGTTTTTATTTAATTAAACAAATAGTATTATAGAAATTATAAAAGTATTGAAAATTTCTCATAGAATATAAAAATTCACTCGTTCATATTATATCAAAATCAGTATATTGATTAAAGACATATTTACATAGTTTTTAAATTTTACTTTCAGTTATAAAACATCTGCTTATAGTTAATTAGTTATGTTTTAATTCCTTTTAAATTAGATATTGACAAACATTAGCCTACATTATACATTTAACATTAATAATATTTAATTTGACCAATTTTCAAAAGTGTTAAATTCTACATTTTTCATTTCTTTAAATATTTTATATTAAATAAATACATTTTGATGTCTTTTTTTTTCAAAATTCACAGTGAACTTGGTTAAGATTATTTATGGTTAGGAATAATGTTGCAAAGATTGATTTCTTTTTTTTAAATAACTCAAACTATTAACTTACAATTGGTACTATTGTTCCTATAAGCAGTATAAGTGATGTTCATATTAATAATATTAACTAAATATAATATTGTACTACATTTTTAGTTTAAAAATCAATATATTGAAATGCTTTTTCAGTATTATGTAAACACATTTATCAATTATTTTTTTCTTAATGACTTATTAAATATAAATACATTAAAAACCCATATTATTTTATAATAAAAATAATCATTAATTTTCAATTTAATATTATAGTTTGCTAATGTTTAACAAAGAAAAACTGTAAATATGGTTTATTTATGTGTTTCAAAGAACAACGAGTAAGTAGTTATATAAAACAATATAATATAGTTTCTTATATTACAGATAATACAATTTAATCTAACACTTTAATATCAATAATAAATTTAATAGGAACCACTTAAATTTTTTTTTTTTGAACAATTTTCAACAGTATAAATTCTTTTAAACTATTTTCAATAATAAATAGTATAGAAGTAATATCTATGTAATAATGTATTTTGGCGTTCACCAGAACTATTGGAACTATCCAGGTACCCGGATATTTAAAAATTTGGATAAAAATCAACTAGAATAATCATATTATTCGGTGGTTATATTCAGATATTAGATGTAATATACGTATGTACCATGTACCTACAATTCAGAAATTTTTATTAATCAAATATTTATAAAATGTAATCTAGAATATTTAGGATATAAATGGTTACCCATATATTCAAATAAAAATACATAGGTACTTGGAAAACATTAAAAGTACAGACATCTGAATGCAATAAATATTAGAATATTACTGCTAATCGAGAATATTCAGATTTTGCAATCAATTATCCAGATGTAACAATCTTATTAACCGAATATATGCCCCAACACTTCACCACCCATTTAAGTTGCTATTGCAAAATTTTGATCATTATTATTATTTCAATTATTGTAATTTTTTATTATCATTTTATAAAATAGAGAAAAAAATTGATAACTTTTGGTGAAAAATATTTTGAAAATACTTGATTAATTTACTCAGGAAATTATAAATTTACGAAAAACTTTGTCAAGACAGTTTTAGATTCTGAGCAAAACAAGAAATGTATTGGTTCTATAATGATATTTATTTATTTATTTTATTTTTAAATAGATAATTTTATGTTCTATCTTAAATTTAAAGTCTGATAGATTTTTATGTAAATGCTACAGTTTTTAAATTAATTTTAAAAATTGTCAAAGTACCTCTTAAGTTATTTTTGAACCCTTTTGTGACACATACGTGAAGAGAAAAAAATGAGTTCAAAATTATCAAACATTTTTTTCTTTAACTATAAAATAAAGACCACCCTAATAAATATATTATATTCACTTGATAGGATATTGTTGATGTCCACTAATTTAAGTTTTGAAGGAAAACAATATCACATTTTTGTTATAAAACCAATAAATTATTAAATTAACATTAGGTACTTCAATTATTATTTCTACTCTGTGAACTATACAAGTGGTTTTAATCTGGGTTTTAATTATCATACCATAGTAATTACGTATAACTGAACATAACATAACTACACAAGTATTTCAATTATTATTATTATTATTATTTTTTTTTAATATTTAAAATATATATACTTATATATGTATGTGACATTTAAATTATATTTTATTAATACTACCACAAGTATTAAATTTAATATTTTAGATTCAAATAATCTGATAAATTAATTAAGATTAAAAAATTATTAATTTTCTTTAATCATTGAAGTAAAGGATAAATAATTTTCTAGTATTTTTTAAAAAAATTTAAGATTTGTGATATCCCAAAAAAATTAAATATATGCCAATTCTGTTTGATTAAGTATATTAAAAAGTCAATAAATCATAACTGAAAATTTACATTTTTACTAGGTAATTACAAATATTTGTTTTTTTTACTTAATAAAATAATAATACTCTATTGAATTGTATATTTAAATTCAACAAAAGTTTATTAGATGTGAAGTAAATATTTTCTTTCTCTCTGTTTCTCTTTCTCCTCTCAATTTGGTTTGTATCTTCACTCTGTCTATTTCCGTGATCTACTATCTTTTTCATTAGTAATTACAAATGGCATCTTTAATCCTTTATAATCTATTTTATATATTGAATAGATATTTCAGTTTGGGACTTCTTACATGACTATTTCCTTCAAAATCCCTCAATAACCAATTTTAACAGACCTTCATGTCTGTTTACATAAGGTTATATGGTCAATCCATTAATTTTGTCTTCTTATCTGACTTTTTATTGTTTTTTCTTTCAAATATCTTCTCATATAGTTATATAATAAATATAAGTATCCTTTTAGATTCTGGTTTAGCAAATAATGTATTAGTTTTACAAAAATGTTTTTTTTTTATGTGAATATTTTTCTACCAGAAGGATTATTCTGATTATCAAGTATAGCATCATTTCTGAAAGAAAATGTTCTCTGGGTGGTACTTTAGAAAAGTCATTTTTTTGAAATTCTCATCAATATCTGAGATAATGAAGAAAATTGATTCTTTAAGTTAACTAAAGATTGAACAATTAAAAATAAGGTTGTCATTGGCAACTGTTTTTATTATTATTAAGTTTGTTTTATTTTAATATTTTTTAAACAATCATTTTCGTCATGGAAAGGCACATTGTTGTAATCTTTTACCATAATATGACATATATATTGTTGACAAAGCTACACATCAACTGAACTCTGCTGAGAATCATTGTTTACAGATATACATTAAATTCTCGTCTGTATCCTACCTTCCCAACTTCCCACCTACTACAGTGGCTGCACCCATGTACGAAGTATGTCTGCCTTATTTTTTTTTTTTAAATGTTAGTTTTGATATATGTGGTGGTTTGACATAGATATAATAATAATATCACCTGTATAAATCATTCTAATAGAATTTAAAACATTTCACTCTTAGTTTATATGAAATGATTTTGTGACTGATAATAAACTATTGAATTTTATTTTTAGTCTCATGCTAAATATTGAAATATCGAATAGTCTATTGACTATTGGGGAAATATTACATAACACAATATGTTTATCTTACAATTGTGTTCAAATCATATTTGCTATTTCATATTTTTTTTAAACAATTATTATTTTTAAAATATTAAAATCAATGTTTTTCTTTGTACACACTAAGTAAGTAGGTACAAAACATAATAACCATTGTTTTATTATTTTTAACATAAATGTTATCTTTTGATCAGTTTTATTTGTCTTTATAGTGCGTAAATAATAAATATTACACAAAGTACCCAATTATTAAAAAATAAAAATAAAAATATGTGTTTATACATATAACACTTTTTATTGTCCTTCTATTAACAGGTATATGTTCAATTCAAATTATTAATATCATAGACTAAAGAGTTTATGCTGTACAAACAATATAGTCTTTGTAGGTACCTACTAGCTGCTATTCAATTGCGTTTATTTGTAATAACAATTAGTTAATAGTTTTATTCTATTATTCTATAGTAACTAGTTAGTTCTAACTTATAACCTAAACTATGCCGTAGCAACACATACGATGCTAAAACAGTATGTTTCGAATTGATATATAAATCATACTCAACTGCGTACTACGTACAGTTCGTAAAAACTCACAAACATATTTCGGGGAGTCACAAGCACAACCCCCTAACTCCCTCTTGTTACGCCACTGTAAATTGTTTTTTAAAAGTCTGCGTGTAATTTTTATATGTGCGCAAATAAATTACATCGTGACACGTGTTTATGGTATTTTTGGAACGAAAATCTAATTATTTGTATTTATTTTATAGATTAAACCATGTACGTCACATAATAATAGAAAAACTTAATATTTCTTTTATTGATTCCAGTTTTCTAAAAGATTTGTTGAAAATTCTGTCTAGTAAAAAATATAACTAACGACCGTCGACCGCTATGCCCAATTGTTAACATAGGTCGACAAAACTATTCTGGGTGTTTGTTGTCCACGTAATTTTTTTATGTTGTAACCGTTAAACGTGTTTAAATCGCGAACACGTCTCGGACGTAAACATAGTACGTAGTATAAAATGATGCTCGACTATACTAAAATGTATTAATATTGTTGTAAAATCTTATATGCATTACGTAAAACAGTGTATTATAATAACTGTATCTTATTAGCGTTAGCTTGAGAGAATAAACTACGTATTATTATTGTTGTCGATCGGTGTCCGTTCCATAGTTCAGAAAAAAAATTGAGCTCGACATACTGCGGCGCATGCGTACCGAATATTCTGAGGATATGTTTTGCTCATTAGTCTCCGTGTTGTTATAGAGAGTGTTTCTTTTATTAGTGATTAACTATCATACAGAGTGATCGACGTATTATTTATTGAAAACCTTAATATTGTCGTTTTACTACCCGAGTGATCAGATTTTCAATCTGCCACTTTCTGTAACTCTTGTGACTTTACTAAGATCAATTCGTTACAATTTAATCTTTTTGAAATTATTACCGTGCTATCTCGGATAAAGTAATTTCTAGTCGTAAAAAAAATATCAATTGACATTTAATATGAATTTAAACCCATTAGATATAATTCGATAAATTACATCCGCCAATAAATGTTTTTTTTATACCTATGATAGTTAAACATTATTTGAATTTTAATGAATCAATATATCTGTAGTAGATAGAAGGTAATCCTGCTTGGTATATTAATTAATTTAAGTTCCGTCGACAGGAAATCGTTATTTCAATTCTCAATAACATCGATTTAAATTTGTATGCTTTTTATTCAACACTGTGTTATACATATGGTATTGATCTGTATATGTTTCTAATTTATATATTCAATTCGTATTATGCATGTTGATTTAATATCGAAATTAATACGAGATAAAGAAAACAACAATTGTATTATGTTTTTAAACATAACATATTACCTGCCGATTTTACGCATTTTCAAAAATGCTTTCTCCGTGTGAAGTTTTTGGAAAAATAGATTTTTCAAACATTATACTAAATTAAAATAAATCTGAACACGAAACATGTGAACAAATATTTATAAACGATAATAATATTATGCCGATAATCGAGATGGAAGTCAGTCACTTTTTTTCATTTTAGTCACTTAAAGTCACTTTTTAAGTATTCTCATACAATTTAATAAAAAATAATTATTATATTGATATTTATTACGAGACCTTGGTATCTTACCAGTTCTCAAGGAATGATAACGTTGGTGATAAAACAAAATCGGTCAATAGTAGTTATATCTTGTTTTGTGGTCATATTATTTTCATTGCGTTAATATTATGAAACTTGATATTTTCTGTGTATATTTTGGTGATGTTTGTCACTCTTAAGGCTTAATTAAATTAACACATAATGTTCCAAATTTGTATAACCATCACAAATATTGTCAAAAATGAGTACCAGTAATTTAATCATTGTAGTAAAAGCATTACCTTTACAGAAAGATTTAACTATCCAAGAAACTTCTACCAGTCAAATTAACATTTTTTGAAGTTCAATAATAAATCAGAGTTTAGAATCTGGAAATCTTAAGTATCCCGCACTGGCTAGAGAACATAAACTGTCTGATGTGTGTCTTATGGAAATGCAGATATTGAGAGAGAATTTTCATCATCTTTAAATTTTCTGACTGAAGACTGTGCTAATATGTCAAAAAAAAAATTTAATTCAGCAATGACTGTAAAAGATGCGCTTAAAATCTATTAAAATCGACTAGCAGTTGTACCCATTACACCAAAAATTTTGACTTTGGCTTAATGTGCTTACAGCTGATACAATAATTTTTTGGAAATAGAAAAAATAAATTGGTATGCAATCAAAATCTTGCAGAAAACAATAAAAAGGCTAAAGAAATATTATTTAAAAATCAAAAATGCATTGTTAAATACAGTGAAGAATTAGTTAATAAAAGAAAAAGAGAAAAAAACAAATCTAAACAGGCCAAAAAATTATTATTGGAAACAAATGATTGCTTCCAAAAAGAAGTCGAGAATCAAAATTTTGAAGAAATAGAACTAGCCCATGCCGTGTTAGCAGGAGTACAAAATATTGAAAAAAGAATTATAGAAAAAAAAGTAGCTGATGATATTCAATAAAAAATGTACGATAAGGCCTATTTCAAAGAACTCTTAAATATTAAAATTGGTGTTGTTAAATATTAATTGGAATATTTAATTTAGGTCTGGTGGTCAATTTTGTTATTTTTCATTAAAAAGTGCATGCGTACTCCGCGTATTTTAAAAAAAAAACGTACATGGCGTATTTGGACTTTATTCTGCTATTTTCTTTTATAGAAGCATATTTTTGTTTTTTTCAGTGTTATCACTAGTTATATTAATTGATAAATGGAATATAAATTAATTCGTACAGAATTTTTCTCAATCTATGTTTACTTGTACGAAAATTATTCGTCTGTTGACCGATAAACGATTAAAGTTCGTTCAAACACTCGTTTAATTCTCAAATGTATAGCGCATTAATATTGTTCAACCAAGACAATTAAATCTGAACGCATTCATTATAAACTAAAAATCTAATCTTATACGATTCAAGACATAATAAAACATTACACTATTTCACCTATATGATTTAGATAGGTGGCGATAATCAATGGTAACATATCGGAAATTTCAAAAAATTATAAAAGCTTGCAAGTTCGCGAGTACTTTGCGTACTTCCATTAACTAAATAGCCCCCTCCAGGTGTTCCTCGAAGAAAAGAGGAGATAGGTATTCACCGATCATTTTGTGTTTTATAACGAGTTTCTTAAAAGACCGTCAAACGAACGTATACGACATAGCGAATTTGCGTTCATCACAGCAAGGACGACATTGTGTGGTTAGTTTTAATACTAGAGTGAATTGACCTGTTGTCACACTTAAAGATAAGAACGTGTTATCTGTGTAATTTCGGCCATTTGTTTCTCTCGATATTTAAATTTTCAAGCTAAACCCGAGTGTGAGAAATACATCATAATTTACTAACGCTTACATCTCGCGTGAACATTAAAATTATTGAAATGAAAAAAACGTTACGCAGATAATATGTACTTATCTTGAAATTTGATAATAGGTCAATTCACTCTAGTATTAAAACTAACAGCACAATGTTGTCCCTGCCGAACGTGAATTTGCTATGATGACGTAGATATACGTGTGTAAAGACAACACACGCGAGTATCACGCCTTCGTAAAACGTGCAAATGTATTCCTATTGCCTGACGACGCTTAAATTATGTATTATTATGTTAATTCCATACTCGATGCTACGATACGTTTTCAATCTCGAATAAATAATTTTGTCAATAATATAAATTTGATGTTATTATTATTATTATTTTTTTTTGTTAATCATTAGCTATTGCACACTAAGTGTTTTCCGCGTAAATAAACCATTATTATTATAGGTTATAATAGCTATGCATTTTAGATAACCGTGAAATGTTGATAACTTTTTGAACAACATTAAATACACTCGAAGATCTTCGTATACTTATGGATAATCACCGATTCGTGGTACAATAATCGCCCTGTATAATATTACTATAGCCTAGCCATTGACGTTGTAGACGAACCGATAAAAACACAACGTGTTTTTAATCGTTTTCAATATAATATTATTATGTATGTGCATACAGGTACACAAAAAGACAACGGTCAACGGCTATTATTATAACGATTAAAAGTCGATTTAAAAATCGTTTAAATTTTATACGGTTGTAGTGTTAATATTTTACCAATTTTTTTTTTTTTTTTTTTGTTTTGCAGATCAGAGAAATGGAAATTTCAAAAACGCTAGCCGAGAGGACGTTGAGGGAATGTCACGGGGACGTCGTCAAAGCCCTGGTAGTTTTGACCAATTAAAAATCGGATTTTTCGAAATATATATTATATTATATTGAAAACACGAAACGCTGTACATACTATGTTAAAAATAATAATAAAAAAAAAAAAAAAAAAAACACGTTTGTTCGTACGCGACATGAGTAAATAATAAAATTACATTTATTTATTTTTTTTCTATATGAAAACACGTCATTTAAAAAATGCCTATAGTTTCGTATTTTCCGTTTACCTACCGACAATCAAATTGCTTTTTTCGCTCGTCCGTATAGTTTTCCTTACGTACGCGGCAATAATGTTCGCGCCCGTCACAACAATATACCCGCGCCGGTTACCAAACCCTGCCGCGTCTACGGCCGTGTTCCCGTGTACCCGCGCCCGGCGGCGGCGGCGGCTCATCGCCTCGTGTGCAACGAGCGGCGCCGCAGAGCGCGAAATAAAAACCTATTATTTATTGAATTATTATCGTATAAATTACCGGGTTGTGCACACAACGAACGCGGTGTTTACGCGTAGACGCGTACCTATATTGATAATTACAGTCGGCGTAACAGCGTTGATGTTTATTTTATCGAACGGACGAAAACCTTTTCGCACCGCGCCACGGCGCACTGGGTGAGCGGCGTCGCGTTACGTGCGCGGTGTGTTCGACCGTTTTGTTTGCTCTAAATATTACGACTTTTTTTTTTTTTTTTTTTTCTCTATTTGCTCACTCGATTTAATATAAACGATACATGCATAATAAGCGCGTATAGGTTTTAATAACGCGTTCTAGCCTCCCGCTCGACACTATATCGCGCCGTCGTCGTCGTCGCTCCGTATCGTATCATAATAATATTATGATTATTATTATCAACACCATCGTATCGACGACGGCTATAATAACTGCTAGGTACAACAACCGCTCGGTAATCGCAATGTTCGTCCGTAACCGCACTCGACGACCGACTTTGCGGCTGTCGTTCCCATTGTCAGGGCCGCCGTCGTCGTGTGTATCGCGTTACCGTTGACGACCGCGACACTTCGAATCTCGTCAAACGCGTTTTTTCGCCGCCGCCGTCGTATTCGTAATAGACCGCGAAAACGGACGTACACGACTCTCGGCCGCCGACCGTGCGATGTGATTTTTCGCCGTTTCGCCGATTATCATAGATATTATTATTGCGTTTGTTTTTTTTTTTGTTTTTTTTTTTTTTTTTTTTTTTTTTTTGTTTTCGTTTTTCCAAAAAGGCGAGAACCACACCTAAGTTGTTGAACCGCGATGTTTTTCGCGACCGAAGTGTCGTCGACGGCTTATTGGACGATGGCGGTGGCCGTTTTTTACGCGGCTCGTTTCGCAACGTCCGCCGCGCCACCGTCCCCGGACGAGAACATCGAAAACAGTAAGTTCGGGTCCCCGCATAAAACAACACACTTTTTAATTCACCCGGTGACGAGTCGTCTGCTGCGTCGGTATATTGTAGTATCAGTCTCGGGGAAGAAGAACTCTGGTCAATTTTGTACGGTTTTTGACACGAGCGAGTTGAAATGACGATCGTAGTATAATATTGCTACATATCAGCTGTACGCCTATAATATAAGACGACTCATGCCTCTTTTCGGCAAACAATAAGTACATCACGATGACTTGGGATGATGCGTTTTTGTGTTGGAACATACTTACATTTATGACGTCGTTTAGACATAAAATAAAAAACCACATTAAAATTGTAAAAAACAAAAAATAATAAAAAAAATCGACTTACGCCGTGGGACCGAACAGTTAAATTTTGCGCTTTTTATCCATTTACCGCGAATCAACGCGAGTTGTTTTTTTCAATACAGAATTAGGTAGGAACTTTTTTTAAATTTTTTTTTATCGATCTTACGTTATTGTTGTTTTAAATGAAGTCGACACGTCATTATTATGTGTTTTTACACAAACACGAATCTATATTATAATTAGGTACAGGTACGATGTATTTCGCATATCATCACAAAATAAAAATAAATTCATATAACTTCGAATTTAAAATGTTTATATTTTTTTTATACTTGTTTATTTATCACGTGTTGCGTCTATTTTAATGATGTGCACATCGTAGTGCACAATATTGCAGATAAAGATAGATAACAAGTAGGTATACACCTATTTAATAGTTAAAAATACATGTTACTTAATTCGTTTGCTTATACAATTTATTGCCTAAGTAAATAGTATTATTCAAAAAAAAAAAAGTGGGGGGAGGATCATTTCTAATACTCAATTATCCAAGTAGCTAGACAGTTAAAGTAAAAAAAAAAAACAAAACAAACTGTCGCTTATTATTCGCTGCATGTTACTAAAATCGAGTAACTCGTTCAGTTTTGCGTTATAGGTACCAAATAACGTTCGAATTTAAGGAGGGGTGGTAATTTCATTTCCCCTCCGCCAAAGTTGTTGGCAATCAATTAATTAAGAAATTGTATAGAAACGAAGCGTTGGTATTTATTTCCATACTCCGTTATAAATTGTTATCCAAAATTAAACTTCTGACAGTTTTAATTTTTTTTTTTTTATTTTGTTATTGCGGTATTAGTTACCCATTTATGTATAGGTACTTTGTATGCAAAACCATATAAAATCTGTTCTTAATTTTTTTTTTCTCATTTTAGATTCCGAGCGTTGTAAGAAAGCTATCGGTTTTACTAAAATGTTTATTATTTTTTCTTTGTTCTAGTCTGTGGACACGTTTTTTCTTAGTAAACTTACTTCGATTTTTACGTGTAGCAACTTTCCTGAAAGCTCAAGTTGTCTAGATGGTGCTTTAGAGGAGTCATTTTTTAAATATTAGCACTTAAGTGGGAAAAAACGTAGGAAAACGTACAGTTTCACGATTTCATTATTTTATAAAAACATGGATGACGTTTTCTACCAGAAAAAATGATTTATTCGAAAAATCACAAGATAATTTTTTGTTGCGTTTTTCATTTACTTTCTAACGGTAACATTGCAAAACTTTTGAGCTTTCAAGTAATTTTAATTTTTGGAAGTGTTTTGCTGTAATTTGGTTATAAATACACGTAGAGACTTGAAAATTGGTAATAATACTTTTATTGGACTTACCTAGACGTGGTAAAATTTCCAAAATTATCGGACGATTTTTTTTTTTTTTTAATAAGCGTTTTAAAATCAAATTTAAACGAAAATAGCAAAAATTATGTGTAACTGAACTGCGCTCAGAATCGTCTTTCGTCAAGCAATGGTTTATCGTTGCTTATAGATTTAAATGAAATAACTTTATTTATTGTACCTTCCCAACTTCTCACTTCAAACATTAGTCGCTCCCATCCCCAGTATCGGCTCTTTTTTTTAGCATTGCAGTTAATAAATACCTATTACAATGAAATACGTTTTCGTTTTTCTCGTCTCGAAAAATAAATATTTTAAAATTATACTCCGGGTTCGGATTCTTATTTCTTTTGGGTGCAAATACAAATGTCTGTTGTATATACAGGATGATTCACTAAACGTGCTCACCCCATTTATTTTTTGTTAAATTTTGCATATTTTCAAATCCTGATTTTTGGAGTTTAGACTGAAATTTCGTTCAATATAGATAACATCGACACCCACGCAACTAGGCTTATCAAAATTTTGAAAAATGATACTGCTTTCAAATTCTAATAAACACGTTTCACTATAATCACTAAAAATTCCCAAATACAGGTATATATTGTATAATAATATTAATACAACCAAGCAGAGGCGCCAGGTTTCGAAAAGGTTACGGGTGTTAATTATTTTATAAACACTCACAATATCAAAAAAAAAAAAAAAAAACGAATATTTTCTCAGTTATTTCTTCATAAATAAAATTAGTATTTTGAGGATGACAAATATTTATTTTTTTTTTTTCTAATATTATGAAGCTAATATCATGAGCTCCGTTTTACCCAGCTCATGGGAGCTGCAGCCCTAAAACCCCCCAGTACACGGAGCCTTTGAAAACTTGTATGAACATATTATTTTTTTTAAACACGAGACGCCAGCTAAATTACGAGGCACTGTTGGCTCTGTGCCCGTTTAGTTAACACCAATTGTGTAACCCGCTATATAAATATATATTGTTCACGTCGCAAACTATTATGCAACAGGTAAAAACGAGATAATCATCTGATATTGTTTCAGAAAACACTACGCTGGATTAGAGGTTAGATTTATAACACCGATATAGAACACAAAAATATACCACTTCACCAGAAAAAAAAAAAAATTGAAATGTATGCATTTCAATGTTGCAATTTTAAGTTTTTAAATAATCAAATAGGCATATCATTGAATCCAATATTAGTTGAGTACCTTCCTACATTACGTATGCAATATAGAAACCATTTTTGTAACGTTTGGCTATTTTTTTAGTTATAATATCAAATTAGTTTAAAAAGCTTAAAAAGCGTAGCGAGAGAGCGCTACGCTCGGAATCTAAAATATATCGATGACTAAAATGCCATAATAATTGTACCTACGTCTATGAATACCAAATTATTTTAATTATTCAAAATTCCATCTTGAATTATGATTTATTCATTTTTCGATTTAATTACGTACTATTATATAAACCATGCTAATGATTAAATAGTTTATATAAGTTCATTAAAATATGTGTACACTTCTTTTATATTAAAAATGGCTTGTGATATATGGTAAAATTTAAAAAATACCCAATTAAAGTGATAATGAACTTCGATGAACAATAATGGACACACAATACAAAATAGTTTGTGACGTAGTTTTTTTTTTTTTTTTTTTTGTCACTATTTTTTTACCATTCCTTTCAGAATAATCATGTCACCTCTCAAAAAGAAAAAAAAACAAAAAAATACGAATATTTTAAACATATACCTACTAATTTTACCAACAACAAATTAAAAAAACTTTGTACACCTAAGGTTTCAGTCTATATACAGGTAGGTACTTAGTCTAATGTTAAATTCGCAACTGGACATGGACAAGTATAACAGTGTCTGCACAGTTAGAAAACTGTAGTCGATTGAACATTTTACTGAATTTGTCAAACAGCTAAATTGTGAACGATGTGCTCTGATGTTAACTCTGGAGTGTTAAAATAGGTAACAATAATGTGTGTAGAATAAAATACACATGTAAACGTTTAATCAATACTTATAGGCTACAGCATACAGTATATGAATAATATTAACTCTGAAGTCTGAATAGCTGTTGAATAATTAAATATTACATTATCCATTAATTTAAATTTAAAATAACATCAGTATATAGTTAAATTAAATAAATTAAGTTCTGTACACGTATAAATGTTATTTTGACTACCTTTTATCACACATGATAAAAAATTATTATAATTTTGTATACATTTATTTATAAATCCCCTTATTGTATTTATATTTCTTGTTCTATAATAAGCTTCTTTTGATATTTTCATTTCCAAATAAATATTTCTTATACATATCATTAGTTCTCGGATTGTATAGCATTTGCTAACTGTTATAGGACAAAGATAAAAATAGCAGGGTGAGCTTTACATTTTGTTTTATCCACCAGACTCTAAATGTGAAATTTTATACCATTTTTTTTCCGTATTTAAAGTAGGTACCTATTTTAGATTTTTAGTAATATGTTTCAATTTTTGATGCTATTTTTCTGCTAAGGCTAACATACATAACATAATGATTTATTTTGTATTTTTCGTGTATAATAAACAAAATCTGTAATTTATGTGTAACCTAACCTCATATTATAATCTATTTTTAAGTAGCCTGGCGTATTGTAGAGATGTGTAGTTCACGAACGAATTAGTTCGAATGAACGATTCTGACGATTTAATGAATCATTTGAACAATTCAACAAACAACGACCGTTCAATATAGACGCATGACCAGTAAATCATTTGAACGATTCTTTTGAATTTATTAATTTACGACTTCTTCACGATTAAAAAAATTATTTTAAAAATAATATACTTATATGGTTATTATATTTAAAAACAAATAATCAGATAGCAAAACATATCACATTATACATAATATACAAATTTTAATTTTAGAAATTTCCTCATTCCCCATTATAGTTCTACAGAAACGACTCTATTAAAATAATATTATATGATAATTTGTTAAAATATTCACTTTTATAATTATATTGTATAGATACTAGGCATGAGCATGAAATCCGAATATCAAATTCTTATCCGGTTTTTTTGAATTATCCGGATTTGCTTTTTGTTATCTGACTATTACCCTATTCATTTAACAAACGCAAAACTACTGAATCTTACAACTTAACGTGATATCTAATGACGAAAATTTCAATTATAAGATTGGTTGTTATAAAACGAATTTATTGCGTTTATGTAATCTAATAATATGAGCTTTGTAAATTATAATGTAACAATAACCATTTTGCGTAGAAAACCACACGGTGATAACTGTTTGAAACTCGTAGATAGGTACATTTTAAATACCTACTCGTAGTTAAACCTACCCATGGTAAACCCACTGCAGTTAACTTATCTTTACTTGACTATTGAATGATTATTGAAAATGCTACATAGGGATTATACAATAATAATATCGTTATTGATATAATTGTATAAGTACGTATACATTTTTATAATTAATCTGTTCTCTTATATTTATAAATAAATATATTTATATAATAAAAATTATTGTCAAATATCGAAAATAATCGAGTGACACCTTATAACAAAATGTGTAGAATAATCCGTGAAACCCGGATTTAACAAATTCGAATAATTCCCATTTTTTAATCAGGATAATATGCCCATCACTAGTGTATACTGAACAAGTATTTTCGTTTTTATTGTTGTCAAATAAAAATTCAAATTATATTTGTATTATATGTAAATCGTTGAATTTAAAGAAAAATTTCTACTCAATTAAGATAAGTAGATTTGGTTTTTAGTACTATATTTTTATTTGCTAGCACTATATTTGTATTATAAATTTATGTAACTTGCGTGGGGCCTAAATGAGGAATCGTGAGCCCCGCTCGCTCTGGCCTTAGGACGGCCCTAATTTTAAGCAATGGTAAACGATATGCCCCATTAAACAGATCAAGTTCATAGAAAATCTTTTAAATTCACATTAATATTTGTATTTTATTTTCTACAATAATGTTATACCTATGCATAAGTACAAGCAGGGTTCAGGATCGAGTAGTATCTTAATTACATGTTTTAGACTCAAATGACTCAAATATATGTTGAGTATCGTGATACAATTCTGTAAAGAATTGAGCATTTTGTGTTGTGATACTGAAAACAATGCTTCTATAATATCGAATAGGTATCTGTCTAGATAGGTATTTAAGTATCATAGGCGCCCGAAAAGGAGACTATCTGTGTCTCTTCCTCTTCTGGCTTTTCGAAAAAATACAAACAAATTAAATTCGTACATTAATTAAAAGTAATTTTAAGAACACGGGAAATCTCGAAAAAACTGTTTAATTAAAAATCTTTTAAGTTGTATGACAAAAATTTGATTTTGATGTTGGTACCTATCGAGGATTTAGTATTTAAATAAGTACACAATATGAATATTTTGATTAACTTGTTTTGCGACAATTGTTACATAGTATTATCTAATATCAAGGTTGGATTAAGGGGGTTTGTAGTCCCGGGATGCAAGACAAAGGGGGCCTCAATAGTTTTTCTTTTTAATTTATTTTTTCTATTCTGAGTGTAGCGGAGGCCGAAGAGGTTATTAGTTTTACAAAGATGTAGTTTTATTTCGGAAAACACTTGCATGCTTAGTAAAAATACTTAAATTTACGTACATGTTATACCTTAAAAGATGCAGATGTTCTGCTAATGATCATTTCATTTAAAACATATTTATTGAATTTTTCTTAAATTTGTATCCTTCGTTCTTTTTTGTTTGTTTTTGAAACTACAAGTACCCCTAGATCGATGTATAGTATTTTTTACTGATAGGTATACAATGTATACTATACATACATAATGACGTCAAAATTAAAAATAAATAACACAAATAATGAAATAACCTAAATTAAATCTGACTTAAAAAGAAAAAAAATAAACAATATTAATATGTTATAATCGGATCCATTCGATTTGCAGAAACGACCGCACCTGTGTATTACTGCGACGACAGTTCGCATTGTCCCAGCGGGCACGGGTTCAATAGATGTGAAAACCACCTGTGCATGTGCGACGAGAACTTCTATCGCGTGTATAATAGCACTTCCAACCAGTCTTCGTGTTTCAAATGTTCGCGTGAGTCTATGTTATAATATTAAATGTCAGTGTCGATTAATATGAAATTTTCCAACTATTGGTCGTCTAGAAAAAAAACGAATTATAATAAGTCTCCGGTGTTGTTATAATGGTGGTAAATGCGCGATCCGTTTATTCGAAAACTATTATGAATGGTCACAGATTACTTTTAGTTTAATAATTGCAAAGGACACAAATTTTGATTAAGTCCTATAGTCCCTCTTCTTTTATTTTTCCAATTTGAGCACTGTTAATTAGCTAATAACAATAACCGTTGTTTATGTAAACAGTAAAGATAACTATGTTTTTTTATTTATAATAATTTTGACCTCGGGCACATCTGCGTCATCGCGGCAATTCGCAAGGTAGGTATATATTTTAATATTAAAATTATTATTACTCGTCAAACCGGCTAACCGTTCGGTATAATATACTTACATTATGCATTTAACTTATAAATAATAAATTTATGCAATCAAAAATTAGTAGTATATTAATTCATGCAAACATATTATAGTGTTTCAAGAGAGCTGTGCCCTGACTCATTGCTGTCAAAATTCGCAAGCTACGTTTTGCGTCAACAACGTATGCATGTGCAAGCCCGGAATGGAAGACGAATGCCTGTAAGTATTTATACGAAGTAATACGCCTGCAGTGTCGAATGTAATCGTCAGGTGTACGTAAATAATAATAGTCCGAGTTCACCAAGATATGTTCGTACACTATTATGAGGTCAGGGGGCGAATCGGACCCTTTTTCCGAAGATAACAAAAATCCAATCAGTTAAATCGATCTGGAATCCTGTGAGCTGTGACCAACCCGTTTTTCCATTTTCTCAACTGTTTTATCTAAACCCGTCGTGGTTTTCCATCGCCTATGTTTTAGATTTACACTTATTTAATATAAAATATTAAAAAATTCTTTGGGAAAGTTTATATGGTTTCGACCAACAGCCAGATTAGGTTTCCGTTTTATACTGACGTAGTCTTAACTTTTGGGTTTTTCTTTCGTGATGGTTTCGGAAATTTGTCTCCCTACTCAACTACGCCAGCGGGCCCAACCGACGACACTATCAATTTTTTTTTCATGGTATCGAGGAAAAAACCTTCGGCGAGTTTGATCAGAACTTTTTATGCATTCGTATGTGCGCTTTAGAATAAAAAAAAAAAAATAATAAAACTCCGCTTTTATTTTCGTAGCTGCATTATTTTTGTTCTTAACGTATGTTTTATAATAACCGGCACAGTTCAATCGTTTACAGAGGCAGGTACACGCCGACGCTGGGCATTCAGCTGGCCAACACGCTTTCGGTGTCGTTCGCCTTCGTTTTCTTGGCAATCACTTTCGTCGCGGTCGTTAGAAAAATGTTCAGGTAAGTCTGGTCATCGTAAATACTAATGTTGTTTCTCGCGGACCGCATTTTATTAAGTATTCCGGTATACTGTATGGGTATAAGTACTTAAAATGTTTTATTCTTTATTTGTTTTTAACCATATCTGCTCGGCCGTTGGTTACGAGTAATACGAGATTTTCGAATGGTTGTTTGTTTGCTCGAAATTACGTCAACGATATAATAATATTATCAGTAATCACATATATACCTACGAAAGTACGGAATTTTGGTATTTGTTCGATTTCGCTGGAGTATTTAGATAATACTGGGTATCTAGGATGTAGCGCCAATTTTTCAGTTGGCACGAGATATACACAAGATATACAACGGTGGTTGGAGGGTTCGGTCAGCGCTTATCTGTGAATTATTATGAATTGTTTCCTTCGATCAACACTAACTTCCTTTATCTAGTAACTATTAATATGTACCATAGGTGTGTCCAGACCTCATTCACAGGTCGTGCACATCAGTGGCGTATCCAGGGTAGAGGCTGAGGGGGATATAGCCCCCCAAAATTAGGTTAGGGTTTGGCAATATGACCCTCCAATGGCGACATAAACTTTATCATCCAATACAAACTAAACCGATTTTTACATTTTATTAGAAATAAAAAAAATTTTTCCTTTTATCGGATAAATAGACAACATATTTTATGAAATAGTATTTAGTACTTAAAAACATAATTTTTAATACGTTTTACAAATATTTATTTTTAAAATTACACATTTTCCAAAGATATATTATAATTCTAACCGTCGTTTTGTTGGTATCATCACTTTAAATTCCCCAATTACATCGTCATAATTAATATTTTTTGTCGTCTATTGTTCTATAAATAGAAACACTAAAGTAGATACTCATTATAAATGGTGTAGAATCTGTCATGTGTCATTATATCACGAAGAACTAACCTACAGAAATACACTAACAATTAGTTAAAACATAGGAAAACATAGGTACAAATGGAACGTTTACTATGCTTAGAGCCTGAAATAGTTAAAGATATAAAGTGGGAAGAGCTTATTTGTGTATAGGTATTTATTGGTTTTTACGTATTCGTATTCCCTTATACAGGTTATACAGAACCATAATATTACTATTATTATTACTAATCCTCCGATCTAGATTCTAAACAGTTATATATTATCATAAAAGCGTTGAATCTAATGTTAAAGTATTATGCCTATCAAAATATTATATTTTTGAATGTGTATTGAAAAGAGACAGTTGCCATTTGAAAATAACGTTAAAATGAATAAGTTAAAACAATTCCACAATAGCCGAAGAAAAAAATTGTTCGAGGAAACTACTAGATTGTGATAAAAAAATGTATTATATCGTAAATAAAATAAACGAAAATTACATTTCTGGAAAATAAACATATCGTATTTTAAAATTGCGTATAAAATAAAAATAATTTATATTACTAGCTGTATCAGTGATTTATGGTTTTCTCAGGTGCAGCTTTTTTAGATGCGACTCGTTGAGCCGAGTTTCTAGTAACAGTTCGCTGAATGAGTTCGTCAAGCAGAAAATGCAAAACAGGCCGCCTGTCTACGACGACATCGAGAAAGATCGCAAAGTTCCTACAGAAAACAACGTGGTAAGTGCCAAAAAAAAAAATATTACTTTTACCAATTATTATAACCCCCGCTTAAAAAAGTGATACAACTGATAAAACATGATTTTCCAATTTAAAAACTGCATAGGTCTATTCTTATTTTTCACCGATAGATGACGCAAATGTCACTTTGGTTATTACAATATTTTATTACTTAATATAATATTATCAAAATTCAGTGCAACAACCTGATAAGTCCACTTTAAAAAACTTTACACAAAAAGCATAATTTAATTGGACTTATCCAGTTTATAGACCAAATGTGACTAAAAAAAAGTCCTAAAAACCAGATAAGTTCGGGCTTAGTTTGAAAAAAAAAGGGTAAGTAATGCAATCAACAATTCACAAAATTCTAATTTTGTTTGATCTCTGGTTTTTTTTAATACTCTACTAGTTTAAAAATTGCGTTTTACTGCCCAATATTTTTATAGTCACCAGCTAATTATTAAAGTTTTTTTTTTTCGTTGTTTTGTGTATATTTTATGTTTATTATCAATCAAAACTAAGAATGCACCTACTGACCTACTTTATTTTTCAAACTTATGACAAAACAACTGATTAATTATACATTTTCAAGCCTCCTCCCCATCCCCCACCCCATTGAAAAATCCTGCGTACGCCACTGTTATATAGGTTGAAACTTTTTGTGTTTAGGATTTTTCGGTCATCATATATAATAATATATTATGTCATCACACGAAACGTCAGTATTTACGCTTGATACGTGAAAACCATGACAAATTTAATTTAATTTACCATGGTGATAACCACAAACCAAGATAATATATGGACTGACAACGGAACCAATTTCTTCGGTCAAATTTCGAAACGGAGTTTTCGTGGAGGGGTAATACAGAGTTTGAATCAAAAAGAGATAAATTATCACGTTCATAAAAGTCATAATACTCATTCACGCAGCGTATATTGTGCATAGTTTAGGAATGCGCCACTAAAATCGTTGAGGTTTCTGTATTCCCTATCATAAAATTCGACTGCATACCTGCCTTGTCGTTGCCAGTCCATATTTTAGTTCGCGCTCACAATCAATTTACAGTGTGCAAAGTAAAATTCGTATCATTAAATAAAGTGTTTACAAGGCGATTTCATTAAAACAAACCTCAATTAAATATTCGAAAACTGATGTCCAAACCACCGAGGCTTTGTAAGAAAAAATTGTAAAAACAAATAGATTGTAAATGTATACTATGCGAGTGTATTTGCATCTCGAAGTGATCTCGAAACATGCGTTTTTATTTTTATAAGAATAGGTGTGCAACGTTCATAAAATACCTGTTGTGCATGTCAACAAACGCCGGTAAATGTCCGTAAATTGTATAATATTTATAAAATGCCAACATTCACCAAAATCGCTGGTATATTTCAACATACATACGCCTTTGTAAAAATAAGAGCCTATACTGCTAATGGGTTTGCCACTGTTGTTGGAAGGAAGTTGAGAAGGTATAAGGATAAATCAATAGAGTAATGTAATTTTTATCTGTATATACGCAACGATAAATTAATGTTAACGAAAGTTCGGTTAGACATAATTTTTGAAATCATGCCGCGATTTTAACGATTTTCATCAAGTTTTGAACTTTTACGCAAACGACGGTTTTACTATTTATACCATTTATTTTATAACTTGTACTCTCACACAGTGCACAACAAGCGTAATAATTGTTCATTTTTTCAAACGGAGAAAACTCCGTCGGAAAATATTACTCGTCCCGTTATATTTAACATTCATTCTGAACTAGGGGTGAGCATTTTATATTATCTGATAGATTTTTAATAAATTGGTGCTTTCACAGCCACCGCCGGCGTACAGCACGTTGAATTTCGACCGGCCGTCTATTTCATCGTACTGTGGGCGCGCCGCCCGTCTGAACCCGACGTTTTCGATCAGTGACGACGTGGACATGCTGCCGCCGCCAAACTATTCTACGTTCACCACGGTCACCAACCATCACCATCACCATCCGGTGACCGGCCGGGCGGCCAACAACGAAATCATCCTCACGCAACCCATTTACGAAAACAGTCCGCTGCGGCGCACGTGACTATGATAAATGAACATTTTTTTATATTTTTTTTTTTTGTCTTAAATTATTAATGTGTTGCTGTAAAAACCCGAAATCCTTGTGTCGAAACTATAGAACACAATAATATAATGTACTATAATACCTGGTAAAAAAAAAAAAAAAAAAAAAAAAAAAGCACTATAGTTACACACCTATCATAGACTTAAATATGGTGCTTATGAGGACTTAGACCCATAGATAGAAATTGGAAGCTAAGCCCTTTCAAAACGTATCAACAAAGAAATTAATCGTTTCAAATATACTAAGTGGTCAGTAATCACTACTATAAATATAATAATTTGCAATTAAAACATTACAGTTGGAATGCAAATAAAAAAAGTACAGTTTTACAAAAATATCGATCTATGTATACACCTAGATATATTGTTTTGAAATAAATTATTTAAATTTGTGTTAAATATTCTATAATATTACGTACATCACGAAATTGGACATACATTCAAATTTGTACAATAAAGTATTTTCAAATATTAGTTCCCTCTAAAATTATTAACCCTCTCTAAGCCACCTCAAACCCTACTAATAATTTAATTTAAGCTTTGATAATATTAGGTTTAATACCTATTAGGCTTAAGCCTAAGTATTTTCAGACTATACGCCTATTTAGAGAGTTCGGAAACGAAAGCGGTCTTTTTTAGTATATAATGAGTGTATAATTAATAATTTTTAAGCATACGTCTGTACGTTTAACATTTTTCAATTTGAACTTTTTTTTTATTTTCGTTGAAATTTTATTAAAAAAAAAAAAAATAAATTCCGATGGTCATTCGAAATTTGAAAATTGAGAAAATATTGAGTTTTTGTGCATTTATACTAAGTTACTACCAGGTTCAATTTATATATCATAAATATTATAATAACAATACTAGGTATAATATCAATACATTTTTAGAAACTAATATCAAACAAAAATACATCACAATATTATAGTTACCTTATATTCGTCTTCTTTTTCTCCTTATAGTGAATGCATAGATAGGTGAAGAAAAAGTAGAAGTAATCTACAGAGGTAAACTTGTTAGTATTCGTCCCACTGTTCTATAGAAAACAATCTATTCGAAAATTCTTGCATTATATTTTAATAAACTTTTTTAGTATTTTGCTAAAAATGTTCTATTTTGAAAAAATACAGGAGTAGTCCGGACTTCTAGAACCCCTATGTATGGCCTTGGTTCTTGACAACGTCGTTAAAATGTCTGGATATTGACAAACAATTTTATGTTCATCACCTCTATCAAAATTAACCGTTATTTTTTTTCGTCTTCAAAAAAACACATTTTACAGTATATTTTAACAGTAACTAGCACAGTGATAGGCCCTGCAGATACCTCCGGGTATAGAGTATAATATAGGACAAGAAGATAGGTTAGTAGTGAACCAATATTTCTGTGTGCATAGGTCAACTTAACCAATAGACGTAAAGTCGTTAATCTGAGAAATTTAACAATTTTCACACAAAAAACTTACGCCGCCACGATAAACTTAAGCCGATTTACATCACCGTGTATACAACTGTAAGTCTTCACTCCCGTGATGTACGTTTTTACTATAACAACAGACTATACACATTATACAGTATAAAACCTAATCGTTTGTTTGCATTTATATTACATTATATACTCTAATTTATACGGGTACCTTTTAGCTTTTACGCAAACAAATATCCGAGGCGATATAGTTTGAAAAATTATTTATTTTAATTGAGTACTGAATAAATGATATTCTATGATATATATGTACCATTTAAGATTAAAACATATGTGATATAACAGTAGTATAATAATTAAGTTTTATATAAATATTATAAAATTATTATGTTTTTTTTCCGTACTGTATGTGCGTATAGTGGTAAATGCATTTAGTACAATAATTATTATGTATACAAAACTTGTATAGGTTCCACCGATTTCGGGTTTTTGTGCTAAACTGCTGATTTTACACTATTGATAATAACAATAATATAATAATATACAGTAGTTGTAAGATTTTGTTCGGTAAAATTTGAAATTATTGTTGTATATTTCTTTGTATTGTACAGTGGTATTTTTATTTTTCAACTAATCAACTTTTTTTTAGTTTTATAAAAAGTCTGTACAGATAAATACTTGTGATGTGATAAAATATTTTACGCGTATTTTATGGCGAATCGCGTTATTATATATTTTGTAATTTTTTTGTTTTCCAGTTATTTATTAATTTGTATTTTGTTATTTTTGCACGTTTTGAATTATTATGTAATATATTATGTGTATAATAATTGTATCGTTATATTTTAATAGCGATATTTTCTCGTTCGAGTTTCCGTCATAATTTTTTCACCGTGCACCTAACCTATATAATATGCCGAACCTTGCAGCGCATTTAAACCTTGTTCAGTATTTGAAATCCGAAATGTTTTACCGATACGGCGTTTACTTTTGTTCCGTCGGCGTCGTACAGTTATATCACTCACCGATTAATGGATTTGTTACCAGTAGTCTGGGCTCTTTTTTTTCGGTCATCACCGATTATCGTGAACCCGCCTTTCACTCTGGTTCAAGAAATCAAGAAGATGTTATAATACCCGATAACATTTTTCGTAAAGAAATGAATTTAAAAAAAAAAAAAAATGTTTTATTGCGCCCCCGATTTAACATTGGGTAATTGGCGCCCAGGATTGTAGCCTTTTTAGCCTATTGGTTAATCAGGCTCTGGTCACTCATCTCGTCTGATTACAATTTCAAGCTTTTGTATAACATAACGTTATTTCTATAAACCTAAATTTTATTTTTATTTTATACCTACATAAATAAAAAAAAAATCAATTTTTTTAAACCTAGTTGGCATGTATAATTTCAAAATTGAACAATTTCTATGTAAAAAAAAATGTATTTTGTATTTATTAAATGTAATCTTAATAAATACTTTATCAGTGTCAATATCTACACCGGTTTGCCCGCATATATAATAATAATAATGAGCATAATTATAAACATTCATTATAATATTTACAAACTGCATCATAATAATAACAATAATTACAATTATGAAAATTATAACAAGGGAATAAAGAGATCATTATATGATTTAAAGAGAGGGGTCATGTGCTCCCATTAGTTTGGTAATTTCTAGTAGAAAAACAAAATCAAAAATAATGAAACTGTTATGTCTATAAATCTATCAGTTTTTTCTGAATTATTAATAAAGCTGCAAAAAAAATCAAAAAATAATCTAAATGAATCAACTAATCAAAATTATTTTCAGATTAAATACGACTACACTTGAATACTTGAATATCGGAGTAGTATTTCCGGTATAAAAGGTGTTAACAGAAAATAAAAAAAATACACACACATTGTAAAACCGATGGAGATCTCGATTTCTATAACCTAACCTACCTACTCGTGTGTTTCAGTGTTTGTTATCGAACACTCAAAGCACTTTTTTATATCATTAATCGTGACTAATTTTATTTACTTTTCCTTATCCTCGCCCAGTCAAGATTATTTGGGTAGGTAGTATAATTTAGTAGGCTAAAGTAAAATGTATTGCTAAGGTAAAGGAGTATATTATAAAAATATTGTAATACTTTAATCCGATCAATTTATGATAATACGTATATACGTGCGTTGAATTTAATATCGCTCGAGTACCTATAATTTTTTATTACAACGATAATTTCGGAGGGATATATTATTTCTTAAGAGGCAGTCGTCGTATAAAACACAGATGATTAATGTTTTAATCCGTCATGTTTTCTTGTCTGTTATTTATCAGTAATAGGTAATTAAATATTTTGATTATTAGGTTCCAAACATTTTAAAGTCACATACCTACTCAGTGTTTTTTTTTTTTAAACGTTTATATTGTATTAAAATATAAGTACTTACCAACACTTCACTATTATTTAATGGGATTTACTCAAATGAGATTTTTAGAAAAATAAAAAATAATTAATTATCAAGGTAAATTGATATGAGATGTCGTCAGTCTAAAAATTGCTATTGTAGCCGTTTGACACCAAAGCACACTTCCCGGCCAAAATTATCAGTTTTCTCATTTAATAAAATAACTACAAGAAAAATCAAAAAATGAATGATTTATTTTTGATGTAAGTAATGGTAATAAAATCATATTCTAATATCTATATACTAAATTTTACACAACTCCATGAGGACGTGATGGTGACTGATTAAAAACATTGAGAATTAAATTAACAGAATTAACAAGATACAAGATTTGGACCTGAGACTCTCATCAGTCAACACTGAACAAACATTATATTAACTCCTCGATGTCGAACATTTAGACTGTCAAGCAATGTGTACGATTAAGGAAAAAAGTGGTGCCTTTTAAGCTGTGTCAACTTTTCATTATTATTTTACATCACATCATATTATAAAAAACTAAAAATTAATTAATTGTATAAGACTCACTCTATTTGTATTAGTATTTTTTTATTAAGATTATTATAAGATGTGAACGTGGTATCATTAATAATAAATTCTTTTTTTGATCATTCTGTTCAGAATTTAGTCATCACATATAAAACAATAAACAAAGCAATTAAATTTTATAATGTTTCAAATTATCTATATATATTTTATAAGTAAATAAATTGGTAATTAAATTAATATAAAATACATTTGTTGAGAACAATTACTTACTTAGTGGGCATTAAAAACATATCCACGATATAATTTATTTCTTGATTATAATTCAAATATAATATGAACATATTGAAGAAAAAAAATAATATTTAATAGAAAATCAATAAATAACATTTAAATTTGTTTTTTATAACTTGATAACTATTTTTCAATACTATTTAATTAATTATAACGGTTATCAAATATTTAACACTGTATATATTATCTAAATAAATTTACTCACATTGTGTTTCAAAGAGAATTTTCTACACTTTGGTCAACTTCCATAATAGATATCGATTTGTCTATCTTAATAATAATTGCTGTTGAATAATATAGAAGATAAACAATTAAATTGTATAGTTAATGTATAGTTAGTATATTCATGAATACTTAAATATTTTAATTTGTAGAAAATGGTACCTATTTAAATTATAATAAAATTATTTTTTAAATATAACTAATGGCTACTATTAGCTACCTACAGAGTTTCGTCTGCGGGCCTTCCCCCCCTATCATACATGTAAGCCCCCGAAAAATTGTACGTCCCAAGTTAACTGCCTCGGTTGCTCCTGCGGTAGCTACGCCACTGTACCAGAACCTATCGTACCTATTTAAAATGTCCTTGTTAGCATCATACAATTCTGTAAGACAAACAGCGTTATATTATAAATGGTTTATTGTAATTTATAATACAGACTTGTAATTATTTGTCTTTATTTATTTCAAATAAGAATATTTTACAGACAAATTATATATATTATCACTTATAAAACAATTATTATCGCGAATTTTTGCGATTATTAAAATAGTCAACAATAATATTGTTTTATTGGCTGCAGCCTATACCTACCATCTTATCCCGTATTATCGTTTTTTTCCCCTCAATGAGATCAGAAATTCAGAGTTATACTCGGAGTGGTTATTATCATAAGTCTGCACTAATTATAAGTACACACAATTTTCAATAAGATTATTATTGAAAACATATTGTTTATACGGTTACACACACGTATTTAAGCAATTCCTTTTACGACTATTTGTTTTTAGTACGCAACATTTTTTCATATGATTACTTGTCTATCGCGACAGGTGTGACGAAATAGCCCATATAATAGTTACGCGCAATATTTAAATTATGAACAATTATATTGAAGACCATGCGGCGTTACGTATCAGCAGATAACTAAACTTTTTTCGAAAAAACAATTTAGTTTATTGGCTTTTAACTTAAAGAGAAAATTATAGGAAATTCGTAATTTACATATATTTAAACCAAAATCTGTCAGTAGCGTATCCCAGAGGCTTTGGTTGTTGTTACCCTCCCCCCATTTTTTTTTTTTTTTTAATTGTTTGTATGGTTTAGAAGGTTGTAGACCCCTAAACTCCCTAGACTCCCTAACTCCTCCCCTCCCCCCCATTAATAAATCCTGTTTACGTCACTGAACTCAGTTCTCACCTATGTATGCAATTATTATTAAATACGGACGAACAAGCAAAAGCAGTGTTTTTTAAAACGATGCATTGTTTCGTCATCGCAGAATAAACACATATTATTCAATGTAGAATTGTATAGAATTATAATAGTATATCAATATTACATTTATTTTTAAACCAGATGGGCTTTAATAATAATCGTTATTGAAACCATATTGTAGTGGTATTTTTTTATTTTTGTCGAATACCGACTCTTGTTGGTTTGTTTTTTTCTTTTTAATATCTTTTGATTTTTGTTGCAATAAAATATTTATATGAAGTAACGTTAAGTTGTAATCAAAGCCGTAGTATTTAGATATTTCTTGTAAAACCATGCGGTTTTCATAATAATTGGGGAAAAAAATAGGAAAAACGGGAAAACTTACGGAATGTATTATTTATTCATAAAGTTTACATTATTGTAAATTTAGACAGAAAACTTATTTTTGCCTTTTCTAGACGTGGTAAAATTTTCAAAAACCATTTAGTCATTTTTGAGCTATTAATAGACATTTTAATTTTGCAAGTTTTTTTTCATAATTTAAGAATTATAGTGAAGTCAGAATTGAAACATACTAATTATTGCTTTTTGAAGATCTGATATTATGCGAATATTATATAGGTTATGTTAAATAGCTCTATAATATTGTCTTCTTTAAACTATGTTTATCATAGTCTAATAGTTATAGATATCTGTTGTCATCCTAGGAATCACGATTTCAAACCCGAGGTTCGAAAAAATTGTTTGCACTTATTTTTTCCCTTTTACCCAAACAAGGAAAAAACATTAATTTTAGATGTACCTAGAGACCCAGCTTATTATCGCTCACTCGGACTATTTTAATTGAAAAATATCCTTCGATTTGTAGTGCAAACTTTTCTACCAAACATCTCTACCAAACATCTTGCTCCGATTTTCTAATTGTAGCATTTTTTCTGAAGGAAATTGAACTGAGGAGTTCCTTTAAGGAATTCATTTTTCGATTATCCCAAGAGTTTTCCTAGTAAATGTGAAAAATCGGGAAAAACGTAGCAAAAAACGGGAAAAATCTGTAAAATTTATTTAAAAAAATATTATTGAATAAAATATATAATACCTATTTAATTGTTTACCATAATATGGAATATAAATTGTGGGCATAGCATCACTATCAACTGAACTTCGCTCTGAATCGTTTTTAGTAAGCAATGGTTTATCGTTTCTTACAGATACAAATTAATTTCCCCTTTATATCCCCTAAATTCTCACCAATAACAGTAGCTACACCCCCTTCATGCGAAGTATGTCCGTCTTTTTTTATTTATAGTTATTCATCATTGCATGGATAAACTAAATTACCCGAGTTTAGAAAAATTAGCAAGTAAAAAAAGTAATATATTTATTTTAAATATTAAAATATGAGTATATAAGGTATATTCTTCATAGTCAGCTTACGGCCCATTAAGGGTCGCTGCCTGCCACACGCCTCTTCGTCGTTCTCTGTCTGATGTATCTTCCACTCCTATCGAGTCATCAACGGTTTGAAATCCTTCAGTACTTACTGTAAATATATAAAGTATATTATAATATAATAAGTCATATTACTAGTTAATCTACTTATGAACATATGTTACACTCATGAGGTACTTATAATGCATGCTATAATCAAAATTTGTATCCCAGANGCTATAAATGCAATCGCATGTATATTAGGTGAACATGTAAATATAAAAGGTTGTTTTTCTTTTCATTTAACGCGAAGTACCTATAGGGAAATACTATCTCTTGGCCTAGGAAATTTATGTAAGGAGAATGAAAATGTCAGTTTATTTTATAGACAAATTGCCGCTCCAGCTTTTTTACCTATTGACGACATTCCAACTGGATTGAATTATATTAAAAGTATTATGTCCATAGATTATATTATAGAAGTTCAATTACATATACGCATTAACCCGACCCGCCATGCATAGTGGTGATGTGATATAAAACCGAATTATCCGAAAATCCGAAAATCCACTTTTTAATTTTTTTATTTTCCAAGTAGGTTTTCATAATTATTGGGAAAAATCGGGAAAAAGCATAGGGGAAACGTAGGGATAAACGAACAAATATTTACGGCGTAACGATTTCATGATTATATATTTAAAAAAAAAAAAAAGTCAGATATCGAGTTCACTGAAAATCTTTCGAGCAAATCGCTGGTTAGTGATTGATTAATAGAATTGAACCGGCTTTGCTCAAAATTGCATAGAAAACCACATAGAAGTGAATTTAGAGTTGAGAGGTGCCAAACCAATATGATGATTGATAACGATAGTCTATATTGGCGGTTTTCAACCAGTGCGCGTAGCGCTTCCTAGGGTACAGGTAAATATAGTAGAGTAATACAGTGAATTTATTTAGTTTAATATTTTTATCGTTATCATTATTCCGAAGGGAGCCGCTAATATGGATTTCAAAATCAGAAGGGCCGCGAGCCCAAAATAGTTGAAAACCACTGGTCTATACGAGATTGCATACCTACCGGAATGACGAAATCGTAGGTTTTGCGCCCAAAATTTTTTTCGCAATAAACATGTTTGTCAATTCGATCTCCTTGAGTTTTTTCTGCCGGTTGATGTACGAAGACGATACTAAGGGGCCGACCAAAGAGCACGCTTTCCGGACGGGCGTTTTGGGACTTCCGCCGAGCGGCGTGAGATAAACGTTTATGACCTGGTTCATCTTTTTGATTTTGAACTGTTTGGTCGGCGCAAACTTGAAAGCGTCGTCGGAAGCCAACCACGGGAATTCGGACGGTTTTCCGACCGCGGATTTCCCCGCGGCGTGCTTTTCCGCGTCACCGTCGCCGCGGCGCGACCGCCGGGGCACGTCGGACGACGCCTCGTCAAAATAGCCGTCCGTCCCGTTGACCTCGCTACAACTGTCCCACTCGGTTACGCAGTGATGCGACCCGGCTCTTTGCAGACTGTTGGTGTCTGATTCGAACGAGGCCGCCGATATCCCGCAGTCGTGCTCCACGTAACCACACGGGGCCGACCGCTGGTCGTACGCCGACTGATCGTCGAATTCCGCGGACGGCGACTAAAAAAAACGGACGGATAGTGAAACGCGCCGATATCTCGGACAATAAATCCGTATGGAATCGTACCGAATGTTGAATACGGTATTTATTTTTCAACGGGAAATAAAAGAACAATAAAAACATGCTTCGCACACGTTGGTACGCCACTGTTGTTGGCGAGAAGTTTAATGTACATCTGTGGGCAACGGAAAACCGACATCGCTCACGAAAATACGATTCTGATCGGAGTTCAGTTGATAGATGGCGTTACTTTGTCAACAATACGTGCTGTTCCGCGGAGATATACCCCTTGAATATCTCCGTTTTTTTTTTTATATAACTCGCGGGGAAAAAGACTACAAATAATTTCAATTATTCGTTCACTAGGGAAGTACTTTAAATATGTCATTTTTCGATTAGCCTAAGAGTTTTCCCAACAACCGGGATAAAACATGGAAAAACTGGGAAAATCGGTACAATACTAAACAAATATTATCAAAGAAAATACATAAAGCCTATTTAATTGTTTTACTATGAAATGCCATACATTGTTGACGAAGCATCATTGTCAACTGAACTCCGCTCAGAATCGTTTTTTTCGTAAGCAACGGTTTATCGTTGCTTACAGGTATACATTAAATTATCTATAACAATGGCTGCACTCGTCCCCATTATCCTAGGACGTCTTTATCATTTTACAATTAAATTATGGTCGTACGTACCACATCATTCGGGAGCGATGAGGCACTGGATTTCGGTAAATTGGCGTACGATAATTTGCTCGCATTAACTGTTACAGTTCGACGTGCCGACGACGAGCGACTGTTGTACGCGGTACCTCGGGTGAGCACGTCACGTTTGTTTGCCAAAGAATCACCACGAATGTCGGTAGCCGTCGTCTGAGCTGAGAGTTTCGTACTGACGGACGAGGAATTCGATTTCACCACCGCCGCGCACTTCGTTACCTTCGTCGGCTTCTTCGACGGTACGTTAATTTTCGGCGATTCGTTACTTTTCACTATCTTCTTTGGTAACGCAGTAGTAGTGTTTCGCGAAACACCGATCTCCGGCGATTTGGCTTTGGCCACCGTCTTCTCTTGTAAACGCGAATTTACATGCGGTGATGCGAGAACCTTCGATAATGTTGACGACGACGTTGGTTTATTATTAATTGCCACAGCGTTCTTTTGGAAACTATCGTTAACAGTTCGACGTGCCGACGACGACCGACTGTTGTACGCGGTACCTCGGGTGAGCACGTCACGTTTGTTTGCCAAAGAATCACCACGAAGGTCGGTAGCCGTCGTCTGAGCTGAGAGTTTCGTTATGACGGACGAGGAGTTTGATTTCACCACCGCCGCGCACTTCGTTATCTTCGTCGGCTTCTTCGACGGTACGTTAATTTTCGGCGATTCGTTACTTTTCACTGCCTTCTTTGGTAACGCAGTAGTAGTGTTTCGCAAAACACCGATCTCCGGCGATTTGGCTTTGGCCACCGTCTTCTCTTGTAAACGCGAATTTACATGCGGTGATGCGAGAGTCTTCGATAATGTTAACGACGACGTTGGTTTATTATTAATGGCCACAGCGTTCTTTTGGAAACTATCGTTAACAGACTCTGACCGTTCATCGTACTCGTCTGACGTAAAAAAGTTAAAACTAAAGGATAATNATGTCAACAAAAAAGTCATCGTATAAGTACCGCTGTTGTCAAAAACACTGATAAATAATAATAATAATGAATAATATTTTTTATGACGAATATAATATGAGTTTTCGTAAGCAACAAAAATAAAAGTAATACGATTAGTGTGTTAAAATTTAAAATTAAAAAAAAATACATAGTTAGGTTACTTGGGAACGAACTTATTTTTAATAAAAAATTAGATTTACAGTTAGTACGAGTATTGTATTAGATCAATGGCATCGGGTTTTTGATTCCGAAAATCACAGTACAGTTTATTTGAATTATTTTTCGATTTTCTCAAGAGTTTTCTCATTAAATTTGAAAAACCGAAAAAATTTCTAATGAATTCAATAAAATGTTAAATAATGAAACACACAGAATGTATTGTCTACGAAATTCGATTAATGAAAAAATGAATATACGAAAAATTGTGAAAACTAAATTTAATTTCACTTACGGTATAATCCTGGAAACTGGACAGAATATGATTTCAAAATACGTTGAAAATTTGTGGGGATCTATCATTTACCGGCTATCGAAATTTGCAATGAATTCAATTTCTTCGGTTCCTCAATAGACAAATTATTGTAATAGGCTATTACCATAGACGCCCGCACATCACAGGGATTGCACTGTTAAAAACAGTTTTTTTTTCATCCGTTTTACTAAGGTATCTCATGAATCAACAGAAATAATTAAATTTCGTACTAAAAATATCTAAAAATCGAGGTGTAAAGAACGGTATTAATATTGGGATGGATTTCAACAACTATAAACCTTCTATAGACAACGCGGAACATTTTGCCATTAATTCTAATTGATGCAACATTGAAAACATACGAACTGTCGCTAAACAATATGAAATTCATACATTCAGTGAAATGGCGTGCGCGCCATCTATCCGAACATAATTTTACTGACTCAAGCCTTCGCGGGCATTTGTCCAATCATTCCCCACAGTTTCTTCGCAATCGGATGAACGGCTTAGGAAGGCATAGGAGACATACAGACAAAACATTCAGTTTTATATGTATAGAAAAAGATTGTATCTATAAATGATTTGATGTACAATAGTAAATTAATTATTTTTTAGTACATTATTATTTCATATGTCCTATTATATAGTATACCTATAATTTTATAATCAATGGCGGTTTTGACTAAACGTCAAGGGGGCGGGTGACAATGGTCTATTTATAGGGAACATGGGAGCATAGCCTCCCAATCGCCTACCAAGTCCCCCGAAATTTGTTCAAATCGCCCTATAAATAGGGCTCATATTTGCCAAGATATTCAACAATTGGAGAGGTATGTATTAAAATATCAACCCCGTCCTCCAAGCCTGTACCTCAAATTACAGCATCAAACATTGGCTCCACTAACCTGTATAGATTTTAACATCCGATTGTTTTAATACACGACACGTCATGTATTAATGTATTAAATACATATAGATAGGTACATAGATAATTTAAACTAAAGCAATTTAAGATTAAGCGAAAACGAATATCATAAATTTTTAATATTTAATTGAAAAAGTCATATTATTAAAGTATGAAATCGATATTTTTTTTTTTTGAAAAAAATTAGTTTGTAATTTATGAACTCAAAAATTCAATTATAATAATTCTATTTTATTTATTTTTAAATCTTTTAAATAAATTGGTATGAATGCTCAGATTCATTGTATTGTAATTAAATTACTAACCATGGTAATAAGAAATGAAGTTTCAATCCTTCATTTGATTTGAGGCTCATGGGCCTCAACATCAACTTTTATATTATTATAACTGTATAATATTAAAAGACAGGGGTGGCAATCGGAGGGAGTGGGGGTTTAAAGTTGTACACTTTCATAATTTTGTAACAAAGAAGTTTACATATACTTTTAATTGTAGGATTATTTGTATTTCATTAAAAATGTCAATATTTTATAACATTTATTTTTAACCTGTTAGATACCTATTACAATATTTTACATTTTAAATTTTTCCGGTTAAAACAACCTAAATAATAACGTAATTTATATTATTGTATATTATTGTAACAAAAATAAAACCATAATTATTTTTATCTTCTTTATTGACAGGAACCACTTTTGAGACTCTATTAAAAATCATACTTTCATTTTAATTTGCATGCGATTTTGAACGCTTGTACACTCGCCTGCATACTCGTACAAATCCAAATTTCTTTTATCCAACTATTCTTATTTTGAGTTAAAAATATATAGATAATTTATTTTTTTTTACTCTGTATATCCTACCTTCTTAACTACCTATCTGCATCGGTGCCCTATCAGTGAACAGCATCGACTGTTTACAAATTGTTATTTTGAATTCGCCCCTGATTATTCGTTATAATTTATCGCCATAGGTATATATTATACAAACGTGTGGTTTTTTCTCGTTTATATGTCTATGATATAATGTAAATTAACCATTTGGAAAAGAATTTCGTTCATTAGTTGGACTATTTCGAATATTGTTAATTTAATGGATTCAGAGTGCATTGTATAGGCATAATTTATGCATTCCTGCTTAGAAAACTCGTTTCTGAGCTATTTGTTCGATACTAAAAAACCGTCTTTATAATATGTGAATGTTTTCAAAAAAATATAGGTGTCTATACCGCCATAAAAAAAAAATAATAATAATAAATTAAAATAAAATAATAAAATGTAAAAGCAATACGACTGTTTTTCATTATAATCTGACAGCACGTCTACACGCGGAGTCGGCAGATTTATCGTAAAATCGTAAAATTCATTTGAAACGAGTCGTTGAATCCCCCTCGAAAAAAAAAACGGGTTTCTGGGTAATCTAAATAAAATAATATCGTAATAAATAAACCGTTGAGTTTAGTCGCGTTACCTAAAATTAGGTTTATAATAATAATTGATCATTTATGTATATCATATTATAAACGTGCAGTGGTATTTTCTCGTAGTGGATTTTGGTTTTGTTACGTTTTTTTTTTTTCTTTGATCGTCGAAATGTGATGTCATGTTCTCCGTAACGGTTACAAACGTCAACTGCGTGTTTTGAAAAATACCGATGCCCACCTGTATAACATCTTTCACTTCGTTTGGAGTTTTTTCTCCTCTGTTATTCAAGAATCTGATCGCGCACTGAAATAGTAACAACAAAGATCAAAAGGAGATTACAATGCACTAGCTATTTTACTAATCTTTGACGGTGGGCAGTTTTGTAACTTACATTTTTAATACATTTTTTTTTAGGTTTAGCTCACTTGAGAGGTAGCACGTATGTTAAATAATGTTTGTGCAAATAATTATTTAAAAAACAGACATACTTGGTACGTGGATGTAGCGCGTAGCCACTGTTGTAGATGGGAAGTTGGAAAGATAAGATACAGACGGGAATTCAATGTATATCTGTAAGCAAAGATTAACTATTATTAACGAAATACGATTATGAGCGGAGTTCGGATAATAGTGTTGTCTTGTCAACAATATATTGGTATGTCATATTCTAGTAAAATGAGCGTCTCTACGACAACAATGATTGTTTAATTGTTTGAAAAATATTAAAATAATAAAAAAAAGAAAGTAAAAACTGTTGTCATTGGCAACCGTTTTTTAATCTTTCATTTTTTTTTTTTTACTTCAAGAACCAGGTTTTCCTCGTTATTTCGAATATTAATGAGAATTTCAAATATGACCTTTCTAAAGTACCACCCAGAGAACATTTCCTCTTTGGCAAGGTGCTATACTTGATAATCGTAGTAAAACCAATACATTCCTTGCACCGCTCAGAATCTAAAAAACTAAATAATTCGGATAATTTTGTATGATAATTATAAAAACTTTTTTTTTTAACATTTGCGCGTCACTTTTCGGAAAATTCGTAAACTGAGGGTAAAGTTACTCGGATTGTCATTCACGAGGAGTTTTTGTTCATACTTATAATAACTCCGTTCTGACTTAACTGTCCCGACCTGGCATTTCCTCGTCTAACCAACCAAAAATCAACCCAAAAAATTATATTGCTTGTAGTTCAAAGACAAAGTGTTATGTTTAAGACAACCCTAATCGAAGAAACAAAATATAGCCTATATTACTCAGTGTAGCTTTAAGAAGCTCCAAGGAGAAGCTCAATAAGCTTTTTTCCATTTTTACACCATTAGGGGTCGAGTTTTAAAAAATCGTTTCTCAGTGGGTCTCTAAATCGTAAAACGAAACTATACTGACCTAATTTCATACTCATAGTTTCAACGGTTCCGGCTAGATGACGATGAATCAGTCCGTCTGTCAGTCAGGACATGTTGTTTCATAATATTTTAAAAACATTGTATTGTACAATATACCTACTATATGCTTCTTGTATAGACGTGTATCGTCTTAGCTATTAATCGCAGGCAACAGCTGGTGTATAGGTCTTCCTCGGGACGGCCTTGACCGATACCGCAGCACCACACTACAAGCCTTACGCCATAAAAATATAATAGAGTAATGTATTATTATTATTTATAATACGGATTTTTTTTTTCCTGCCCCTTACTCGGCCGAGGTGGCGGCTGTGGATTGATTTATTACTATTTTTTTTATTTTTTTTGTTGTCTGAAACGTAGGTAATAATAATGGGCGTTCAGTTTTTTTCGAATCTAGAAAGTTTCGTAACCGTTAAAAATAAACTCCGTCGCTATAGACTCTGTTACAAAAAAATCATCTAAAATTGTTATAGTTACCAAAGTTTTATTATATTTTTTATAATTTTGTTTTGGTTTTAGATTCGGAGCGGATTGGAATCCAAATCCGAATAGGATCTATTGGTTTTGTTATAATGTGTTGACAAGAGATATTTTTTTGTAAAATTTTGGATCTAATTGATACATTGGAGGTCATCTTTTAATTTTCCTAGGAGTTTTAAAAATATTTAAGAAAAATCTAAAAAAATGTATAAAGAACGGGTAAGTTTAATAGAAATAATAGTTTCATTATTTCCAATTTAGATTCGGAGCGTGGCGAGCTTAACTTTTCAAAAAGTTGTTCTGATATAAAAAGTGCAGCACCTTTCAGATTCTGAGTGTTAATGAAGAATGTATTGATTTTACGAAGATGTTTATTTTTTATATTTTTTTAAACTATGTACGAAAATTCTACTAGAAAACTTACTAGGAGGAGGTCATTTTTCGATTTTTCCAGAAATTTATTCAATTGTGAAAAACCGAAAAAAAAACAGAGGAAAAACGGAAAAAAGTACAAGAAATATATTATTAAAATATTAAGATTTTTTTTCTATGGACAAATTTTCAACCACCAACTTTACTCCAGCTTTTTCTGAGAGGAAATCTGACTGGGAAAGTAATTTAAGGTAGTCGTTTATCGATTTTTCCAAGATATTTCCCAACAAACGTGATGAAAACATTAGAAAACCGGGAAAAACGTAGGAAAATCGATACAATATTAAACAAATATTATCAAAAAAAATATGTGTATAATGCCTATTTAATTATTTTACCATAATATGACTTAAATATTGTTGACAAAGCGTTTTATTACATTTTTTCTCATCACTTTTGAAATTTATTTAATCGATCATTACTTTATCTAATGTCTAACTACAAGAAGTTAAAAAAAATATATACATTTTTTTTGTTTTCATTCGCCCCCAAGAAAAAGTCCTAAATAATATGTCACCGGCACTATATATAGGAAAAGGTAATAACACAATCCAAAAAAATGGTATTTAAATTATTTATTCTTAATAAAATAATAAAGTAAAACAAAATGATTAAAATGATTAGTACTCGTAAATATATATATATAAATAAACAAATGTATAAATTAAAATTAAAATTAAATAAAAGAATAAATGCGCTGACTTGATAATTTGAATATTTTAAATGTACAAACCGATTTTAAAATTAATACCTTGTATAAATATATTTTAAATAATAAATAACAACCAAATGATTTGTATTTCTTAACATATGTATGTCTAATAATAACCGATTTTAAATAATCTCATAATAAATTATTTCTACCTATGTGAAACGACCAATTTCTATAATTTTTTTTTATGTACCCCTTCATTTAATTTTTTATATTTAGTTGCGTTTAACATTTTGACTATGATATACCTGGTGATGGATTTTTAATTCAAAACCGGTCGTATAATACTCCAGGTGACGCATTTATTTATTTTTTATTTTCAATTTTAATTTTAGTTTTTAACGCCTCTATAGGCGAGTTCTAAATTATTTTTTATAAAATTGTTTGTAAAATTTAATTATAAAGCATAGGGTAAAGGTTATGTATGCATATAAATTATAAACTATATATTCACTAAACAATTACCTACAACAAAATTTGTTTTTCTGTTTATTTGCAAATATATCACTATAGCTTCAAACAACCTAAGCCCAGAAGAAACGTGTAACTAAGATTACTAGATGTTTCTGTATTTCACTTTTCGTACACTATACATCATTTCTTATGGTAAAGTGCCACACACACATATACCAACCAACCTAATTTGGTCATGATGCCCATCGTTGACACCAGCACATTTTACTACAACTTTAATAACGGGCTCAACAATTTTCTACGAGTTTGTTACAATTTACTACTGCATTTTCATTTGCAATTCGCTATCGGCTGGTTATTCCTACAGACCGGAGGAAACAGACGTGTGGGTGCTAAGTTGACGCAGCACCGGCACGTTGCCCGATTGACTCGAAATTAGTATCAAACCAATCGTACAAATTTATTACAATTTACTACTGCATTTAAAATTTCACCAGATTCTGGAAAAATGAGGCAGTAACAAATTCTGAATGTTTGTTTCCGGTCTCTAAGAAAATCCAGCCAGTAGCAAATTTTATCAAATTGTTGAGTCCATTTGCAATGTTGTAACACACATTTTCCGGTGCAAACTTGACGGACATCATTGTGCACTTACTTCATAGGACGTTCATACACACCGCCATCGCCATCGTAACCCCGCGAGGCACTTTCCGGAGCACAATGACCCGGGGTATAGTAGGATATCGATGGTAAATCAATCACTCTGTATATATAGCGTAGCTCGTATACGCGCCTATTACGATTGTACATTCGTGGGGGGAAAAACCGATGTTTCATATTGTATTTAGATTTCACCGCGGGTTTTCGTCGTCTCGCGAGAAGTCGCAGCAGTGGGTCAGTAGTGTATTAGTGCGCGCGAGTTTGTTTAATACAACCGATATTTTAATATTTGTAAAAAAACTGGTAAACAAATATACGTAAATTCCGTAATGCCAAGACGAGTTTCCTGACTACGGGTTTACGCGTTATATTACACATGCGTGCGATCATATTTTTTTTTTTTTTTAATAATTGTAGGTCATGGACGAGATCCTCGACTTCCGGGCCCGGTGTATAATATTATTCTACGACCGCGGTCGCGCCGTATTTTATAACGGACATCACTCTCGTCGCCATCGGCTCGACCCTGCATAATAATATAATGTTATAATTCTATTATATTTATTTTTTTTTTTATCATTAACCAGTTATGCCGACCATCAGTTCTACATCACAGTGACCGCGGACCAGTTTTTCGAAAACTCGAAACCCATAAACCGAGTGCCCGCGCCCAGTGGCGGACCGACCAACACGGGTCACGGTTCGGGAGATGTATTTCCCTGGGTCGGTGGAACGCTTAGGCCGCACAGTGGTTGAAAATAATTAATTAGGCGATCAAAAATATTCGATTGAATGATTTTTTTTTTTTTTTGTATTTATTAAATCATTGTCAACATTTATTTATACAATAATTCAGCATCATTTATTTGGTCCGAATAATGTCGGCAAAGTTATTATCTGATCAGATAAATTGAATTTAAAAAAAAAAAAAAAAAAAATGCAAGTTAAATATGTGCTTATTCCTACGTTATTCTTACACCGTAGCTAGGTAAAGTTATTTTCATTGTTCATTTACGGTGATTTTCGTCATAGTTGTTTTATAATTTAATATCATTAGTCCTTAGTCAATAAATGTAGGCATTTATTTCGATATTAAATTAAAATTCAACGATCATATTAAAAAATGTTTCCTAGGATAATGGACAAGGGTGCAACCACTGTTATAGGTAATTTAATATATATCTGCAGTAAGCAATGATAAACCATTATTAACGAAAAAACGGCTCTGAGCAGAGTTCGATTGATAGTGTTGCTTTTTCAACAATATAATATATATATAAATATATGTTATATCATCAGAGATATTCAAGGGGTATATCTTCATGGGACAGCCTGTATGTATGTCATATTACGGTAAAATAATTACATATGTATCATTATTTTCCCGTTTTTCCTACGGTTTTCCCATGTTTTTTCCCGGTTTTTCCCATTTGTTGAGAAAACTCCTGGGAAAATTAAAAAAAGACTTCCTTAAAGTACCGCCCTAGTCAGATTTCCCTTCAGAAAAAGTGCTACACTTGTAATTCGGAGCAAGATTTCTTGTAGAAAAGTTGTTCATAAAACAAAAATAATACATAATACAATATAGGGGAAGGTTGGGTATAATAGGGTATTCGGGTAAAACGGGTTATTGTTATATCTGGTCACACTGAAATTAACTGGTGACAAATAAATCATAAATTATTAATTATCAAAACATGAAATATTTATACTTTATCAAGTTGTCTTATCACAAAACACATTTATTGTTTGTATCATATAGTATGAAAACGATTTGGTGCTCACGGATTCGTGTTTTCCGGTCACTGTTTTTGTTTATTAAAAACATGTTAAAAACATAGATGTTTAGAGAACATAATGCCACTTCCAACGAAAACTCCATTTTTATCGTTTCTCCGATTATTACATAAATCGAGAGAACATATTTTTTTTAATTTTTTTTTTATATTTCCATCATAAACCTTACACTAATCGACTGGTCTTGCCTATAGAGTAACTGAATTAGTAACCGATCAGACATACCTACAGTGGTATACAGTAAATTCACATCGGTTTTGTCATTATACGTGTAGTACAACGTACAATAGTACCACGTAAAAGTCACAAGTCACACGTGAATAACGCGCCCTCTATCTACGGCCGTTCTACATAGTACGTGTACAAAAGGCATGTCGGCTAATATAAGGTCTAGGATTCCCATCGAAAACGGCATTAGTTCACGAAAGAGGTTCTAAACTTAGATGTTCATAATCTCCTAAAACAGTATTTCCGACGAAAATGGCATTATCTTCAGTTACTTCCATTTTCGCGGGAAAATTGAATAGACAAAAGACGTAACTACAAAATAATCTTGCTATTGTCGTTATTTATAGATTTGGATAACAATGTATATTATCTTATAACAACGATAATATTGTTTATCAGTAATAAATTATTTATTATTAATAATACTAGGTAAATTGTTCTTTTGTTAATAGTTTTAAATGATAAACTGTTTAATAAATAATATCGAAGACAACTTGTATTGTCAATTTTCACAAAACTGTCGGTGGTATAGCTTATGCCTACATTTCGTATGACCGTAACGTTTAAATTATAAGTTTGTAAAATACTTACGAACTAGAAAACAATACGTTTTGTTTATAATTTTAACTGAATTGATCAATAGTCAGCAACAGCTTTGATAATGACGAATACCATGAGGTAATTATATTTTATATAATATTTCTATTTTTATAGATAGTAATTTTTTAAGTAGGCAATAATAATGTAGTATAAAAATAATAATATTAATAATTGTTTAAGAGAATGCCTTGGTTTTGACAAGTTTGTTAAATTCAATATGTTAAAAGATAGGTGCTGATTTCCCCTTCCATACCCAACCTTCCCATAATACAAAAAACATGTTTGAAAGCATACAAATTATATTACAGATGTCAACAAATTATTGAGAACACATAATGTGATTATTTGAATTATTTCCTAATTCCTACTCACCTAGTTAATCAATTATTTATTATTTATGTTTACAACAATATTCCAGTTTTTATCAATCTATTATCAAATATGTTTTGTTGTTTTTATCTACTATCACCAATAAAGTGATAACAATATTATTTAAAAAAAAAAAAAAAGTAATACTTGAATTTAATAATTTAATTTAATTTATATTCATTTTAAATAAATTAAGGTTTATATTGTACAGCACATTTTATTTACAATGCTTTCGACGTGTTATACGTTTTACCGTTTGTATGTCGGCGTTTATTTTTTTTTAACTCGTTAGGTCGCACACAAGTAAAACTAAAATACAAAATTGGAAGAGTATTGTATCGTTGTTGTTTTTATGATGAATTTATTTAAATATTTATTGAAAATGAAGACACCCGGTCCTGTAGGCTATATAAGCGTGATAATTTTGTTAACCTTTACAATGGGCGTTTTCAAGCAATTTTCGCAGAAAACAGCCAACAATTGTGAAATGACATTCATGTTTGAATATCCACATTTTGTTGTATGTGACTGCTTTCAAAATATATATTTTTTATCAATATATGATTTATATTATTATTTATTATTTTTTTTTTTTTTTTTTACCCAGGAAATCTCAGTGCCGATGAATAGGGGAAAGTATAATTTGTACGCTTATACCGAAGGCCAAACAATGGAGAAGATAAAATCAATGAAGTTCTATGGCACGCCAGTTGTTTTTATTCCAGGACACAGTGGATCGTATAGACAAGGTATGTATGCAAATTATTTTAAGGTTTACAATCTGTTATAATTTAAATATTTTTGTTCATAGTTCGGTCAATAGCTTCTGTAAACATTCGAAAAATGTACCATATTCAATCTAACATCAAATTCGATTTTTTCACTGTCGATTTGAACGAAGAATATTCCGCTGTATTTGGTGGCGTTTTACTACAACAGACCGAATTTGTTTCTCAATGTATAGACACAATTATGAAAACATATGATAACGATTACAAACCCACTTCGATTATACTCATCGGACATTCCATGGTACCTTAAGTATTTATATTGTGATTATTTCATTATTTATTATTTCATATTTTTAGGGTGGTATTATAGCCAAAGGATTATTCATTAATCCAACGTTTGATACCAGTCTTGTAGAACTGATCATCACTCTGGCCACTCCGCACAGACCTCTGTTTTTAGCTGACCATTATATGGATAGTTATTATGACAAAGTGGAAAATATCTGGGGAAATGGTTTGGACAAACCAAGATCTTTGTTTTTGTCAAACATTTCCTTGCTGTCCATAGGCGGTGGCCACCGCGACCTAATGGTTTGGCCATGTATGACTTACACTCCACACGCAGACATAAATGCATTGGTTAGTTATACTTATACTAATATAATCTGTTGTATAATTGGCATTGTTATTAATTGATTTACAAGTCAATAATCGTATTTATCTCCAGAGTTTAGCTATACCTGGCGTTTGGACTTCAATGGACCATCAATGCATATTATGGTGTAAATCATTAGTCAAAACTATCGTAAGAGTGTTGTTTGACTCTGCCGAATCCGACTCAGATGATTCAGTTCATGAATGGAGAAAAAAAGTTTCTTCATATCATTTTGATAAAGTGTGTAGAAAAACAATTAAATAATATTAACAAGTAAAAAGAGTAAAATTTATCTTCAACTCACAGAGAAGTAATGGAAAATGGTTTCATTCAAATTTACATCCCAATTCGGTTAAACTAAAAGAACCGCACATAATTGAATGGAATGAAACTTATAAAGTTCAGAGATCTATCTTTTTAGAGTCTGGCTCAACTATGCCAATTGCCATTCATATGCCATTATTAAATAAATCTTTCAATTATGAAATGACCGCCGAAGCAATAAATATTGAATACCATGATTGGGTGTTTTCATGCAAACCAGACAATCATTTAAAAAAATATTGGTAAACTCTAAATATTTTAAAACAAAATTACTATTATTTATTGTAAATATTGTTATCAATGCAATGTATGTGTATAATAATATGTGTGTGTTTTTAAGTTTGTATGGTGCAAACTGGTCTTCTAATAGTACCATATCAATGTCAAAATACCTTAAAAGAAGACATGTCACAATTCAATTGTCCAAAGTACTCAGATTGGGACATTCAAATTTGGTTTTTAAAATAAAAAATACTAAAAAACCGGTAAAATATTAATCGCCAACTATATATTTTTGAGAAACCTTGACATATCTACAAATAAAAATGTTGTATTATAATTTAATTTCAGACTGGATTGAATATTGATCTATACAAAGTAGGTGACAGAACGAATCAATTGTCGTGGCGTTTTTGGTACGGAATTTTCGACAGGAAGCTGTTGTGGGAAATCGACATTTTCGAAACAATACAATACAAAACAATTTTGCACGGTTGGTTGGATAGTATGTGTTTGAACTGTGTTTACAGGGTGTACATGGTACCCTTAAAATGTTTAAAGAAAAAACACCATGCCGTTTCTAAATTTGTCATACCATGGACTCAAGGCGTTTTGCATGGTCTCTCTAGGTAGGTTGTCTTTTATTAAAGATTAAACTTTTGGATGAAATTTAATAGAGGTACCTAATATTATATTATTAGTGACGATTCGATTGAACCATTGAGAATATCAATGGAAAACCTTCCTTCATCAAATATCACTGTTGATCCATACTTACAATTCATATTAGACCCAATGTGCAAATACCGTATCGAGTAAGAGAAGTAACATACAAGTCTGTATAATGATTTTTCAATTTTATGTTTTATATTTTTTTTTCAGATTAGAATTATCTATTATGGACACAGTTGGAACAATAGGATTGAAGTATGGTTTAACTTTTCCTTCATATATCGGAATCATAATACTTTTGGTGTTATCGCACCAATTCACGGAATTGGCTAATTCCGTCTCAGACACCAATAATGATTGCTCAATTTATCACAACTCGTTGCCATCCATTTTCAAGACACTGAAGATTTTGATCATTTCGAATTGTTTCATGACTGTCATGTAAATATAATTTTTAAATTTATTCATTTCATGATTATAAAATATATTATTTGAGGTTTTTGCTATGGTTTTTCAGACAATATCTGTGGCCCGACATGAATAAACCAATCGGTGGCATTGACTGGCTCGGACATCCCTTGAAGACAATGATATTCTCATCGTTACTGTATAATATAACTAATTCATTTATGTATTTTGGAACTTTGGGTTTATGGATTATGATGTTATTCTGGGGAAAAGCTATCAACGAACTTCTAATCCGGTAAACAATATTTAATCTAAAAATAAAATAGCAATTATATTTTAGAGTTATTATTTTTTTCAGATTTATAATGAAAGCTATGAAAAAAAATGCCACGGTGTCTGATTGGATATTATATGGATTTGGAAAATTACCAATAGCTGTTCCGATAATTGCAATTTTAATGTCTTACCATACTTGTGGTACTGTAGGACTAATTATTTCAGCGTTTTTCTATTATTTCTTGGTAAAAAAAAATCCATTTATTTACCTTTTTTTTTTTATTAAGTATTGATTAAATTGTTTGTGATCAATGGAGACTGATGTCTAGATTATTGATTCAACCTTCACATCAAAATATAGTTTTTATTTTTTGAGTAGACATTTAATACACTTATGTAAAATACAAATTTGTATTTTATAGCTTTGCACAATGGTACAAGACCGTATCGAAGAATTAATTTATTACCCATTGATGTGCGTCAAAGAATATTTCATGGGAGGTCAAAGACCGGTGTTGAATTTATCATTAACGACAATCCACCTGCATTTTTCACTGTTTTTGTTGTGGTTATTGATTTGTGGTTGTCATCTACCATGTAGCATTGAATGGGCACGAAATTACCAGTAATAATTATCTTACAATTGTCCTTCAAAACTCATTACTCATTAATGAATTTTGAACTATTTTACAGTCAGAGTAAATATTTAGATCCAGATCCATCATGGATTTCATCCGTAATTTTAAACATCTGTGCAGGTATACTGTGGCAAATGGACATCCCCAAACGCAACGTGTAAGTATTATTTTTCTCTAAAAAAAAAATTTGTTATAAAGTTATATTGTTCGACATTTATTATTTAATATGTTTTAGGAAATTTTACAGAGAATTAAGTGATGTTTGTATATCCACTTCAGTTATATTGTTTGTGTTCGGCCAAACTGCTTTGTTTCGAATAGCCCCTATTTTAACATCTGTGTTTGTGCTTATCACAGTAAATCAGTGTTTTTGTTCGTGGTGGATACGATTCCGAAGTCAGAATAATGACGAAGTAAATGACACCAACAATGTCAGAAGTCAGCAGTGCAATTAGCCATAAATTAGGTTATGCAACTAGTAATTTTGCATATTCAAATATGTGCAAAATAATATCAACATCCATTCACTTCAAAATGGCCCCGATTAACAGCTAATCAGAGTTTTGTATGTGTAATATGTGTAAGACATTTACAAAAAAAATTGTGTTAGTTTTTATTTTTTAATTTTACCAATGTCATTTCATCTTTTTATGAGACTGATTTGTGTCTATATGTTTGACTGATTATTTTCAGTTCTGATTATTTTTAATGGTTTATTGTTTTTATTTAGTTATTATTTTTTATTGTTTAACCATTGTGAACCTCTTATGTTTAATTTATTATAACTTTAAGTCTTACAATTTTCTAGTCAAATTTGCAAACAGCAGAAAGAACATTTTGAATGTTAAAACGAATAGGTATAATGATTTGAATGGATAAAAATATACAATTTCAAGCACAAAAACTATTTTGTATAACAAAAGAACTTTGGTAGTCTAGACAAATTTTTTTTTTTTATCCAAATGTATGATTTTTTTTTCTGCTTATTAAATATATTTCTATCATTTTTGAAAATCTGGTAATTTATGTGATAAACTAATTTAACTAATTTATGTTCGTAAAAACTCAACTATTAACAATTAATATCTATAAATAATCCAGCGTTCCAGCTATCGTATTGATGGTATTTTGTTAAAAAGGTATATACCACTCAAAATGTAAAAATAAGTTTTTGATATCAGAATAATCAAGAGCATAAACTGGTAAAAGGGCATATTTAAATACAGAAAATGAACATGGCAACTAAAAAATATTCAGGTGCTTTTTAAAAATATAATTAAATCAACATTGGTTTGTTAAAAGAGCGTATTTCACATTCAATGCTATTGAAACATATATAAACACATTCAAAAGTATACTTTGTGTACAAGTTATTATATGTACGATCAATTTTATTGTTTTCATCATTAGAAACTTTCGCTGTTCTTTTGCAAAACATTTTTTTTTTTTTTGTTTTCTGAAAAAGGTGTTTTTGGTGATATACGTTCTTTTAACAAAACACCGTCAATATGTTTTATGAATACATTTTTTTAGGGTTCGGTAGATATTCGACTTTGAAAAAATTTCGAGTCGAGTTCGAGTACTCGTGTTTACTGGAATGTTTGTAAAATATTAAAAACTATAAATATCTCGAAACCCAAATATTTCCGATAACTGATGAGAAAAACCCAAAGAATAACTAGAAGACTGTTGGAATTTATAAAAATAGATCGTTGTTTTTTTTTAGGTATTTATTATTTAGTTTTATAATGACTACTATAATAACATGGACTATCCTAAAAAAAATATTTAAAAATATTAACAATTTAATAGTATTTAACTAATGTTCGTCAACAATAGAACCCTGAAATTTCACTGTACGCTGAAAATATTTTAGCAAATTAAAATAATCCACATTCTAGGAATTTCGAGTGCTCGAGCCTTTTTAGCTTTCAGATACTTGGCAAACCTGAATACTAACCAATGTTCGGGTACTCTACTGTCGAAAAATAATACTCGACACTCGACATCAAAAAACCAATACTCGCCCGACCCTACATTATTGTAACTCATAAATTGACTTTTTGGACATACGCGGTATTGATTTATCACCGGCGATATATTTTACAGCCGACCCGTCGTCGACGTTAACACGTTACGCGACCGGCAATTATTATTGTTTTCGCTTTCGCTATTTATGCAAATAGCCACATATGAAACAGATTTTATTGACGAAAACAGTATCAGACTACCCGCCTATGTAGTATGAATCGTATATTATTAAACAATTTACGACACGATACAATAAGATTTCGCGATACTTTTTTTTGTTCGGAGTATCCGTAATTTCAAATTGATTTTATGAATTGCATTTCAAAAATGAACAAAAACAATAATTACTCCAGTAAAAAATACGGACCATATTTGGGTAGAAGGAAAAAAAGTAAAGGTAAACGGTAATATTAATATATTATATCAGATCCGAGTCAAGAAGTAATTATACGGTAATAAGAACGATATAAAAAGAGGTACATATTTCGCACGATAGGTTGGCCACTGTTGTAGGTGGGAAGGTAGAGCATAGATGGGGGAATCCACTGTTAATCTGTACGCAACGATTAAACTTTGTTAACGAAAAACGATTCTGAGCGAAGTTTGGTTATACATGTTTAAAAGGCCGTAATATTTACGATTTTCGTCAAAATTTGATATTAAAATTCTTATAAAAAAAAAAATTTACATTAAATTTAAATTTTTCTTGTTAACCACCTAATACGACTAAAATAAACCTCCTGTTAAATTGTCAAGTATTTCTGTTTGGTCTAATAATTTTATCCACGGAGAACCTATACCGAATAAATATTACGTAAAATGTTCGCAAAATTAAAATGGCTCAAATTATTTAAACATTTTATTACGTCTATAAAAGGCAAATATAAAATTTCTGTAACTATTTCAAGTCTACACATTTTTGAAGGGCTGTAATATTTCCCATTTTTGTCAAAATTGAATTAAAACATATAAGAAAAAAATAATATTAATAAATATACTAGGTACATAATATTATATAATTTTTTCATACAACAAAAAAATACACCTACCAATAATCATGTTTAATTCAAAATATCTCATAAATCAAATCAACTAGTCTTTTTTAGGTAAATTTACTTTACGCAATGGTAATACATTATATTACCATTTACCTTTATTTTTTTTCCTTCTACCCAAATATGGCCTGTGTTTTTTACTGAAGTAATTATTGTTTTCGTTCATGTTCGAATGCAATTCATAAAATCAATTAGAAATTACGGACACTACGAACAAAAAAAGGTATCGCGAAATCGTACTGTATCGTCTCGTAAATTGTTTAATAATATATAATTCATACTTCATAGGCGGGTAGTCTGATACTATTTTCGTCAATAAAAAGTATCTCGTATGTAGCCATTTGCATAAATAGCCACAGCGAAAACAATAATAATTGCCGGACGCGTAACGTGTTAACATCCACGACGGGTCGGCTATGAAATATATAAAAAAACATTTCCCCTAGTTCTATTCATTACCGAAATATCGCAAAGTATTGTTGACGAATGACGAAATATTTCAAAACTGCTTTAAAAATTTCTATCATGGATAGAATAACTGGGAACTGTCAAACGATAATAATATTAGGTTTATGTGTATTAAACGAATTAGACCTTGTGAATGTATACGAACATACAAAATCAATTAAACTGATATGGGAAATCACTCAGTGAATTTAAGTGTTAAATTGGTTTTAATTTATTCAGTAAAATCATTTATACTTCATCCCTCTCATAATTTTATTATAATCAACAATTTAAATGGCAATCCTAAGATTTTTTTGCAAGAAAATTACCACTTAGGTCTTATAAGATTTTAAGGTGTATTATTATCAGGTGTGAATTCGTGATGAAGCCATGTTAATATTTGCGGAGAAAAAGCATTGCCAGGAGTCAATACACCCCCTTCCTCCTTCCAGAAAAAAAAGCCCGAAATACGACACTGCTTTCCGCGTACTATATTACTTCTCAGCATTTCATCGACCGTCATTGGTTGGCGATCATTATGACCATCGAATTTAAATTTGTCCACGCGACAGTTCCTTACACAACTTTTTTTTAGTGAATAAATAAATAAATAATACGCCTTGAAGATGCGATTAAAATTAATTTTCAAGTTGACTCTTAAATTTGGTTTTATAATAAGTGTTTACGCATTTTTATTTTTTTATTTTTTTTTTTTCCCCCTGAAGGAGACCGCAACACGGTTCGTTCCATGGGAAAATATTTGAGCAACTTATGCGAACGGATGTGTGAGAATTAACGAACGGATACGCGAATCAATCCAATGCCAACGCCATCATTATCCGGGCCTTGTGTACAAACGTGCGTCATACTGATACCGCAAGTTATTTTTCGGTTTACAGAATTTATCAAAACACACGATCACAGACGCACATGCTTGACTGGGCACGCGTCCTTACCAATGGGAAATTTGCGTTACGTTCGGGAACGTAAAAATACACGTTGGCGCAATCTATTTGCGTTATGTTTATGTGCGGAATGATTCCATCGTAACTTTTAAACGAGGACGCGAATTTAAGTTCCAAGCAGTTACGGGCATTTTAATTTTGTAGCACAATCAACCGCACGTTTCGATTGAAATAAAACGCACCCGCATTATTGAAATAAACCGACCCCTGTTTGCTTTATTGGCATTTGGCGTAGTCCCGGGTCAGTAAATCCGCGGCGCGCGTGCCCGAGACGACGCGTGAACAAATGTTAAGGGCACGCCTGAAATTAAAATATCTATACCGTATTCGTATTTTCAATAATAAATAACAACATTACGGTTTCAAACGTTTTTTTTTTTTTTTTGTTTTTTTTGTTATGACATAATGTACACGTATAAAACGGCAAATATTTTCGGCACGCCGCGACGTTACCGTTTTCATTCTTCGGCTATACATATTTTGAAGAACCGTAATATTTCCAGTTTTCGTCTGAATTGAATTTGATTTTAAAACTCCTACGAAAAATAAATAAAAATCCTACATCATTATATATATATATATAAACACGTTTAATTCAAAATAATTTATAAATCAAATCGACTTATTTTTTTAGGTAAATTTTCTCTACGCAACGCTAATATGTCACCTTTATTTTTTTTCTTTCTGCCCAAATACGGTTGGTATTTCTTACTGAAGTAATTATTGTTTTTGTTAATTTTCGAAAAGCAATTCATAATATCAATTTGAAATTACGGACACTACGAACAAAAAAGGTATCGTGAAATCGTATTGTGGCGTGTTGTAAAATTTTTAATAATGTAATTCGTAATCGGACAATTTGATACTATTTTTTCGAATAAAATTTATCTGTAGTCATTTGCATGAATAGCGAAAACGAAAACAATAACAATAATAATTTCCGAACGCGTAACGTCGACGACAAGTCGGCTATAAACATATTAAAACGCACACGCATGCACATGGCATATGCATATTAGATTTAGAACAAATGTATGAAGAAACTTGAAAGAGCTACACGCCTGAAAAAAATTTTAAGTTTTCCGATTCCATAAACAAGTTTCCTTTGCATCGATTGGAGAACTGTTTTTAGTTTTTGCAAATTCTTGACGAAGAGTAAACATTGTACATTTTATTGATTTGTCAATTTTTAATATTACATACATTTAAAAATATGCCTCGACTGATGCAAAGTAAACTTCTATACCAACTGAAATGGTTCTACATTTTTTAAAACCGAACTACTTCAAGTCCCGATGGGGTTTGTAGGGCCTTAAGAGCGAGAGGTTTTGCTTTCCTGGCAACGTGATTGACGTGTGTCAATCCTCACCATTTTTTAAATAAACATGTCATACAGGCTGTCCCACAAATATATACTCCTTGAAATCTCCAAAGATAATAAAGATAATCAAATTCTATTTTTTTTATATATATTATTCACAGAGTTGAGGAATACGAATATTTATATTTGAATTAAATTTTTTTTTAATCAGTGAAAAAAATTAATAACTGTGTTTTTATTTAATTATTTTCGGAAAATTTTAAGAACGCCATTTGGTAGAGTTTTTTTTTCTGAAAATTTTAATGTATCACACATTTATATTGGATTGAATAGTTTCTAAGTAACAGCAGTTTTAAATTCGACTAATCCGTGTGAAAACATATGTTATTTGGGGAATAACCTAACAGCGTTAAGTGAGTCACAAAAAAATTTAATTCAAATATAAATACTTGTAGTCTTCGTCCCTGTGAGTAATTAAAAAAAAAAAAAATTTGATTATCTTTATTATCTCCGGAGATATTCAAGGGGTATGATTTCGTGGGACAGCTTACATTTATAATCCTATAACCGAATTTTAATACACTGTACGAACCCATGGTGACGTAACGATTACACTAGATGTAAGATTCAAAAGAACAGGTCAGAATAATATATTACTTATCTATAAAAAAAAAAAAAAAATAAAAATAAATCAATACAATTTATACAAAACATGTATTTATGTATTTGCGTAACATAATTTTATATAACATTGTTGCCGAAATACATGTATAACAAGTGTATGTTTTAGACCGGGCGATAGAGCTTTTGATTTTTATAACAGCAGATTATTTATTATTGGTTTATTCAATAACAAATATCCATAGATAATAAAGATAGTTTATTATCTATGCCAGTATCTTAGTATTTTTCAACCACATTCGGTACCAAATTGATAACAAAAATAATCAAGATATTTGAAAATTTTAAAAATTAATAACCTGACAAAGCGTCGAAAAATGTTTACAACATCCATTGTACCTGTACTATGATACATTTTTTTTTCTTATCCATGGAAATATACCTAATATAACATGTTTGAGTGGATATCAATGGGTGGTTTGGACCCTATGGACGCCCTCCACCCCCATTAATACGCCACTGTCGAAGGTTAAGCAAATATAGGAGTAGGAGGCTAACAAAATCTTGAACAACAAAATCTTCAATGGCAAAAACATGAATCGAAAATACCGGCAAAATCTTGAATCGAAAAATTCATCTAAGTATACAATTTTAAAATGTTAACAAAGCTAAAGTACTGCATTTTCATGAAATATTATTATTAAACTACTAGAAAATTAATAAAAAAAAATTGGAATCACGCAGTTAAATAAAATTATATTTTAAAATAGGCATATATTTGTAAAAATCATCGAAATATGCAAAATATAACCAAAATAATCAAATAACCACAATTATTTATTTGATAAATATAAAATAATAATATTTATTTATTCTAACCATTATTGTTTTACAATTTAAGAAAACGAGAAAGTATAAAATAACAGTAGTTGGTCACTTTTAAGCCATTAGCTGTGTAAAAGTCCATAACAATATGCAAAATATAAAATTTCATTTTTAAACTCGTTTGGTTGTGATTCAAATTTCTAGCTTATTTAGTAACTTTTTTGGTACACTCGGTATACATACATTTTCCTAACCTTGGTCATTCCATCTCTTTTTGCAGTATGACCCTATAAGGAACCACAATGAAGCCGCTTGTCGAATTTTATATCCGGCTATTCTCCGTGGTAGGAGTAGGCTGCAATACTTCCTTTTTACTCTGACGCAACTAGTTTTGTTCCTTTACGAACAGTTTATATATTTATTAGCAATTAAATCGATGCTGATACAGTAGACGATAGACTGAACTTGAATTTTGTTGGTTGATGGCCGCCGATATTACATCAGGTAATACGATATAAATCCGTTCAAACGTGCTGCGAATTCGTTTAGACCAAATAGTGTATACAAATTATCTTTGAAAAACTACTCAGATATATATAAAATTATATCTAATTTAATGCAATCAAGATAACTATTAAGGTACGTACCCATTTTCCTTTTATATATATATATATATGTATCTATTAAACCAAGTTTAAAATTTTGTATTAGCTTTTTATACAAATCTATAATTATTTTCCCATCTTGTTGAAACTTGACATTCAGTTCAACCTTAAAATAAATCACTTTTTGATTTGATTTATCCGAAAATTCTTCAACCATCTGGTCCGCGAGATTTTTTATCTCGAATACAGTGTCGGCCCGGCACACCAAAATCTCCGGGGGTAAGGGTTCATTTTTAAACCGGTGCAGTATTGGGTCCAGAATAGTGTTGGGTACTATCGAATAGTACTATTCGAATTGTACGATAGTCCAACATATTCGAAAGTATTTAAACTATTCGAGAGTATCGAATATTTCGAATTATTTGATAGTTTTGAACATAATGAATTATTAAATAGTTACGAATTAATTCGTTAATTCATAATATGTTATGATACTTATATAACCTTGTGAAATCAATATCCGGTGAGCCAAACAAAAAAAACCAGTTTTTTTGACTCGTATGTTTATTGCAAAAATATTCAATTACTAATAATTACTTAATAACTTTAGACATTTTCAATGGTGTCCCTGTGGTCTTTTTTGCCATATCCTGCATTCCACCAAAAGCAGTTACGGTGTTGCGTGTATTACGTAGTAAATTACTAATAAACATAATAGGTATCACATTTCTCAGAAATTGGTAGAGTATTTGAATAGTTTTTAGTCGGCGTATTCAAATAATTTTATTATGTTTACACAATGTTTTCTACCAGAAATATTACTCCAATCGAAAAATGATATGAAATCGACGTTTTTCCTTTGAATACATAGCCACTGACAGATGAAGTCGTTTTTCGACATGCAAGGTAATTTTTTTAATAATTGAAAAAAACAAAAAAGACGAAATATACGATTTAATGTTTTTAAATTTGAATGGCTTATGTTTTCTACCAAAAATATTGCTTCAATAGAAAAACATCGAGATATCTTTTTCGTTAAATTTTTAACATTGTTGGCGACTAAGAAATCTATTTTTGATTTTCTTTGTAGTCTTTTTAATAATCAAGTAAAACCGAAAAAACACGAAGAACAAGAAAATTTACGAAAACAATTCTTTTTTTTTTAAATTTTGTGTTTATTGCATTATTAACACGCCGCTGTACCGTTACACAAATAATACTTCACTACTCTCCTCCAACCTAAACTTAAAAGTGGAATATCTCGTCAACGACTTGACAGAAATCAAAAATTTCAACACTCAAATAAATTTGAGTGTTGAAATGAGTATTAAGTGAATTCAGTATTGAAAATCGAAAGTAGGTAGTGATTTTAAAATAATGGTTACAAAAAAAAAAAAACATAAATATACAATTGTAGGGTAGTTTGTTTCTTAAATGTACTAGAAAACAAATTCCGGAAAAGTTAATACTTCCCTAGATAATGAGTGTACCCACTTAAATGAATCACCTGGTATAGGTAAATGAGAACATTTACCTGAAATTATTAAATTCCTTAGATTACTGCGGTGGTTATCAATTTTTATATTTTAAAACACATCATATGATTTTTTTCGATTTATTGATTTCTTCCGTAACACGGATGAAATCCACTTAAATGGATCGCCCGGTTAAGTACCTACTTTTATTTGGTAGGCATCTGTTAGTTAAATTATGTATCATATGAGGAATTCTTAAAAATTCTACACATTGTACATTATAAGTTAAAGACTGGAAATCAATAATGAGCTAAATGCCAAAAAGTTGATTTTGAGTTATTCAATCTTTTTTTGTTTTACTAGTAGCCATGAAATATATAGCTCTCGCTTCATATTGTTGGGCCTTTTATACTACTATTATTGTATTCGTGACATATAACGCATTTATGAGTTGTTAGCGATGGCACATAGCTCAATTTTTCTAATCTAACTCAATATTTTTTTTTTGGCATTCAGCCCATTATTGATTCCAGTTTTCAGTTTTACTTAGTGGTCTAAAACAGTAAAAAACAAATTTGAGTTTATTGCATTTTTTTTCTTTTTCCAATTAGCGTTTTAAGATTATATTTTATCAAAAATCGTAAAAATTATAATAATTATTTATTTTTTTAATTACTGGTTTTTTCAGATTTTGCCTTAAAAGATAAAAGATGTTGTGGAAGCTGTACTTAATCTTACAGTTGGGTACAATTTATACTAATCAGCAATCCACGGATTATCCACCACTTTTCGAGGGTTTGTTGAATATTCTTAACGAAGGTGTAGAGTTTATGAATCGTCAAACAACGGAAGAACGGGTCTCGTTACGCGAATATGATTTCATTGTAGTAGGCGCCGGTTCTGCTGGATCAGTAGTAGCCAATCGACTGTCAGAAGTAAATACAAAATGTTTTGTAATAATATCGATATCAAACTAAGTTGAGATTGCATCTCAACTATTTAGGGTCACAGCTATCCTTGTCATAAACTTCCACTTGACCCGAACCCCCACACATCGTCTTTGCATACAACCGCCATCCTCATATCATTCTCAATCTCATCCACTCAACTCTTTTTTGATCTTTCTTTCCCCTTCTTTCCTTCCTACTTTTGAGCCACTTTTGAGTTTTTGAGGAATTTTAATTTTTGAGAGTTTTTTTGCTGTTATCCGGTTATAAATACACCTAGAGACTTGAAACTTGGTAATAATACTTACATTTGATTTACCTAGACGTAGTAAAATTTCCAAAATCATCGGACGACTTTTTTTTTTGAAATCAAATTTAAACAAAAATCGCATAAGGCACTTCAAATTATGTATTACCGAATTGCGAATTACCAAATCAACTTTCGTCATGCAACTTTTATTGTTGCTTACAGATATAAATAAAATAACCTTATGTATCCTACCTTTCCAACTTCTCACCTACAACAGTGGCCGTTCCCATCCTCAGTATCAGTTCTTTTTTTTTTATTTTACTGTATGACAATATTTAGACATTTTGATTAGTCCCCCACGAAATAAAATTCTGGATACGCTCCTGAATCTAATTGACCATCTTCTAGTATATCTGCCTCGTTTAGGATATGAGATATACTTTTTAAGAATAGCAAAAATCCAACGAATCCAGTTTTTTGTGAAGACTAAACTATATGGATTTATTTATTTTGTTTAACCGTTTTATGCTTCAGATTTTGTAAGTAAGATACCGACAACTGTATAAAGTTGAATATTTATATTGTTGGCAAGTTTTAATGGCTTTTTATATTATGCATTACTTGGGTAATTTTGGGTATTTAGGGAATTTAAAATGTTATTAATATACGGAGGGATAAGTCGAATCACAATTTTAGATTCTGAGTGGAGCTTTCACTTATGGTTTTATAAAGATGTTTTTATGTTTTTATTTCTGTAGACAACTTTTCTACCAACAACTTTGCTTCAATTTATATTGATAATAATGTTTCTAAAAATAAATCCGACTGGGGAATTACTGTAAAGAGGTTATTTTTCGATTTTCTCAGGAGTTTTCTCAGCAAATATAAAAAACCGGGAAAAACATAGGAAAACTGAGAAAAACGCAGGAAAACCGGGAAAATTGGTATTACATTAAACAAACATTATTAAAGAAAAAATATAAAGCCTATTTAATTATTCTACCATAATATGACATAGTAGATTGTTGATAAAACAACATTATCAACTGAACTTGGCTCTGTATCTATTTTTCGTTAGCAATGGTTAATCGTTACTTACAGATATACATTAAATTACCTATATACAATAGTGTCTGCGCTACTCTCCAATATCCTAGGATATATTTTTAAAATCTGTAAGTTTTAGATTCTTTTTACAATATGTCATTGTATCAGCTGAATGGCTGAATGTCTGTGCGGCTATAAGCTCAGTGCCTTATCTAAATATTTTGGACTATGAAACAAACAATTATTTAAAGGGCCTCTCCACAAAATCCATTTATGAACAGGGTTTTTAAAATTGGAAACCTCACTAATTCTATAATAATAGCTTTAAATACAACTGAAAATACTTTCAGTATTGGTGCCTGTGAAATCTTGTACTTCCTTTTAAAACTCGGTCTTTAAATCCAAGCACACAACATGTATTATAGAATAACAATTACTAAAACAGTAAAAACACTAGAAGTATCTTAAAGATTATAAGTTTCTAATAATATTTTACATATTTTGGTAGTTTGATAAGAATAATTTTCTGCTATCGTGATTTTATTAATATCGGAAAAACTTTATCATCGATTTATTCAAGAATACCCACAAATGTAAGGTCGTCTCTTTTGCAAAACGTTGGTTTAAGTTATCTCTCTCAAAACAACCACAACCATTCAATTATGTCTATGTATAAGAAGGCTAATTACATACAATTTGTATTTAAGGTGCCTACATGGAACGTGTTGCTGATCGAAGCCGGCAATGAAGAACATTTTGTAATGGACATCCCGTTATTAGCCAACGTAATGCAGTTCACAGAAGCTAATTGGAAGTATAAAACAATGCCCTCGGATAAGTATTGCTTAGGTAATTCCAAAAGTAGTTATTATAAACCACATAACATTCAAAATATGTTTAGGTTTTAGTGTTAATCTAACCTAACCTAACCTATATACAGCCAATACAATTTTTAAACAAACCACTGAAACTTATGTTAAGCATTGTTAACAAATTTCATGAGCCACCGAATAATACATCAATTTATAATTGTTCATTGACGAGTGGGAAACAAACACGGCAGTATTTTAATCTGTAAGCAAGGTGATTTTTGTTTTTCTGTGTAATTTCCTTAATAATTAGAAAACTAGAAAAAAACGAAGAAAAATCGACAATGTTTACGGAAAAAATGATTTTATTAATTTCAATTTTTTTTTATATTATTGAGCTATTTATAGGTATTAAATATTTTCAAACAAAAATGTATGTATAATCATAGAATAATAATTTTTATTTTATAAGCATATTTTGAGATCAAATATTGACGATAATTTTAATTATTAAAGGGCTCCCTGCAACAACAAAATGTGTCCATTTTTTAAAATTGTTCAAGGGAAATAAAATTGAAAAAAAAATTATTTCACTAACAATATTATATACATACAGCTACTATTTATTTGTTAAACATAATAATTTTAAATAACTATACCAATCTCAGAATATATTTTAAATTAATGTAGATACTTAGCTGATGTTTTGCTGAAAATGTAAGAATAACTTTGACCCGGGTAATTTTGATTTTGAATATATAGCTAAAATATAAGTGTAAAATAATGAAACCAAACTAAAGATTATAAAGTATATCCACCCCAAAAATTAATTTAGTTACATTATTCACAATGTTTGTATTAATATCATAGTATTGATGGTTTTTAGGGTTTTACGTTTCATTACAAAATACAATAAATTATTTTTCTGGAAAATTGCACAAACCTCCCCAATTTTTTTTCTGGTAAAAATATAATTACCTAGTAAATTAAATAATAAAATATTTAGAGTACCTAGACCGCAATAACAGCCAGTAAGTGAGAGATTATCAAACTACCGGGCTAGAAATATTATTTACACAGGGTAACCACTTCGGAGCAAAATCAAGATAAGTTCAGACAAATTTGGGTTTTTCTCATGTAAACCTTACTTCAAAAAAATTGATTTAGCCTATATCTCCGTTGATAACAATCGAACTTATCTTGCTCTTGTACATAATTTTAAGGAAAAGACAACTATATTCGAAAAATTGGATTTATCTTGTTGATGTATGGAACCCTTTAATTATGGCATTTCAAAACATAAATAACCAAACTTCGCCAAAAATCGTAATTTGTCAGAAATTTTTTTATCGCTTTGTACAAATATTAAAACCTTTAGTTGTACAACTACATGTTTTTAAATTTAAAATTCTAGGTATGAACAACAGACAATGTAAGTTTCCAAGAGGTAAAGTAATGGGCGGATCAAGTGTTTTAAACTACATGATATACACCAGAGGTCATAGAAAAGATTATGATGATTGGGCAAACGCAGGAAACATTGGTAAACATATAACAATAAAATAATAGATTATTTTTCATTTGCTTGAAACAATTATTATAGGTTGGGGCTACGATGATGTGCTTAAATATTTTCTTAAGTCAGAAAACGCAAATTTAACTTTTCAAGATCCAGGATTTCATCAAAAAGGAGGTCTCCTAAGTGTAACAGAAGTTCCATATAAGACTTCATTAAGTAAAGCATTTGTCCAAGCAGGATATGAAATAGGATACCCACCGAGAGATCTCAATGGAAAAAGTCAAATAGGATTTGATTTTTTACAAGTAACAATGAAAAACGGATTAAGATATAGTACAAATGCAGCATTCCTTCGCCCGATACGAAACCGAAAAAATCTGTTTATTAGAAAACAGAGTCAAGTGACTAAAATTTTGTTTGATGAAACTGGCAGTACGGCAATTGGAGTAGAATATTACACAGGAAAACAAAAACATAGGATTTTTGCACGAAAAGAAGTAATAATTTCATGTGGAGCAATTAATTCTCCTCAGTTGCTTATGTTATCAGGGATCGGACCGAAAGATCACTTGATATCAAAGAATATTAAAGTTTTGCGTGACCTACCTGCAGTTGGTCGTAATTTAATGGATCACGTTGCAATGGGAAGTTTGGTATATACTAACAATGATACGAGTTCAATATTTAATGACCGGGCATTCACTTCCAATAGTCTATATGATTTTCTAAAACGCCATCACACAGGATTTTTATCAATACCTGGGAGCACGGAAGCATTGGCACTTATTGACGTGAATCAAATGGACAATCTTAATGCCCAACCTAATCTTGAGCTGTTATTTATAAATGGAGCGTTCAGTGGGGATACAACAATACAATCATCATTTAACCTGAACGACGACGTATATAATCGTGTTTACAAAAAAACCGAAGGAAAAAATATGTGCATGATTTTTCCAATGATAATGAAACCAAAAAGCAAAGGTTGGATAGAATTAAAAGACAATAACCCTTTCCGATACCCAGCAATTTATCCAAATTATTTTTCTGACGAACGTGACTTAGATATTGTAGTAGCTGGAGCTAGAATAAATGAACGTTTGATGAAAACGAATGCTATGAAAAGTATAAACGCCACACTGTGGGATATTCCAATACCCGGTTGTGATAATTTAAAATTTAACTCAGACGATTACTGGAAGTGTGTTGCCAGATATCTGTCTATTACAATATACCACTTGTGCGGAACGTGTAAAATGGGACCAATAGGAGATCCAACTGCTGTGGTTGATCCGAGGTTAAGAGTTCAAGGAATAAATAGACTAAGGGTTATTGACGCTTCGATTATGCCTGATATACCGGCAGCACATCTTAATGCACCGACAATAATGATAGGTGAAAAAGGATCAGACTTAATTAAAGAAGACTGGGGTATAAATATTTAAAAAAAAAAGAAAAAACATTTGTAATGTTTTAAGTAACACAAGTCAAGGGGGGGAGATATTAATATGTATTTATTTATTTTTAATTTTTACGGACAGTGTCCAATTTACAATAGTTTAATAGTAATTACAACAACAATAATATTGTTGTGATAAAGAAATGTTAATATTTTTTTAATTATAAGTACCTATGTTCTATACAATAATAAGTTCAACGAGAAAAAAAAAGAATAAACACAAAAAAGAAATTAATTATTTGAATAAATCACTTAAATAGATTATTAATTAATTGATTGTTACCAGCACGAATTAAGATATACAGGATATACAACGAGACCCTGTTATCAGCAAACTATTGATTCCAACGGTTTTTTTTATCATAGAGTAATATAGAGAAGCCGTTACATAATATATCCCCCGTGTTGTAGTAGTGAAGCCAAATGTTTAGTTGTTGACCCCTATCGAGAGTCCATTTGCTCTTTACTTGTCCACTATATCGCATAGTTATCGACAAATTGATGCTATGTATTTGTTATTAATATTACAAATAAGATCAATAGTGAAGTTCAATACTTAGTGTCTTAGTCAGCATATTGTTTAACTACTTGGCAGGACGGACGTGTAAGTATACTTAAATAAATACAAATAAGAAACCACTAAAGTAAATTCTGTAAATAAATTAATAATTTATAAACAATATGTTGACTAAGTATTTAACTTTACAATTGATCTTATTTGTCGTCATAGGTATTTGTAATGTTATAAAATGACATTTTACTTAGTTTCCATATTATATCACGCCTTTTAAAGATTTAAAATCTACTTAAATCGTACTTGAAAGTACTTGAACATTTTTTATTGTAACTTTTAATCCATCAAACAAACCTGTTTACGAGTTCCCCTGTTGCCATCTGCACAATATTTCTGATCGATTGATACCTTATACGACTTTATATGTTCAACCGTTTGCCCTGTAGAGCTGGCCAATAGATTAACGAAAATTAACACGGTTTTTCAATGATACAACAACTCGGTTTCCTGTCACTATACGTTAGTGGCTATTTATTTATAGTTATACGCTATTTTTGTTATTTTACCAAGCTTCGCGCCATTGCCGTTGCATACAACCGATATTCATTGCAATAAATACATCACGGAAATAATTGATATTTAATTATTTATTTCAATGGAAACACCAAATTAAATTAATTATTTGACTAATAGAGATTGTTGTTCACAGCATTATTACTTACATGTGGCACTATTGTTTAGCACTGGTAGAAGTGAGTGGAACAATTGTTTTCTCATAAAAACGACGAGCCTGCCGAGAGTCCATTTGCGTTTCACTATAAAATTTAACGGCGTCTCTATCTTATGCCATGGCTCTTATTCATCGAATAGACATAGAGCGCTAATAACTAATAGCGGCGACAAGGGATATTACTGTATTTAAAAATGAAAGAGAAAAAATTTTAAAATTAAAAGCCTATTTAGAAGATGGACTTTTCAGATATCCATAATGTTCATTATTAAATATTTATGACTTCCAATGGATATCTAAAAGATATCCGAATGTCCGGTTTTCGGCATTTCTGGATATGCTATTTCAATATCCATTGGTTATTTGTTGAAGTTATTCATGAGATGTATTATATTATCTAATCCTAATGGATGACCACAAGTTATTATTTATATACTTCAGTATATGGATTATATATCCGGTGGGTGATAACTTGAGATATTTTTTTTAGGTATACAGGAACAAAAAATAGATAATGTTTATTTAATTGTATTAAATTACTATTTTTATGAATAAAAACAAATTTAACATACTGCATTCATTTATTTTTTTTTATAAAATTTAGCTTCTGCATGTCTCATCCAGTTTTTGATACAAGTAATAATGTTCTTGTTAAGAGTCTCTTTTGAATCTTTGGCGTTTATGAAAACAGCATCTATACAAAAATATGAATGATTATATTAAATTATATAAAAGCTGTTAAAACAATCAATACAATTATTTTACCAATGATTATCTTAGACAAACATAAACACTATAAAGGTTTTTTATTCCTTTTGCTCCAGTCCAATTGTGTGCCGCAGCAAATTGATCGGTAAAGAGTTTTCTTACGTCATAACATTTTTTACATCTTAATTCGTGGTTGCCAGACGTTAAAATATATATTGGGTGCAGATTCGACATGACGTATAACTTTGGGAGTAATTTGGAATATAAAACAATTGATTATTTCGATTATTGTGTTTGTTTACTTTAAACTTTATCCGACTTAGCTACCTGTTTTTTTGCTCAAAAACATACTTTACGAGAGAAACTCTCACGCCTCATAGATTGATCAGATTTCAATAATTTTTTGTTAGAAAGATGAAGACTTCTTACAGGGCGCATTGGACTTTAATTTAAAAAATTTGATTTATAAATCCTACAATAAGAGTTTAAATTGTGCGAGTTTTCACAAGTTTTTAAATTTTTAATATTTTTGTTTTTAGCAATGTAACCAAAAATCGTCCACTTTTTAACAGAAAAAAAAAATGATTGAAATCGGATAAATCTACGAGGCGTGAGAGTTTTCTCTGTAAACTGTGGTTTCGAGTAAAAAACCACGTTTGTAATTTTTCTGTCTAGCTGTAGATAGTGCCGTAACTCAAGGTTTAAAAATAACACCGGTCGCCTCGTTCCGAAATTTTGAAAACGTAGGAGTGGGATAATGATTCAGTGACGTCATTGTCGTACAGTCGCCATACGGCGTACACTGGTGAAGTACAGACTGTGCGCGTTTTTCTCGTTGTTTGCAATGACGATTTTAGATTCGAAAAGGAAATCTGACTGGGAAAGCAGGCAGTGCCGGTCCGACAGATTTCGGGGCCCGGCGCAGTATTTTGCGGTACCCGTACATATTTATACAAATATATGTATTTTTATTAATTTTATTTTCTAACGGGTTTACTTTATATTCATATAGTTTTATAAACTTTAAAGCCCTGTTCGAAATCTAAATTTGTACCTATATAACGTTAACTATTAAAATCTAATTTGTATTTTCATATTAGACACACAATGAGTAGGTGCCTACTTAAAAAATACCTACAAACAATATTTTGTTAATTAATATTTTCGTTTTATTGAACACTATGACATAAATACGATATAATAAGTATACTTTAAGTTTAAATAAAAAAAAAATAATCATTAATTGTTGTAATAAAACTGATAGTATACAGAGTGATCGATCTGTCGATCTGACACTCATAATCTCGGAAAGTATTTACTTTTTCGGGAATTTGTTTTGACGAACATTTGATTTTCGTCGATATTCGAAGAGAACCACGACGGCCACACGGGTCGCAATTTGAGTACCCACTATGGGAACAAAATTATTATTTGTAGATATAGTAATATTCAGAATATATAATTTGCGGTATCACACGCTTGTGGGGTGGGGGAGGGGGCCGGTTCGGCCGCACCGTCTGCCCCCTCCCCGTAGGGTCGGCACTGGGTAGGCACTTTAAAGAGGCCACTTTTCGATTTTCCCAGTTTTCCCAACAAATGGGATAATGTAAGAAATGTAGATGTATTAGTTTGAACAATATTACGACCGTAATGTTCTTCCCCGTGAACAACTTTTCTACCAGCTCCGATTTACAATGATATTTTTCATTAATATTTTTCAGTACATAAAACACCTCATAAACAATTGTATATTTTGCATTATGCGTATATTTTCATTTTGTGTCATATTATTTGAATACGTTTTGTATTAGGCATGCACTTGTATATTATTCGAATACGTTTGGCAAAAAAAAAAAAAAAAAAAAGAGAAGTTATTTACTTATTTATTTATCGCTGGTTAGATATTTTAAAAACTCAAGTACCCTCGATGTTATTTCGTAAATTCAAAACATTTCGTATTAATATTGTTCGGCGTATAAAATAAAACCTCATAAACGATTGTGTATTTTCCATGATGTACATGTTTTTATCGTGACGCGTATGGTATTATTTGAATACATTTTGTATTATGCATACATTGTTTGTACACGTTTGGTAAAAAAAAGAGGCGATTTACTTGTTCGTTAATAGCTGTAACAATACGAACGCGCGCTGCGGCCTGGGCAATCGGTATATTATTAACTTTATTTCTTTGCGTGAAAAAAAACAACATCGGAATTGGATTCAACGGTTTTACTACTACGAATATAAAAATATAACTCCAAACGGAGTGCACAGAAAATAATATATAGCGGTACTGTATACGATCCGGGCGTAATTGCCGTCCGGCGCCGCGCCGTGGTTTACCACATAAAAAGTGCACTCGGCGGATGACGAGAAGCAATACGGTGCGGGCTCCGCACCCGACCGCTGCTGTCCGCACTGGCCACGACGGTTCGACTTTGTGCCCGGCGGCGGCTGCGTCGGGAGGGGGAGGGGGGGCGAGTGCCGATATCTTTTTTTCTGGGCCGCTGTCGTCTTCCCCGGTCCGGACCGCGCCACTCCGCACTGCACTGGGTGCTACCGAACCGCGCTGGGTCGCCGTGATCCGCACTGGTCGCGCGGGGCCTGTACCAGCCGTATGAAGTCGGCGCGGTCGCCGTTCGCGGTAACGGTCGTCGTCCCCTTTTTTTTTTTTTATTTGGACTAAATGTTTCGTTAAAGAGAAATAACAACTAACGGATGCGATTGACGAGGAACCGATGAACGCTGTTACCGTTAATAGTGACTGCTGCCTTTGGCGATGACGTATTTTTGTTTTTTTTTCTTTAACCCCCCGGTACCGCTGTTTCTTTATCGCTCGATTGCCGATCCGAGGGTACACCTGTTGCTTGAAGCATCTTCTTCTCTTCCCATACCCCGCGGTAAATGCCGTTGGTGGCCGTTAGCGAAGTGGAACTCGGGCGAGTGCTTGTTGAAGGAGTTACATCGGTGGTTGTCACATCGTCTATTCGCGAGGAGACAAGGCTTCCATCTCTCGTCCGACTATCCGGAACTTTCCTCAATTGCGCCGTTGATGGTATCACACGACTTGGTTCGATTTCACATAGACCCTGTGCTATGATTGTGACCCTCCGCACTCGTCTCTTGTATACTGAGTTGTGGCCACCGTTAAACTGCTCGCGACCAGTCCAGTATATTACCTTTATCATCTATGGCCTACGCAGTGTGTACGAGTTTTAATTTATTATTTTAGATTTCAAATATTTTTTTTTTTTAAATAACACCAGGACAGTGTGCGGTGTTCCTAAATCCGTATTTGTAAAAGCTGCGACAACGTGCACCTTAATAAGTGCACGGTGAACACAGATCACTGCGTACTGTTAGATAGTTGCATTCATTTGAGATAGAACTCGCCCACGGTGTTGTACCTTAACCATTTGTTAATATTTTTGTTTCGTAAACAATAGAAATTACCGGAATCCGAATCGTCCTCAAGTCTCTAATGAAATCCACCATGTAGTCAATACGGAATTGCCCAATCTTTAGTTAAAGAACATTGGTTCTCTCTTGCGGGAAAAACGAAATAACCCGACGCTTATTATTTATGTTAAGAGGTAACTCATTCGTAAAACTCCCATGCGTTTAGCTGGTCTGTGCAAAACTGTGATTTATTGCCATCACTCAGTGAATTTGCAACGGAAAACGCTTTAACAACATCAGCGAACAACAGAACATTTATAGGTGTGTCGAAAGCAGACAGAGAAAAACATTAAAAAAAAAAAAAAAAAAAGTCACATAGCTATATCATAGTAAAACCGGTATATTCCTCGTTGCGTTCAGAATCTAAAAAACAAACAAAACACATTCTTGACACTCGAGTGTACACTTCATTTTCGGCGATATACTTACCTAGATACTGCAACGTTATAAACTATAATGACGCGGTGTTCAAATCAGGTGTGGAAATCATGAAAATCGTAATAATAGTTCTTAATTACGCGTTAAATCGAACTTCGCTCAGAATCGTTTTTCGTTAGTAACCACTTATCGTAGCGTACAGATATAAATATTGAATTGCCTACCTATACTTCCCACCTTCAACTACAGTGGTGCAATGGCGAATTTAACGTCAGACCAAGTAAACGGCAGTTGTTATGAGTGCATTTTTTATTTGTTGGTGCAAACAATTATATTCAGCCATTTGCAACTACATGGTATAGGGTGTTTTTTAATTTTTTTCTAGCAGGGGAAGGCACGACTGTTTCGAGAGAAAAATTAACCAAGGGGCGACAAAATGCTAAACACGCCACTGGAACAGTGGCACACCTTTCACGGCGTGTCCCAACACGATTATAACGATATACGGCGTTAAAATAGTACAATACAAGTGTCTATTCACAAATGGGCGATTCATTTATTTCAAAATAAAATATCAAACGCAATGCAAATAAGTCACTGATATACGTGTTAACATTGTCAAAAACGATTGTTAATTTAATGTTGTTTATGGAATGGGAGCAAAAATAATGTTGAAAAGTAATAAATTACATTTCAACCCTTGGGCCGGCGTGCTTTACAACGTGATCGTTTTTAAAATCGAAAAATCTACAACAATCCTCCGAATGTGATGCATTAATAAATAATTGTCGCACACGCTGGGGTTTTTAGAAAAAAAAAAAAAAAATCGAAAAACTATCGGTAGTGGAGGCGTACAAAAACGGTAGTTTTTCTTCGGCGTGACCGGGTATTGTTATTGACGGCGCACAATGCTATGCGAATATATTCGTACGGGGGGGGGGGGGGAGGGGGATAAAATCCAGTTATCGGGTAGCTGAAGTTCTGGGGAAAAAAGAAAAACAGATAAAGACGAAAAACGCGGGCGCTCGAATGTGAAGACTCTCGGACGTCTCGAGACGCCGTGACACGCGTACACCGTACACGTCAGCAGACGATTCGGCCGAATCGGAAACACGTCGCCGTACGCGAGGTTTATGAATTGTAACAATTATTATTGCCCGCGCTGAGATTCGCCGAAAAACTGTAATCGAAAACGAACACCCCAACAATTACGATTATAACGCGTACAAAAGCGTGCGATATGAAAAATCATCCCGACGGTCCGGACCCCGGGCGATTGTACACGCCATGCCGACGCTCCGCTGTTATTGGACAACAGCGGCGAACACGGCCGCGGTATCGGTCGAATCGGTATCTTATCAGCGTACCGTTATCAATATCGATACGTAACAAAAACATACTATAATTTTTGAATTTACCACTGTAATTATTATTATATATTATAATATTACATTGCATTTGCCGTTCGGCGTATAAATCATTTTTTTTTTTTTTCTGTTTCGCGTTCAATGTTTGTTTAATTAATTAAATAACAGGCGAATTAATCATACGCGCGCACACACACACACCGACGCAATTATATACCGTAAAAAGTGTAATAATAATACCATGAGCTCGTTCTGTACGTGACGACGACGGCGACACGTCGATATAATTATTTTCGTCACGATACTCGCGAATAATTCGATTAAAAAGTGCCAGGTACTCCACGAGTCGTCGCTAGCCTTAGCCATAGCACATAGGTATACGCCATGTCTACGTCAAGTCCAAACTTGAGCGAGACGAAACCCACGATCGCTGGCCATGTCCCGGTGAACAACAACGTAAGTGCCGATGGTTTGTGTTCTGTTCATTAATACATTTCTAAAACGTGTTCGTTTCTCTAATACAAAGGTCGACCCTATTCCCGTGGTTGATCTACATCAACAGTTTTTGCACACTCTGGAAAATATAGAAAACAACCAGGTTAACACTCAACTGACAACGTCTCACGCACTATTGCCGACTTCGAAACCGTTTAACGATATTCTAGCGTCGTTACAGGTAATTTGACTAATTCTATTACATATAAAATTAATGATTAACAATCTTGTGTACATTAAAAACCCCCAGACATTGATATTCGCTCAAAATAAGAAAGAAAACAGCGAAGAGGTCGAAGACATTGTTCTGCCTGTTTTACAAGACCTAGACAAACTCAGCCTGACGTCGTATTCTCTCAGTTACTATATCAGTCACTGTCTACCCACCGAACAGACTGTGCCCGTCTTGTCACTGATCAATAAGTCGACGACCATTTGGATAGCAAAATTGTTTCAGTCAGTAAAAAACAATTGCTTTTAGATTATAATACATAAATCTCGTCATTGGTATAATCATATGTATTAATCAATTTAGATTTCCAAACTGCGGGGCGTTTTATACGGAAAATATGATATTGAGCTACGAAAGAGTATTATTGCTTGCGTTGCACCGTATGTTTGGTCCGGGATATTTTAATCCGTCTGAATTGCCAATTATTTACTGTACGCCCGATCCTGTAATGATCAGTACAATAAAAAGAACTGTTACGCAGGTAATTCAAACCAATATTTAGGGTTTTTTATTTTTTTACTTATTCAGCTGAGTAATGTTGACAGATTGGAATGAACGAAAAATGTGTTCAAGTCATACCGTGTCTATCAAATGTACTGTGCCCTTACAAAGCAGACTTGGTAGCATTTGAAACTATGATAAAAAGTGATGTTGAAAACAACAAAAAGCCTCTTATTGTTTTTGCGAGAGCTGGTAAAAAAGTCATTTTAATCTTTATTATAAATGCAATTTAATATTAATGTCTACTTTTCACTCAATAGGAGCGCATGTTACCGGTCAGGTAGACGATCTTGTAAATTTTAAAGAGTTGACCAATAAATACAATATTTGGTTACATCTATCAGGAGATAATTTGTCGGGACTGGTTTTGGCAAAATCTAAACATGAAGTGTGTTAAAATAGTAAATTGTAAGTAGGTTTGAGAGTATGTTAATTATGTTATTATTTTCAGATTCCTAGTCTAGCCGATAGTATGACATTGACACCAAGTATTTGGTTAAATATTTCTGCACTACCTGTTATTGTATCCTTTTCAGAAAAAAAAAAATAAAAACATTAGAATATTATGTTTGGTATAACCTTTTTTGTTTTTTTAAATAATTGGTTTTTCTTAAAGAATAATTATTATTAGACTTTATTCGACAAGCAATATACAAATACAGAAATATTGAATTTATACAAAAGTAAATGTTTACCTATTTGGACGTGTTTTCAAGTAAGTAATAATTAGTAATTACTAAGTACATTATTCAAAAAAGTTTGATATTTTTTCAGGCTTTAGGACATGATGCACTTGTAATTAGGATTCAACAAAAATTTGAAGTATGCCACCGTATACACAGTTTGGTTAAACGCTACAATTGTCTAAGAATATTGGTGATTGAGATTGTTTATTTATATATGTAACAATAAATAATCATATATTTATATGATTTTTTAGTGCGAGACCAAAGATCAGACCAGTGTGACAAATGGAGAAAATGTTGCCGATATTATTGCTGAACGAGATAATATTCCAGTACAGTCAACACATGATAATTTTATTACAGTTTAATATTATAATATCAATTATTTTTTTCACAGGATTTATTGCATAGTTTATCGAGTTGCCTTATAATTCAATTTATACCAAAAGACTGTAATCAAAGGGTTTCACCTTATTATGATAAATTAAATTCTTGGGTAAGAAATTGTAGTTTATAATTATTCATTTTACGACTGTTTTTTATTTATTATTTCAGCTAGGCCAAGTACTAGAACGAGAAATTCCTGAAGCACCTTTAGAACTATGCGAAATAGAATCTCTTGGCATTGTAGTATCATTTTCACCATTTACTATTTTAAATACATTAGTAACCGAAGATGATTGGGAAACGTTCAGTATAACTTTGGACCAACACATCGTCAGTATATGAAAAACAAATTAGTAAAAAAAATTAAATAAAAATTGTGTTAATAAATAATATTATATTTGATTACTGTATACTTAAGGAAATTTTGCAAGCTACTGTCGATTATAAAGATAAATTGACAGGATTAATAGCTGAACTACCGTCACTCAGATATGCCGAAACCAATGACTGGGCAGGACTTGGTGCTGTCAGATATGTGCCTCAACAGTGGCAATCTTCTGATCAGCAATTGGCCACTGATCAGGCCAAACAAGATTTGAATAGACTAAACTTACGTATTGTACAGCAATTACGTTCAATAGATGCTGCTTTTTCCCTTGGTAAGTACATAGAGTAGATAAATACAAAATACTGATGGTTTTGTTGAATTGCCATGTACCCGATTTATGTAATAATTTCTAGGTGAAGGAAGTGATGGCTTGGCTTGCGTACGGTTTGGTATGGTAACAGCTGACACGGACGTTGCAGAATTGTTGTCTTTAGTCCAAAGTACAGGACAAAAAGAAGAAGAGTCAACAAAATATATTGATTCAATGGCTGAACTCGTGAAAAAGGGTACAAAAATAATAATGAGTGTTTGATTTTGGTACTAAAACTTTTATCAATTTTTTCAGGAATTGAGACAGCAACTGTAGACTTACAGAAGGAGACTGAAGAAAAGATATGGCAAGAAGGCATTTTACGACATGTTCCTGTCTTTGGTAATTTAGTTAATTGGTGGTCCCCGCCAGCCAAAAATGCAGTAAAAGGACGATGGTTAGATTTAGAAGCAGGCATAGTCCGATCAACGGAACCTATATATGAAAAGAAAGCTCAAGTTGAAGAGTCTGATAATAATGAGAGTGTCTCTGCAGCAGTGGATAATATTTTAGAGTAAAGTGATTTTATACAACTATTAAGTTTGTTATATTATATATTTTTTTTTTTTTTTTTTTACTAAACAAAATTTAATAGTCACCAAAATATTTTTTTTTAAATTTTTATGGAAAATATTTATTTACATATTTTATTTTGTTGATAGTTTGATCTTGATTTTTTTTCAATATGTATTACTTTTTTTTATATATCTAAGCATAATATTTAATCATTGAAAAATATTCAAGTATATCTTAGGATATCTTGTAAACTTGTGAAATGGCGACAATCTATAAACATAATTTTATTGATTACTGTTGTAATTTTGTAACTCTACAAGTATGAGGACACTACGAATATAACCATTCTCTCTCATAGTAAAAAAATCACACAATTTTATTTTTATACTATTTGTATTTATTTAGTTATTTATTATTATTTTGTTAAGAGGTCGTCACTGTAACATTTGTTATCTCTGTCTACCTAACAGATAATATAGAAAGTATATTTTTGATACTCAAGATCTGATAAACTTAAAACAAAAATTATTTCACCAAATTAAAATCAACAGCATTTATTATACTTTTAATGAGATTTTTTGATATTTATTTGTATTTCAAACTTAATAAATATATCAGAAAATCCCCTTATAAGAGCATAGTAAATTTAATATTCAATTAGGTGAAATAATTTTTGTTTTAAGTCTATAAAGTACAGAATTCTATTGAAAGTACAAAAACACATGTTTGATAAACTGCCTGTTAGATATAGAGGTAGCAAATATTAAGACACCTTCTTAAAGGGGAAACATAGTAAGTACCCCCTGTGAGACAATACATATTACCTAAACAAACTGGGCTTTGCATAATGATGGTCACAATTTAAGTGATATATTTTTAATTTATAAAATTGTTATAATTTTAAAAGTTTTATTTAGTTGTATTGCCTGATTAACTAACATGCAATAATAATAATAATAATGTATAAAATCAAAAAAAAAATTATATATTATAATTGTCTGTTTAATTTTCATTTCATATTGTTTGTAACTTACTATTTTTATTATTTTTTCATAGTCTAACTATGTATGTTAGTACTAATTTCGTATATATATCTGAATATTAAATAAAGAAAAATACATTTTTAAAATGTAAGTTTCAAAATTTTTAGAATTTAAAAATTATTTTAAGTTTATATTTTGTCAAAATTAATGTTTTTATTATAATGAAAACGATTTGTTAACTATTGTGTTATTTTTAAATGACCATAAAAAAAGTTATTTTTTGTAAATTGATTTGTAAAGTGTTAAAACCTGATATTTTTAAACTAAATAAAACAACTCAAAAAAATATTTATTTCCCTTATTTAAGACTAAATTCTGGAAGATTTTTAAAATATCTAAAAAACAGACGCTACACATCTAAGTGTGTAAAACTTCAGCTACAGTTATTTTTAAATAACACACATAAAAATCGTCAACTACTAAAATTACCCACATTTTATGTAGACCTCAACTTAACAGTGTTGTGGATCACATAATTGATGAATTTTTCAATTTGAAAATACATTATTACTAATTTCTTTCATCATAAGTATGACAAATAAAAATGGTAACCCAAATTAAATAAAAATATGTGTACATTTAATGGACATAATTAATATGAAATCTCTGATATGTACTTAGCAAATCATTGTTGATTAGTTGTTTTATTGGCAAAATAAATTATTTTAAAATTTTAAGTAAAATAAAGATCTTGGTATATTATGTTATTCGTGTTTATGAATAATGTACCGATAATATTAAACAAATAATACAAATACAAAAAATTGTAAATGTTTAAAAAAAAAAAATTGTTTACCTAATTGCTTATTTCAAACTAATATTAATTATTTGTATATCGTCGTGTGGCTTGTCAGTTTTTGGATGTGTTTTGGCATTGCATATAGTTTGCACCACTTCCATTCCTTTGGTAACTCTTCCGAATACCGTGTGTTTAAAATCCAACCAAGGCTAAAAATAATAGTACATATAGTTTATTTATACCTTGCATATATTTTGTTATAAATAAATTATATTTAAACCTAATTTTAATAAATTAACACTCACAGTAGGTATGAGAGTGATAAAGAACTGACTACCATTTGTATGTGGTCCAGCATTTGCCATACTTAAAGTGTAAGGTCGATCATGCTTTAAATGTGGACGAGTTTCATCCTCAAATTCTCCTCCCCATATACTTTCTCCGCCCAAACCAGTGCCTTAAACAATCAAAAAAATAAAATTAGTAACATGGCATAGAAGTTGGCTTGTTTTAAACATCAGTTGTTTTTTTATTACCCGTAGGGTCTCCAGTCTGTATCATGAATCCTTTTATGACTCTATGGAATATATTACTGTTGTAATATCCGTTCTTGGCATGTACACAAAAGTTCTCAACAGTTTTCTGGCATTCTTTGAACAATGAAACTTGAATATCACCAAAAACAGTGTGTATAACAGCCGTATCGTATAACCGTTGAATACCTACAAACATTTGTAAATAGTTAATTCCACTCTCATATAAACATGTTTTATTAATCATTACATACATTTTATTACATTTGGCATTACAACATAAATACATTAAATTCAAAGTTTGAAAAAAATTAATTCTATACTTGACTTACAAGCAGCTTCAGTAGAAGATATAATGTCTTCTTTTGAAGGTCTTTCATTAAATACATCTCGATCTGCATCAATGCTTTTAATGTCTTCAGGTTCACGTCTACATAATAAAACAAATATGTACTAATAAATTATAAATCAATTATTTTAATAACATTGATAAGTTTACAATAAATTACAAAAAAACTAACTTGGTAAACATATAAAATCTATTTTTTTTATATGCTGTGCAAAACAGTGTTGGATCACTTGAAGAACTTTCTAATGTAGGATTTGTTGCTGCTTCCATTTCTAAAGTTACTGCTGCTTTAGGTTTTTTGGCTTTACCCTACAAATAAATAACCATATTAATGTGAAAATTTTATACTAAAAAAAAAGCCGATACTGGGGATGAGAGCAGCCACTGTTGTAGGTGAGAAGTAGGGAAAGTAGGATATACAAAGTTATTTCATTTATACATGTAAGAAACGATAAACCACTGATTGATGAAAGATGATTCTAAGCATAGTTCAGTAATACAAATAAATAAGTAATTTAAAGTGCCCTAAATTAATTTTTTGCAATTTTAATTAAATTTTATATCAAAACGCTAATTAAAAAAGGAAAAAAAAGTTGTCCGATTATTTCAGAAATTTTACTTATAGAAGTCCAATTTAAGTATTACTACCAAGTTTCAAGTCTCTGTGTATTTATAACCGAATTATAGCAAAAAACACCCAAAAATTAAAATTTCTTTAAAGTTCAAATGAGACTCAAAAGTTTTGGCAATAAAACTATAAGAAAGTAAATTAAAAAAATAACAAAAAAAAAGGTATCTAGTGATTTTTCAATTAAATCATTTTTTCTGGTAGAAAACGTTTGTTCGTGTTTTTGTAAAATAATAAAATCGTGAAATTGTACTTTTCCTACGTTTTCCCACTTAAGTAATTTTATTTCAAAAAATGGTGTCAAAAATCTAAAAATAACTCATTTAAAATACAATTTAGACAATTAGAGCTTTCAGAAAAAATGCTACACTTATACATCAGAGCAAGTTTACAAGAAAAAAAACCTGTCCACAGACTAGAAAAAAAAAACAGCATTGTAAATCAAAAGCTCCCTCACTACACTCGGAATCTAAAATTTAATAATGAAATATACAACTTATGCTGTGATGTAGGTAGTAGGTACTGACTTGGAATAAGGCGACTCGTAACGCCCTGAGATTTTCTGGTTTTCCAATAATTTTTACCAATGTATTATTAAATATGTTCACAACTTTCACACCCAACATGGTTGGATAAAACAAATAATGTCCACTTTCATCAAAACACAAATTAGCTGTATGTGAAATTTGCAATTTATCCAATTCTCGTTCAATAGCCATTCTATAATTATTAGGATTAAAAATTTTAGTAATAAAACAGATTTAAAAACCCGATGAGATGCTGGGTTTACCTTCGAATAAATTCAATATTAGGTATTTGTTGCTTTTTTTGCTGAAGTTCACTAAAACGAGCCAAAGTTTCATCATAAACTCTGTTTAATTTACCCGTCAAAAAATTAAAAACTCTAACCTTAAAATAAAAATTGTTTTTAATAACATAAGACATTTTTTAAAAGTATATAACTTACTTTTCGATCTGGAGACATAGTAGCAAATTTTAAACCGTCATTTGAAAAACATAAACATGTTGGATGTGTTTTATGTCTAACAAATTCAAAGAGATCAGTGTCGAGCTTTGAATCAAATTGTACTTGTGTTGGGAACTGATAGTCTTTTTTGGCTCCAGACCAATATTCAATAATTCCACTCTTATCTGCTGATACAGCTACTTCAAATACACAATTGAACTAAAATTGTAATTGTATTTTTAGTAAAGAATATATTAATTATAAATTAAAAAAAAAAAAAAAGAGCTGATATAGGTAAAAATTTGGAAAGATAGGATACATAATGTTATTTGATTTATAAATGTATGCAATTATAAATTATTTTTACCTGAAAAACGTTCAGTTATACATATTTTGGAATTTTTAAAATTGTTGTCATATTTTGATTTTAATATGTTTATAAAAAAAACTGACATTATGTTCAACTTTTTTTTTAACTACTAATTAAACTTAAAATGAACCTAGTATTAAATTCTTAAGCAATTATGTTCGGTCAAACAATTTTATCTACATTAAATTAAATAATAACCAAACAACTTGAAAATGTTAAATGCCAAAATAAATAAATAGCTCAAAAATCACAAGAATGTTTTACCATTTTTAGCAAAGGCTAATATAATTATTTTAAATTACAAAAAAAAAAACCAAAATATAAAATAACAAAATTGTTAACACCATAAACTTTATCATTTTTTTCCAATTATTAAGAAAACTCTTTGGATAATATTAAACAATGACTTTTGAAATGCGTATCAATTAGATCCAAAATGCAACAAAAAAGGTCTCTTGACTTTTTTTTTAAATGGGGCAGGTAAATTATTTTTTACACATACAAAAAAAATTGATTATCATAGTAAAACCAAGATATTGATTGCTCAGAATCTAAAAGGAATAAATTGCCATTTCCAAAATAATACCTTAATGAATACTATTGGCTTAGTATGCATTTTTTCAATCACATGAAGGGATGTTCCATTTTCATCATAAATATATATTTTTGGATCAGTAGCACTGCTTCTACAATAAAATTAATACTTCAGTTAATATTTCCTTAAAATTAAAAAAATAAATACAAATTATGAAACAAAATTTCAATAGGGTTTCAATATTACTAACACAGCTAGGGTGTGAACTTTATCGCCTTTTGAATGAATCCAACATGCACTTAATGGGATGTAATTTAATTTTATCATGTTAATCATGTCTGCAAATTAAACAAAATAATACAATTTGTAATAAAATACTGAAGTACAATTTTAAAAATCAAAATAGATTTAAATGGCAGATAAATCATATTTCAATAGAACTAATGGGTTTATTTCCAAGATCAAAACAATTACATAAAATTGATATAAATATGATGTATAATTTACACATACCAAAATTAATAACATCGAAAACTTTAACCATTTGGTCAGACGATATTGTACACACGAGAGTTCCATTGTAATTATCCGCTAAATCAATAACTGGAGTGAGATGAGCGCGAAAATGTTTTACAAATTCTATTAGCTCTTCACTTTTTTTCCAAAATTTAACATGCCCATCACAACTGGCTGTTATTAAAAAATCAGTTCTGTAAATTAAAAAGGAAAAAAACTAAATTAAAAATTACGCATAACGTTTGGATTTTTAAATATTGTAACATTAAAGTAAATTACTTGGTGATAATTATGTGTGTAACGACATCTCGATGCATATAACTTTTTTCGTATGTATCACATGTCGGTAAATTTTCCAAGTATAAATGTTCATATTCTAAAACTATTTATTAAAATATTTACATAAATATCCACTTAATTGTCTGTTTAGTTATAAAATGTCTACTTGCAGAATATGCATAAATAGAATGCTGGTACCTATCTCAATTTTATAGGGATGTGAATTAAATATTTGAAAAAATAAAAACTATTTGCCAAGGTATTATCTATTTATTAATTATTTTAACATTGAAGTTGTGCCATGCTAAGTATTTTATTAAATATACGTAAGTTAATAATAATTTTAATATTTGGGACAAAGCTGCAAGATGAAATTATATTCTGGACTATATTATCCATTCAAAATTACAAAAAAAAAACAAAAGAATTTAAAGGTTTATTACTCAGAAAATAAACACAATTATATGTAATTGAAAATTTATATCCAAAATAATATAAATAGGTATTATGGTAATACTATTTTAGCAACTCAATATTCTATATAAGTAAAAATATTAAAGTGCAGAGTAAATTGCAGATATGATAAACAAATTGGTCGAAATTGTAATTTGTATCAAATTTTTTTAATTTTATGAATATTTATTTAATATTTTGAGTTAAAATTGGTTTAAATGAATAAGGAGAAAGTTTTTTTGTGTAGATACATGACTAAAGTACACAAAACTGACTAACCTTTTCTTTTCTTTTTTTCAACTATTTCTGTTGCTTCCGATAAACTTGGACCCACACAATCGTCATCAGACGAATTATTCTCCTCATCACTATCTTGGTGTTGTCTTTTTTCAGACATTTTGATGAGTCGACTATTTCAAAACTAATACTTCAACAGTCAAAACGATTAATTTCACTAAAAGTAATAAATTAACCCGTGATACCCACAGATACATAAAATAACTTATTTTTAGTTTTTACTAACTTTTGAATACCTATCTGTTGGCGATATCTATTCACGAGTCACGACTTTTGAATGTTGATACTTAACTGAATATCTGTGGTTTGTTGACTAATATTGTTATCATCGCTATCATTTATTTATCTGAAGGTAGTGACGGAATTGTTTCGCTCAAAAGTTACCTAAACGAAAAAACCGCTCCATCATTTTATCTTTATACATTATTGTGTTGTTCTGTAGAAAACTTGAAAACAGAAGTTTTATATTTCTGTTTCTACTTTTTAATAGTTCACGTTCGTTTATGAGAAGATTAATTTTTCTCCGACAAAATGGAAACTGTAATTGGAATAAAGTTTAATGACTTCGTACTTATTGCCACTGATATGACGGCCGCTCATAGTATTATGGTTATGAAAGACGGTGAGACATTTAAATTTTATAAAATTGTATTTCTATAAATTAAATTATATTTTCTTTATAGACGAAGATAAAACGTATAACATCACAGACACTATAGTTATGGGTGTCACTGGAGAACCAGGTGACGTACCCAGATTTGCAGAATACATTACTCAAAACGTAAAACTTTACCGCATGCGCAATGGATATGATTTATCTGTTTCGTCCATAGCGACGTTTACACGTAAAACTGTTGCTGAACACCTCAGAAGCCAAGTAATTAGTTTTTTTAATCAAGTAATTTTGCTTTCTTGTTTATTTGAAAGAAAATCTATACCAATGTTGAAAATAGGTATCTAATAACATAAACTACTAAATAACGTTGATCATTTGAATTCAAGTACTTGTAGTATGCATTTAGATCATTGATTCAATAACACATTTAATGAAAAATAAATAATTTGTTTTCCTTTGTCTGTAGAGCCCTTATCAAGTAAACTTTATGCTCGGAGGATATGATCCCGCTGCGAAAAAATCACATTTATACTTTATTGATTATTTGGGAGCTCAAGTTGATGTCCCATATGGTGCTCATGGATACGGTGGTATGATGACTATTACAGTTATGGACCGTTACTACAAACCAGGTGAAATTAATTATTAATTAGATATTTTAAGAGTTTAATTGTTAAAGGAAAAGTTATTTAATTTGTGTATCAGTATGTAATTACAGTTGTAGAACTAGTAGTGAATACCTGCTAAATTCTTTCTTTTTTCCTTGAATATTACGAGGTGAAATTTAATTTTTGAAATTCAAATTTGTATGTTTTGATATTGAAATTTGGCTGTATAGTTAGACATGTATTAATTGATGCAGTACAATAACATCATTAATGAAACAAGATATTTAATATAATTCAGTGACTGTTTCATAAATATAATTAATAATAATTACGATTGTTTTATTTGTTTATAGATGCAAATTACCAAGAGGCCTACGATCTTCTTAAAAAATGTATATTAGAAGTACAAAAACGTTGTATCATCAACATGCCCAAGTTTAAAGTTAAGATGTCATACTCTGGAGGTCTTCTTGAGTTGCCAATGATTACTAAGGATAATATTGATCAGAATGTGATTGTTAATGTAAAAGAGTAGTTTATTTATCCTTATTTACATTTTTTTTTTTTTTAACTTGCATGAATTATGGAAAAATTAATGGAAAAATAAAATCCATTCGGTGAATGACTTGGTACTTTTATTTTTTTTATCTTATTGTTACTATGTTGTAACACTAATGTATATAATTCATTATTTGCTACCAGATAAAAGTTATTATTTATATATAAAATATATAAATATTTTATTGAAAAATATTTTTATCGTTAAAATCTAATTATATAATATATATATTATATTAAATTAATTTGTTCATAAACATTTTTTTTAAACTAGTAGTTTTTCGCGTGACATTTGATTATGAACAAAATGTTCTGTTAATAAAAAAAATTGATTTGATTAAGTTATAAATATGTTTTAGAGTAGCGACGATATATTCATAATACTTGTTTGTTATGATTTTGAACGAGTTTACAGTCGGTATATATCAATGATTTGTTGGATTATATTTACATTACATACTCAAATATTGTCTTGTATATTGTAAATAATAATTATAATCCTTCCGAAACGTAACAATTTGTTTTATTCTGCGGTTAATTTCCTATATTATTTGTTCAACAATTACGCAAAAAAAGGAAAGTAAAAATATTATAAAAATTAACACTTAAAGTTGTTTAATGTACTTACTACTCGTACAATAAACAATTTCATATTATTTTTAAAACTATATAAAAAAAAACAACAAACATAATATAAAATGTGTTGTTTTGTATTCTGCAATGAACATAGTTTTATTGGGTTTTTTGTAATAGTTCCTGTTACTGATTTTTTTCATCAGCTTATTTAAAAATAAAAAACAGAAAAACAACTAAATGTAGATTTATATACTATAATCAGCTAAAAATATTAATGCATATTGGATTTTTGTTATGTGTAAAACTGTATAGGTATTGGTTTTTATTTTTTTTTTATGTTTTTAAACTATTATTTTATGCCAAATAAGACAATATTTTAATATTATTATTGTTATTATAAAATGTATGAGCATTTTATAAAAAAAAGTTTAATGGGGATTATGAAAAAATAAAACATTTGAAACTACTCATTTGTATGAATGTTGGACACTGGTTAAAAATCTATTGATTAAGATATTATATACTTTTGTATTTTGAAAAACTACAATAATATTTCTTCTTTGTCCATACAGAACTAGCGCTACTATCACAAATTGTTTCTGTCAATTCCATAATCTATCAAGCCATCAAGTTCTGGTTTGCCAAAGTGGTATTTTTAATTTATTTTGTTGACTAGCGCAGTATTTTACCTATTTTTAAATAAGTAGCAGGTATAATATGCTAAACTTTATATAACTTTGTTATTTTTTCTTTCACAATATTATTACTGTATCACCAGGTTAAAGTTTTGTTCGCAGTACTTATTTCTTTTTTTGTTCAAGCGTGATCGGAATTCTACTGTCTCCTTTTATTGGTTGTTGACACGTGTTTACCAGCATAGCAAACTCTTATATTATTATTACTGGTCTCTAGATAATGACTTGGATCTGAAATTGTAACGCCTACTGAAATATTAACAAAAATTTCTGCTAATCGTGATCTAGTCAATATTATGTTATTAGGTAGGTAATTACATCAACGTGTTTGGGTATCGTAACTATTTTGAAGTCTGAACAATGGCATATTTATTGGGGGAATCAAGGAGATCTTGATATTTTTTTAGTAGCTATTATTTATACAAACACTCAATTTTTAAATACAAATTTATCTGCTTTTTAGTCAGAAAAATCAAAAATGCATTGGCATCATGTTAACACAGATATCAAAAAAAAAAAAAAAACTTAAACAATAGGTACCTACGTATATTTCTTTGTTAAAAACGAAACCTATCTGAACCAATTTAGTGTAAAGGAGATTTTTATTTTCCTTATTCTTAGAATAGTATTAATAAACTAATAATATTTCAATAATTATTGATTAATTAAATTGTAAATTGATTACAAAATGTATTAAGATTTAAAATTGTATCTTTTTTTTTTTTTAGTTAAGGTATATATATTATTATTGTACAATAATACATGTGACAATAATATTTCAAAATTCAATATCTCTCTTTTTGGCAAAATCCTAAATACGCCTCTGGTTCGAGTACCTATACCTACGATATTTGAAACCGTTCACTTTTTCAATGATTAACTACCCCCGTAAGTTATAATATTCGTTCCGATTTAAAACGATACTGTCGTCCTACTATCGACGCGATCGTGTGCTTGGGTTAGTTTTTTTTTTTTTTTTATGTTCAATTCGTTAACGCGCCCACACCCGCAGTTTTTGTTCACCTTTACAATTCGATATTAAATAATATAGTTAAGACGCACAGTCCAATCGATAAAACATTAGGGAAATAAATATCCCGCGCAAACGATTACTATTATTAAAAGGTATAGGCATAGATAATGAAAAAAAAAAATAAAAAATGTATAGGCCACTCCTATAAGAATATTGTAAACGAGGCGATGGTGTTCCCGGAGGGGCGGTAAACTTGGAAGAGTTATCATTCATCGCTATATTGGATAAAACGCCTCACCGGATGAAACTCGGAGTAACTATGTGCCGCCCGTCCCTCTCGAAACACCGATAAGGTGCGGATAGTATTTTACTATTTTTTATCCGCGGGATAGCCTATCCATGTCTTTATTATCTGTGCGCATAGCCACCGAAAAGCGAACCGGAAATAAATTGGCCCCACGAAGGATACCCGGCTACCGTGCGCTCACCTGTGCGCTACAAGTACCGAACTTTATAATCCGATTGGCCGGTTCGGTTATCTCGTTGATTAACGAAAACGCCCGTTGTCCGTAAATAGGATAGACATACTTGCCCTACCTGTATTATTGAATAACGTAAGTTTTTTCCCCCGGCGATTTTTAATATTCGACCGAACCTATATCAGCGACACGCCAATTTAAATACAATTCATAATTATTACTTCACTTTATATGAAAAAAAAAAAAATGATAATATATAATACAATAATTTTATATTTTTTATCATATTTAACGTTTACAATAATTTGTATATTATTTTTGTATTATGATAATGACGCACTTGAACTAGCTTATTTTGAACGATTGAGCATCGAACATTTAGAAATGGAATTAATAGAGTTTCAAGAATAAATGTATTAATTTAAATAGCGAATTGGAAAAAAAAAAAATATTGTGAAATTGACAGTAATTTTAAAACCGATAACCTAATTCGTATCCGAATGGAATAGTATACAAAATTAATTTTCTTCTGTGAAAAAACTAAAAATTGTCATTATTTACAATGTTTGGTTCCACATTTGCACGCGAGCCGCTATTTTCCTCGGTGAATTTTTATTAAATCGACATTAAGATATCTTCTTGGAACAGATATTAGTACAGAATGTTTTCAATTGAAATCTAATAATTATAATTCTAGGATTGATTCATTAGCTGTAAAAATGCAGTAACAAATTTCCCAATAAAGACTGATTTATAATAATTTTATTCAACAAAAATTTTTGTTATTTTAATGTTTAATACTTAAATACGTTTCAATAATGATATTCAATATGCTAGTATAAAATGAATATATTTCTGTTGATAAATATAAAGTTTAAAACGTAATAAAGCCCAGTTTAGATGTTTAATTAAAATGATCTACGCGATAAACAAAAACAAAATCAACCAATTTGTTGACACATTTGTTTTCAAACACCTTTATCTATTACAATGAAAATACTTTCCATGAGTTTTCCACTTAGCCGATATCTTCAAACAGTAAATGTTGATTTAATATCTGCATTAGAAGCTGCTAATGTTCAAAATAATATTCAGGATATTAGAGAAAATTGTGATGTTGAGTTTCAACAATTATTTTTATCCGTAATGACTGTCGGTGAAAAAATTAATATTACTGTTAGTTTGCCACGTCGATCTAAATCAGATGATCCAGAATACTTTTTACAGATAATTGTTTAGACCAGTTGAACGAAAGATTTGTATCGCACAGGATTGTTTTGAATAATTTTGATTGTATTTTATCTAAGATAGAAATGAAAATATCTGAAGATATTAAAGGTAAATTCATTTTTTTTTTTTGATCCTGTGCGATGGGTCCATTCTTAAATTCCCACTGTCGTGTTGATAGAGAAAAAGATTCTACGACGTGTTGATTTGACATGATTTTTGTTTGCTAGTTCAGCTACATCTCGTCCCATTGAAAATGCCACTGAACATTACTATATCTACACTATACCTAACCTAACTACTGTTTAATATCGATATATTTTTTTAATAATTCAAATTCAGCTTTACGCGAGAACGAGCGAGCTGAACCACTGTTTTTCATATTAACACCTACAGCAATGAATGATTATAATAAATAGAGATAAGGTTGTTGTTATGTCGATGACTTAACAAATAAAAAATATTATAAAAAAAAAAATAAGCGTTTATATGGGCGATTGTTAATAAAGCTATATAGGTCCACGCTCGCACCTTTAAATGCATTGTGAATAATCATAACAAGAACCCTCCATTACAATAATCAAAAATATGTTTTTATAAAATTAAGATATTCTCTTTGGGAGTAAGAAATTACGTTAAATCCCGTTAAAAACATACAAATTTACAATTGTGCACAATAAAATTTATATTTATTTGTTATTATTTTCTCTGTACACATATTTTATCATAGAAATCTTGCTCCAATCAAAAACATGACGACAAGAGACTTTTTTGTTGCATTTTGGCTTTAGTTGGTACTTTAAAAAGGTCATTTTTGAAATTTTCATTAATTTTTATTAATGCATTATTAACGCAAGCACTTTCTTGTAGTTTTTAACTGTATTTATTTTCATCTGAGCTTCTTAGAATGATTTTCGTTACAGCGTTTTTTTTGTTACTTATATTACAAACGTCCAACATTTCTTTTATATCAGATGAAATGGCAGACGTCTTATTAATAAAAAGCTGTCCTAGAATAACGGGGACGGGTGCAGCAACTGCTGCAGATGGAAAGTTTGGAAAGTAGGATACAGACGGGAATTTAATGTATGTATATCCGTAAGCAACGATAAACCGCATTGTTGATGAAAAGCGATTCTGAGCGGAGTTCGGTTGATAGTGTTGCTTTGTCAAAAATATATATGTTGTGGTAAAATAATTAAATGTCCATTAAACATTTTCTTTAATAATAATTGTTAAATATTATTGTACCTATGTTCGTTAAAAAGCTATTGTTTTTTTTTTTTTTTTATTAAATAAATCATCTAGATTTATCTTGATAAAACCTAACCTAACCCGGCCGAAATGTGCAGTTTCGAAACAACATCACTTATTATTTAATATAGCGACAATAATACGCTCGTACAGTTGTATTTGTATTCGGAAGTCTACGGTAGCCGGTAGGGGAGAATAAAAAACCCCGTGCGCACGTCACCGCAGCAGGTTACGATTTTTAAGACATTTTTTTTTTTTCGTTTTTTAAACATTTCGGCGTGCTTATACATAAATAATATTATTATAATTATAACGAAGAGTGTGTTAAAATATGGTACAATAATAATTATTTAAAAAAAAAAAAAAAAAAACACCGTTATTCGCGGCTGTGTTGTTTATACAGTCTGCAGTGACACCCAAACATATTTGTCTAGCACACTGACTTTACAAACTCTACCACCGTTCAGCAGCGCGTAGCCAGGGATCACGGTGCCCCCCCTCCCCACACACACACCCGACCATTAACCGTGTTTCATCATTCAGTCGTAGTTTCATGTTTTTGTTACATATTACTACGGCGTGTATATTATCCGTGTATGACGGTTTGTTTTTTCATATCGCATCGATTAAATAAATGATAAATATGGCAAACCTATTTTTGAATGTTGGCAAAGAAATTTACGTTAACAGACAAACATGCAGTTTTCGGTTCGCCGACACCTCCCCTTCATCGAAATATCCTGGCCCCACCTGCGCCGCCGCCCACCCGTCGTTTATAGTCCACGTACGCTTAGATCTTTAGGACATTGTGCAGGTGCCGAATTCAAAACAATTCACCCACAAGACGCAGACGGGATTGAGAACACCGACAGACATGCCACTCCTCTACGTGCGACTGAGTATTTACAGTATGCACAATAACCCCGGTCCCTTATTATTATGACCGGGACAAGGGAACGGGTGAGGCGAAAATTTGAAAATTCATATAAGGCACGCGCGTTTATCGCGAAAAATCAAGCTCTGAGTGTATCGGGGCTAAAAGTATACTCGGAAGTGGACGGAGGGGGGAAGGCGATCGCTCCAATCGCCCCTCCCCTGGATCCGCCACTGCCCTTAACCCTAACCCCTTTGATCATACGAACAATCGTGTAACGCGGTAGCGATTGTCACGATTCAACCGTAGTTTGGGCGCCACTGTGGTTAAAATTTTATACTTACTTGGCTTATTTTTTTTTGAATATATGTACGCACTTGTGTACATGCACACATTCGAAATGCGTAGGAATAGACGTATTGATACGGCGGAAAAAAAAAATAAAATCAAAGAGAAGAAAATCAATAGTAATAATGTAAAAAAAAAAAAAAAAAAAAAAAAAACAAGAAAACCATAAGTGTGTACCTACACATAAACGAAAAGTGGATTTTTTTTTTTTTTTATCTAGATCAGTATTTCCCCCGCAATAATTATATAGGTCACCGCGCTGTGAGTAGGTAATTTGAGAGTTTTTCACGCGTACGCCTATTAGTTTTGTCGAATTTTTAATTTTATATACAAACACTGGACATTTACATCACATCAATATTTTCCAACACCTGTCACCCCTCATCACCAGTATTACACTCGTCGGTTCTCCTGTTTTTTCTCAACACGCCCGTCTCGCCGCCTCGTAGTCGTTAGAATAAACGCGATAATCACAATCCGTTCCCGGCACTTTTACCGAACGCGTCTTGTTCGTCATTCGTACGCACGGCTTCGTTTCCGCAGCTGTAATTCTTCCGAAACCGAAAAGTACAGAACAGTTTCGAGTATGTCCGTACGGTGAAACGTCTAGAGTGAAGAGGCAGGCGCGCTGGAGGAGCTTAGCCCCCCCCCCCCCCCCCTCCACCGTATCGTCCGAAGCGCCCGCAGTGCAGGGGCATAGCCCCGTCAGCCGTATACTCGTTCGATATTACGGCGGAGTGCGAGATCCCCCCCCCCCTCCGGCCCCCCCACGGGGATGGTGAGCCCGCTGTGGCCGGTGTAAAACGGTTTTTTTCGTACACGCAACAACAACCGCGTCCGGTTAATGTTGTTCGAGTTTCTGCGCCGCGCAGCGCCGGGCCCGGTGCGGAATTTCGCGGGGCCCCGTGTGTACATGTGTTTATATCGTTTTCTAACGGACTCGCTCGCTTCGTTTTCGTACAATTTTCTAAACCTTATCGCGCGGTCTTGTTGGAAATCCGAACTCGTGCGGACACCTCTGTACGTACGAACCAATGAAATCGAATTCATATTTTCGTATTGGACGCGAAACCGGTCGGTACACGGGTTACAAACAGTTTTTTTTATCAATCAATATTTCCATTGGCCGCGTATGACCAAGTGGCGGTATCGGTCAACGGTGTCGTCGATGTATAATTTGTTTCGGCGCGCACCGCCGGAATAGCGGCGACAAATTGAACGGCCACGGCCGTGTTTGGCCGTCGGACCGCGATGCGAAAATGTTCGCGGCCCGCGCTCCGGAGACGCACGAAACGCGTACGGATTCGGGTGCGCGGGTGCGATCTCGGTGATCTGGAGTAGCGACCGGAATTATATCCTGTAAATCGTCGCGATTCCCGGCTCCCGAAAATCCGTGTTCGGCTTTCCGATGGCGTTTTTTTTTTGTTTTTTTTTTTTATGATTTTTCTTCCGAAAATCGCGTATAATGCGTTTAATAATACTTGCGTGTTTATCATGAAAAATAATTTTTACGCGTAGTAAACCGCGCCGATTGGTACGCCGCTGTGACCGGGCGACCGGGGGAACCTGGCAGTGAGTGGCGGCGATGCGCAACAATTTCAATCCAATCCTGTCCTACCGTCGCTAACGAAAAACGATTCTGAGCACCGAGCCGAGTGTTGTAGGCGCCTACCGATCCCGGTAACCCGGAAACCCACGAACGTTGTGTCCAGAAAAACCGCCCGTTTTTTTCCGTAATTCATTAGGAAAACGACCCCTCTCTAAAAATATTCCGGCAACCGGGCCGAAAATGCCTACGGCAAAGCGTTTGATTAGATCGAGAGATTTCCGGCGTAAAAAAGCCGTACGCGATAAAACCAATATTATTCCCACCGATATTATCGCGTACGAATTCGTTGCGCTCTAAAAACGGAGGGTGGAATTATTATTGTAAGATATTATTTCATAATATTGTCGTATTTCGGTATTTTTTTTTTATAGAAAATTCGAAATACCTAATACAAAATCGACGATAAATTGAAATCAGTTTTATCCAGTGCGCAAGACGGTGACAACCGCGACGCCGAGTGCGGTTACCGCGTTTCTGACGTCCCGGTGAAAACGCTCGGTTACGCGACCGCGACGGCGTGATAGTGTTCACGTGCGGCGCGTCCGCTATCGTCGCGGCCGTAATAAGCGCCGCGGCGGCGGTGCGGACGATTCCGCGTCCACCATGTGTCGACACTGTCGACCCGGCGAGCCAATAAGAACGCCGGAAAGTGACGTACACCGTAAAAATAACGCGATGACTCATCGCGCCGACCACGTCGGGGGCCCCGAACGCACTAGCCGTCCACCGATTTCATTCAAGACGTTCATTCGCGTACCGTGTGTCATTCCGCCGAGGCGTGCGCGAGAGACGTTCCCGTCATTTACTTCACCGTGTTGCCGCGCACATCGTCTTCTTATCACTGATACCTACACGTTTTGATATTACATATATTATTATTTTTTTTTCGAAAATATTTTTTAAAAGTGCGATCCATTCCCGTCGCCGTTACGCAATTTTTTCACACCGGTGTCGTTACAAAACGCATTAGATTTGTGATACCAGCGTCGTCGTAAACGGTATACATTAAAAATAATACGCCGACGCGAAAATCTCGTTATAAATTAAACACCATTTTATTTGTGCGCAAACGAACGGCTTCGGGCGCGAACGAACTGGCGCTCGTCTGTACGAAAATGGTAAATAATTCGTCCAACAGTATGATGCTGGACGAGGCGTTTTACGACGATCAGGTCCAGGTGATGAGCAAAGCGGAGAGCCAGACGGCCGAGGTGCACCACTACCTGAAACGGCCGATGACGTTGGACCTGAACTCGTGCAATTCGGAGAACTCGGCCAAGAAACCCAAGTACCTGGCACCGTTGCTCACGTCGCCCGACCTACACATGCTCAAGATGAGCTCGCCCGAGCTGGAACGGTTCTACTTGGCGCAACAGTCGGCCTTGGGCCACATCAACACGCCCACGCCGTCCCTGTTCCCAAAGTCCGTGACCGAGGAACAGGAGATGTACGTTCAGCCCTTTGTCGAGGCGCTCAACAGCCTGCACAACAACGACTCCAACAGCGGGACGGCGCTACAGGTGAAACCCGGGGCGTTCAGCGGCGGTAGCAATTCGTCGGAATACCAATCGTCCGAGCCCCAATACTCCAACCTGATGTCCACGTCCAACGACTTTTCCAACATCATACCTCAGCACGTCATTAAAGAAGAACCCGCCCAGACCGTGCCCAGCGTCACGTCCTCATCGCCGCCCATGTCGCCCATCAACATGGAGTCCCAAGAGAAAATCAAACTCGAGCGGAAACGCCAGAGGAACCGGCTGGCCGCGTCCAAGTGTCGCCGGAGAAAATTGGAACGGATCGCCAAGCTCGAGGACAAAGTCAAAGAGTTGAAAAACGAAAACAGTGAACTTTCCACCGTGTTGAACCGACTGTTGGAACAGATATGTCAATTAAAACAAACCGTGGTCGAACACATGCACAACGGATGCGAGTTCGCGATGAACTGCCTGTGACCTGTAAGTTAATAATATTATTCTAAATGGCTTGGCATAATATAATCATTTCATTTTTTCTTTTTCTTTTTTTTTTTTTTTTTTTTTTTTTTAAAAAAAAATTTTTTTTTTTTTTTTTTTTTTTTTTTTTTTCTATAATTTTTAAATTCATTATTATCAATGTGTAATTATTAAATTACACACCTACCACTTTAATCTACTGAATACGTTCAATAATAATATTAAGTAATGCATCGGTAGGTATGCGGGTACTTTACCGATTTTCAGTGTAGGCACCTCTACAGCTCTATCTCTGGTTCTATCCGACCACTTAATCACTAGAAAATGCACAAAACAATTAACTACTTTCAATATTTAATATTATCGTTTAGTTTCGCACAATTTCAACAGTTCCTACCTACCTCATAGTTAACCCCGACCGTCAGTAAAAAAAATTACTTATTTTAGGTGCAAAATAATATAATGCGCTTGAAGTGGGAATAAAAATAAATTCATATTTAATATTGTTTGCACAATTTGTGTTCTAAACCGTTGCAAAATATTTATCTAATTGTTGGGAATAATGTAATATTTACATTTTGACTATATTTTAAATTGTATTGTCTTGCCTACTTTTTTTTAACTTAATCTTAAACCTTTTTTTTTTTTTTTTCAATTGCTTGTCAAACAATAATAACATTTTATTGATTTTTTCTGTTACAGTTAATAATGGACACCGTCGAATTCATTGAAAACATCCTGAATTTGGATGTTACTTCCTGCCTGTCTGTGAGTTTTTCATATTTTTTTTACAACATTTGTAATTATCCGATAAAAAAAAAATACCATAATAATATAATATTATAATAAATATTGCTACAAAAATTGCTCAATTTCTTTGTAGCCTATTTTTATAATCAATGATAATACTTAATATACTTCTTTTTATATTGTATAATATTTTATATAGCCTATATAACATAAATTTTAATGTGACGTTTATAATGTTATTATGTTTATATTAATCGAATATTGTAATTAAAAAAAAAAAAAAAAATCAAATCAATAATTAATATATACCTTTATATCACTAACGTGCAATTATTAGGTTATCATATTTTTACTGTCGACGCATTAACGGATAACATATTCTACAATCATATTTAATATATAAATCAATTTATTTAAAACAAAAAAAAAAAATTAATAAAACTAAATCAAAGACGACAATAGAACCGCGTTTTCCGTCGCACTGACACCAATCAACGCCTTTTAATTGTACGTGAGCCATTAAAAATTATTAAAATATTTATTTTATACATGTTATGCTCAAACTTTTAGAGTAATTGATATATTTTTTTTTTTTTTTGGTTATTTTTTACATTTATTGTGCAAAAAAATATTTTTATAATATTATATTATTTTTTTCTATATAAAAATTTATTTTAAACATGTTTAACGCGCCACTAAGGAATTAATTAATTGTGTTTATTATTTATCGTTGTTGTATGCTAACCAGTGTTTATCTTTTATCTTTATATATTTATACATTCAATATTACCTGTATAATTTTTAATACATATTTTTAAAAAAGGTATTTCTTTACCTTGGCCGTAATAAATTTATTATTAGATTACCACAATACCTATTTATTTTTTTTTTATTAGCCCCTGTACAAAATATATTAAAAAGGGAGGCTACGACAACACAATAACTAAACATATACCGAAATTTAATTATAATATTCTTAATTTAAGCTTCTTTTTACCAGACAATAATTATTTAGGCCAAAGTTCATAATTTTTAAATTATAGATAATATTTATAATTTTTTTTTTTTTTTTTTAAGGCCATACTATAATAATTATTAATTCATATTTACCTACCTACCTAATAATGTTAATTGTTCATTGACGAGACTTTGATGTGTAATAAGTTAGTCTTGTGATATTTTGTCGATCCCTCCGCTCTTTTTACGCAGACAAACTCGAAATGTATCGACCATGTTCCTAGGTGCTCTAGAGTGTAACAAAAAAAAAAAAAAGCAATTTTTATTATTGTTATTGTTTTTTTTTTTTTTTTTTTTTTTTTTTAATGCAAAAATCAATCTTAATAATTTATTTTTATTAAATATGAATTTTATTGTATATTTTAATTTTTTAAGTTAATATTTATGTAAGAGTAAATTATCGTGTGCAAAATGATTATAATAATAATATAATATAAATTATAAAATTGTGATTTTAATATTATTATTATTTATTTATTTTTCGTAATTTTTAAGGCTTTTGTGTGATTTTTTTGACTAAGTGATATGATTTTATTTGATATATAAAATTTTATTAAAAAAAAAAAAATTATTTTATAGAAAAACATTAATTTGTTCGTTTATTGTTATTCGCCTGATTTTCGTTTACCTATTTCGTCTCTCCTCCCCTGTTCCCGTTCCCTGGACTCTGTGCAGTTTTTGTGTACGGCGGGGTAGTGCGGTTGTGATGACGACGTGATCTTGCGGACAACCCACGGGAATGCCGGCGGGCCCGTCCCGGGATAAAAAGTGTATCGTATCCGTTACGTATGTTCTTTGTTCCACGGTATTCGCGTAGGTAAACGGTGTTTGGATCGAACGGATATTGTACATACCACCTGGTCGCGGTCCCAAATTGTCCAATAAACCTAATTCGTAGAAAGAAAAAAAAAAAATTATCTTCACAGATTACTCGGATTGTTATGAAAGTACAACAGGGCGATCACGTTTTTATCGCGGACCAGCGATTTTTTTTGTAACGCTTTCGACAACCAATAGTTGTGAAACGATTTGACAGAACACTGCCTGTTCGAATCGTTCTTTGAAATCGGGCCTGGCCGAGAACAAGTCGATGGAAATGCTCGGGACTCCATCAAGTTTTGTTTTCTGTGTCGACTTCTCTACGGATAATTGCACGCCATTTACTACATCATACAGCTTGGTTTTTTCTGAACCAACATCCAACACACACAATCAATTCCCAATACGTTTTTTTGGTCGAACGCAAACACAACGGGCGGCGTTGTGTTTTTCAACGTCGTCGGTTTGTTAATAACTATATTTTAGTCGGACGTTAAACGAAGGTTTTTTTATTCGGTCAAAAAAAAAAAAAAAAAAAATCAACGATCCCAATACGTATTCTAAACTCCAGAAACCGAAAAATCTGGATCGCCGTAGTTCGGCCGATGCGGATTGCCAGAGTTGAGTCGCATGCGTCGAAAGCAGCAAGTACATCAATAAACGCACGTTTACACTGCCGGGCGGCGCTACTGCACCGGCGCGAACCGATTCGAATTTTCCTCCGGAATGTAATGAAACCCGCATCCGAGTTTTGATGGGCGGTACACTACAGTCGGGTCCCAACGAATTTCGCGTAGTACCATTAGTGTTTAGTGGTGACCAATTTTCATATTTTTTTTTTTTTTTACAGGGGGCCGTTAAATAAAAAAAAAAATAATAATAATTCTTGGCGGGCCCAAGAATTTAAACTTTAACTTTTAAGTATTTTACTATTGTGGGCACATCTTGATAAGTTTAACGTTTGATAAACGTGACTTTTTGCTTTTTTTTGTTTTTAATGTCAATGTTAGTTCTCGAAATCTGAAGTTATTTTCGTTTTTCAATATAAATGATTTGATAAATGTTCTGTGGTTGATAAATGATCGCGGGCCGTAGTCGCAGGTCACCATCACTGCACTAGTCGGATCCGATAGATTAAAATCAATACTGACATTTTCTTTATCGTTATTTTTTTTTACGGACACGGGACTTAGGATCTGTTTTGCCAGTGATGTCCCTTTGTTTTTGATTCTGATTTCTGAGTGGAGCGAAGAAGCTTATGTTTTTACAAAGATGTTTATTTATTTTTTTTTTTTTATTCGCGGACAACTTTTCTGAAATAAAATCGGTACGGGGATGTACTTTAGAGAGGTCGTTTTTCAATTTTCTCGGCAAGTGTGAAAAAACCGTGAAAACCGGTACAACATTGAACGGATATTATTAAAGAAAATATCTAGAGGCCCATTCAATTGTTTTAATATGGTATGGCATATTTATATATTGTTGACAGAGCATCAATGCCGACTGAACTCCGGTCGGAATCGTTTTCCCGCAAGCAACGGGGTTTATATCGTTGCTTACAGGCGTACATCGAATTCCCGTCCGTATCCTATCACCCCGACTCGTCACCTACGCCAGTGGTGGCTGCACCCGTCTCCGTTCCGTATCCTAGGACGGGGGGTTTTTTTTTTTTTTTTTTTTTTCTGAACTTCTCGTTTTAACGCGAGTGTCTACGTATTATTTTGGGTACTTTCAAAAAAAAAACTCCCGAAACTGATGTGTGAATATTAGTAGGATGCGCATCGCGTTTTATTTTCTAAACTCTCAAACGGACTATATAATTGCGCCATTGACATTACGGCGTCAGCGGACTTGGTAATACTTGCGGGGGAACCCGGGACCTAACTGCCATATTACCCGCATGGACCCGGGATCCAATTAGCGTGCGGAGTCTCGACCGCGGGATTCAACTGGTACGGGTACACTTTCCATTTCGAACAATAATATAAAAAACGCTAATTAATGTTTTTTTTTTTTTTTTTTTTTTTACAGTCGTTATAAAAAATATGCCGTTTCGACGATTTGAATTTCAAATCCAAAGACGACTTAAAAATACGGCACCAACGATTTCAATTGGCCGTGCATCAAAATCGATTCTTATACTTTTCTTTTGCAATTCTTTTGCAGTTGAATGTCGAATGCGATTGTGTTGTCCGTAGGCGTCGATCACACAATACGCTCGTCAAAACCTGAGAATATTTTCGCTGAACATTTATTACTGTCGGCCACTGTTTCCATCTCAAAAGATTATCTCGTTTTCGTTCATCAATCAATTGATATTTGTTTAAATCGACGAGGGCCAATTGTCCGTTGCGTCTTTCCGATAAAACACTGTATGGGGTTGTATTATTTATGTCCAAATTAAAAAAAAAAAAAATAAAAAAGACTGTCATACTTTGCACGCGGGTGCAGCCACTGCTGTAGGCGGGCAGTCGGGAAGGCAGGATACAGACGGGAATTCGATGTACATCTGTAAGCAGCGATAAACCATTGTTAACGAAAAAACGATTCTGAGCGGATTTGAGTTGAGAGCGTTGCTTTGTCAACAATATAAACGCCATATTACGGCAAAACAATTACATATACATCAAACATTTTCTTTAATAATATTTGTGTTATGGTGTACCTATTTTCTCGTTCCCCTGTTTTTCCCGGTTTTTCCAACGTATTGAAAAAACCCTCGAGAAAATCGAAAAAAAAAAAATGAACTCCTTAAAGTGCCCCCGTAATCGAATTTCCTTTCAGAAAAAGTGCTATCATTGTAAATCCGAGCGAAATCGCTGGTAGCAAAGTTGTTCACGGAAAAAAAATAAAATAAACATCATTGTAAAACCCCATGTAAAATTGTAATTTGCCTGGAAAATTCGATGTCATTCTTTAATTTAAGAAACGATTCAACAACCGATTTATTTATTTGTGATTTTTTTTACAATTTTTTTTTTTTTTATTATGCGTAAATATACAGGACAAACGTTATAATTATTAACGTAATTACAACAAAGTACATTTGCAATACATCAATTAAATAATATACTGTTATTGTGTACAACACATCCCCCCCCCCTCCAAAACCCTGAAATTAATTTTTAAACACGCCACCGGTGTAGTATTCAGGAGTCCGTCGCGATAATTATCGCGTACGATATAAATTGTTATTAGTTCAATAATCTCTGTCGTATTTTGCTAAAATATTTGTTTAATAATTGTATCTATTTTCTGCGTTTTTTACCGGGTTTTTCCCATTTATCGGGAAAAACTCCTAGGAAAATTAAAAACAATTTGCTCCGTAAAGTATGCTCCCGTAAATGGGAGCGAAATTCAGAATTCAAAAATCCGTTTTTCCCAATCACAAGAATATCGTTATTGACGGGCGACTAATGGGAGGAATGGCACAGAAAAAAAAAACCAACGAAATAATAGTAAATAAAAATATTCGCGCGGTGTGCGGCGGCGGAGCGGTGTATCCGCTCGTCGTCGCGATGACGTCAAGGCGAACCGGTCGCTAACTCGCGAACGCGGCGCGCGCGCGCGGCCGACGAACGTTTCGCGAACGCGCGGACGGCGGAAAAAACAGAAAGGAAAAAAAAAAAAAAAAACAAACGCACCATCGCGCACATTGTGCGCGCGACGCGATATTATTGTACGCCGCGGCGGCGGCGTCGTGTACCTACTGCAATAATAATTATTGTTGTCGATGTCGATGTCGATGTTGTTGTTGTTGTTGTTGTTGTCGTATCGGCCAAAGTGTGGCGGCGTTCGCGCATCTCTTTTCCTTTTTTTTTTTTTCCCTTGTCTTCTTCTAATCTGCCGGCGCCCCTCCTCGGCGGCGCCCGCTGCGCGAGTAGCGAGTACCCGACGCGCGACCTTGACGGTTACAGTTTGGCGGACCGTCAACGGCGCGCGCGTGTAGTGTCGTAAAACGCGCGACGCGCCCTGTACACGCACGACGACGCGGATATAATGGGTCTCCCTCTCTCGAGTGGCAGAAAAAAAAAAAAAAAGAAAGAAAAAAGTTAATTATTATTTCATTGTTTTCGCCGCGGACAGTCAAGTGCGATCGTCAGAAACATTAATCCGGACGGAATCGTGTGTCCGGTGGTGCGGAGAAAAAATAAACAAACATCGACGTTCCGTACGGGGTTATTATCGAGTGAGGGTGGGAAAAAAAAAAGTTTCGAACCGATTTGAAACAACCGAATTCGTGTTACAATTATAACGATGGTGTACGTATAACGCGGTCGTTTTCACGTTTTTTTTTTTTTTTTTTTATCGAAAACGTTACCGAAGACGACGAAAAAAAAAAAACGATCGGTGCCCGTAAAAATATTGGCGGCTGCGGGAAATCGTCAACAGTGTCCGTACGCCCGTTATACGGACGTTCCTGTAGAGTTCTGTGACGGTTTTCCGCGGTTTTATCGCCGCGCCCCGGAAATATCCGCGTCGCAAACGTATACGACGCGTCGTGTATTTTTTTTTTTTTTTTTTTTTTATATATATGCAATTCGTTTCGAAAACGCCGTGCGCCCGTTAGATTCGAGCCCGCCGACCTATTGTTCACATCACATCCAAAGACGAAAACGCCGTAACGCCGGGGGCGTTCTTTCTCTTTAGACATTTGCGTGCGTTTTCATGCGAGAATCGCAATTTGTAAAAACGCCCCCTCGAATCTCGTTTCAATATTAACAATGCCGACAAGCCCTGTGCGCTGCTACTCAACGGCTCGTTTAACATAAAAAAAAAAAAATCGCAAAAGTCCGTAAAACTTAAAAACGGGCCGAAAAAAAAAATAGAAAGAAAAAGGAAACAATATATTTAATATAGGCCGTAGTCCAAATACGAGTTTAATCACAACAATTGTTTTTTTTTTTCGAGTTGATTGTACTGCACGGCTGTGCGATACGGATTGACAACACGCGATTATTGCTTATTAAATACTCGCTCGTACACGAATGTATCATTTGTACAGGTGTCTTTAAAGCGCGGAGTATTTTTTTTTTTTTTTTTTTTTTTTTT